AAAACAGCCCTACCTGCGCGAACATATTTTGCGCACACAGGACCAGGTTGCATCAGCTGATTTTTCATACTTCGTTTGGGAATAGATTGATAGTTCAGGGACCTAGTGGGGGGGCAACACTGGTTGCTACTTGGCACAGTACTGCATTTCTAAATCAGAAGTGAGAGAGAGAGAGGAAAAAGCTTTAATTTGAAATCATAAATTCAACATTTTCAGCAAAAAAATGCGCTCCATTCACTTTGGGCAGTAAATAAGTTAATAGGTTTGTCAAGGGTTAAAAGTTTAACAGAAAAGGGACGATTATTATGGGGACAGTTCAAGTCTAAGCTTCCGTAGTTATATCTCTCCACACATCAGATGGCGCGCCAGGAATGGCAATACAGAATCGCGATACACCGATATGAGAAAAGAGATTAGACGGAAGCCGCGGCGCATCGGGCGGGAAGACTTCGCAGAAATAAGATCAGGATACAAGGGATAGACAACGTCATCTAGCATTCTACCAGCAAATTGCTTGACCGTTTCATAATGTCACTGAAGGATAATATCGACTAAGGAGAGATAAAAAACATCGGCGACGGAAGAGAGCATTCGGAAGACTCGTTTTAAAATTAACCGATCTTTTTTGGGCAAAGCAGGAAAAATTACAGGAGGACAATATAGATTAAGAGGCAGAATGCAGGCATACAGGAATCACCAGATTAAGGGTTAAGGTGCGCGGTAAGAAGGAGTCTTTGCTGTCTGACTCACAGTCCATCAGTCCGCCAATCCTCACAAACACACACTGGGCCGACTGCGAGGTACAAATTATCCCGTCAGTCGGCAAACTTCCAAACCACGACATTTGGCGCACCGTGAGAGCTTCAAGCGCGTCAGTTTTTGTGAGGCAGATGCAATGAGTCGTCGACTTCACTCTCCAATCCCATTCGCAGACCCGAGCCACTATCAGAGTCGGTCAGTTTTCTGTCGCCAGAAATGGGCGCGGTGGCCTACATATCTAGTGTCCTTGTCTGAGTGCCCCACGTGCACGACCTGATCCCTCAAACACAAGCACCAAGATTCCATACAGTGATGTGGTGGGCGACATGCATCTCACATGCGTGAGAGTGCCAGACGTCACGTTAGGCAGGAGCCATTGCAGCCAGACTCTTAGTCCACCAGTCCGCCACTGCGCTCAAACACACCCAGCTGGGTTAATTGCGTGGACTGAGTAAAAGCGTCGGTCGACAACCTCCAAAGCCGCGGAGCTTGGCGCCCCGTGATAGCCTCAGGCTCGGATCACACATGCAGCAGATGAGCCACATGGAGAGAGATGCGAGAGATGCCAGTTGTGTGCCTGGGTTGTGGGATGATAGGTGATGTTGATGTGTGTTCTAGGCGCTGGCGAGGAGACATGTGGTGATTTGGTATAGCTGGCGGTGACCCACCACAAGTTTTCATAAATGCGCATGTGACCGACTAGACTCATGCGGTGGATAAATGTGCGAGAGCATTGCGGACTGTTGGCGGGATCGTGTGTGGTGCATGTTGGCGTTCCAAGCACTGGTTTGCCAGCCTGCGTGCGACTTATTCTCAAGCGACCGACCGGGCTGATACGCGAGGTGAATGTGCGGTGATAGTGTGGGCAGGAGAGGTGGGGAACCGCGGAGTCGTTTTCGGTGGTGACAGTGATGGTCGACGCGCTGAGCGATGGGGAGATGCCCAGGTTGGGAATGGGGACACGCGATTCTTGCAAGGTGCATTGACGCTGCTGGGAATTCTTTCGTCGTGAAGATGCGTGCGACCGAAAAGGCCCATTAGGGTGAGTGAATGCGCGTGGACAATGAGGATAGTGAAGGCGGATGCGGTGACTGTATGCTGGTGCTTTGGGCCCTGGTCCTTCAGTCTCCGTGCGATGAATTCGCAGACGACCGACTAGGCCGATGTGTGAGCTGAATGTGCTGTCACAATAAGAACAGTTTGGGACCCAGTCTACATCTCTGGGAGTGATCACGGTGAAGGTGTTGATACTTGTCAGGGTGTGGCAGTCCGTGCCTCCTTGCTCTCCGCCGCATTGTCATGCTGCCATTCTGCCCGCCTCATGCTCCCTGTCGATTCGCTGGTGGGACCGCGCGAGGCTTGGCCCTAACCTCGAGAGTGCCAGATGACAACGAACGATGCCCTTTTCTTGATTGCCCGGTGGATACTGAGACAGAACAAAAGGCTTACGCACGCGATGAGGGGGCTAAAGACCTCAACGGTGGACACAGTACAAACGGTCTGGAGAGTCCGTTCGCGGTGCCTGTAGGTTTGAAAGGCGTACATACTACTTCTGGATAATCAAAATTCGTAAAATAAATTTGAATGATATCTTGTTCGTTATTTTGATTTCCATATTTCTTTGTAGCAAAATATACCGAGGATAAGCTTATCGGTTTCTGGTTGTTAACAAGTATGTATTGCCTGGTAGAAGCGAACAGACGAATTCCCGGAAGCAGTTCAGAAGAAGATGCAATCAATGAAGTGGTGAGGGCGCGGTTGAACAACAATCTGAGCAACAGGAACAGATGGCCAGGTAGTCGTCACGCCAACATCCAACACGGATGATGAAATTGTGGCAATTAACGACTCGGACGGAGACTGACGAGCCATCATCGCATCAATTATGATCCCCAGCGGTGATCGCGAGTGCTTTTTATTATATTACGCATGTGGTTCCGCGGCAGATAGGTACTAAAATACTGTAATCTTCCTTCTTCCAATACCTTTACCTCCGAATGCCCCTGATAATGGCTTCGGGTGAATATTCGGAAAGTCAGGCCAATAAACTTATTGCTCCAGTTATCGCATCTTCGTCTTCTGATGCGTATTGTCGGTTAGACTAGTGCAAAATAACAATACTGCTTTTTCTCCTTTTCTTGCAAGTTACGGCGTTTTTTCCGTGAAACCTGTTCTCAGACTCGTTTTGATCTATGGGACTCGGTTGCCTTAATTACCCCAAATAGCCCTCCCCTAGCCTCAAAGATGGACATGCCAGCATCATCATTACTGGTTGTTTGTCTTGGTGACTAGTCACCCACTTAGAGACCTTAGGGTTTATCCAATTGTATGCTTCAAGACCAGTTCCGTCAGTGACTACATCTCAAAATCTCGTCACCTCATCAGTGTAAACACCGCATGAGCTCAGACAGAGAAGTGCTTGATACTAACGTTCCGTGTCATTGCTAAGTTGACAGAAGAAAGGAAACGTCCTGTCACTCTCTCAGACGGATATGTGTTTGCAGTGCTTTTGCGTTATACGAAACACAACCAATTCTTTGCAATCCGTACGTTCCGTTACGTACAGCTCGACACCGCCTCCCAGTCTACGATAGCGCAGTCAAATATATTAAATAAGGTAGTGTGGTAGAGGTGGTTGTGTTCGTCGTCGTCGTCGTCGCTGCCGCCGCCGCCGCCGCGGTGATTTAGCCAGAGACGATGGAGGTGGTAGTGCCCAGCGGCAGTGCGGCAAGGGGATAGGAAGCAGCGTCAGGGAGGGTGGGCGGCGTCGTGATCGATGTGGAGGCAGCAGTTGTGGTCGTCGGGTGGTTGATGCATTGAGTCCGAAGATGACTGCCGAAGCCGATTCGCGCGCGAAATGCTCGTTGACAGCGCGGGCACGTTAGGTTGGGTTACGTGGTGATGGTACGAATCGGAGGCGCCTGGGACTTGCGAGCTTCTCGTTCGGCTTCGGCGGCTACGATCCGGTTTGATTGATAGATTGCTGCGTCAGTCTTCACTGCCGTACGTCAGGCCATTCTGTTATGGGTGAGTCTCCCCAGATCCTCGGGTTGGCTACTGCCGTTTCAGAGAACTCTTCAGAGTGTGATTGTAGTGCCGTTTTTTTCTCTCGGTCAACGAGTAATTGTGCCGGTATCTCCGTAGACGCACATCAGAGAATATGCGACTGAAGAGGGTGGGAGCGAGGACACAGTCCTACTTCACCTTATCGGTCACTGCAAATGCCTCGAAGATTGCGCCATTATCCGTGACACGCGCCACCATCCGATCTTAGAGCTGTCGTACCGTGTGCGTGAAGTGCTCCGGACAGCCGAAATTCCGCATGGCTTCCCACAGTCCCTCGCAATTCACCGCACCGAAGGCTTTCGTCAGATCCACGAAAGTACTGCAGAGGTTGGCTTATATATCTTGGCATTTCTCTTGTAGCTAGTGAACGGCAAAGATCATGTCGGAGGTCTTACGGTGTCGTCGGAAGCCACATTGGCTTTCCTTCGGTAGTCCTTGATTGAAGTGGCTGTTGAGACGATTAAGGAGAAAAAAAAGCGAAGACCTTCACGGCGATGTTAAATAAAAAGATGCCTGCGTAATTATCACAAGCATGCTGGCGCTCTTGGTGCTTGTAGAGGTGGACGATGGCCGCGTCTTTGAAGTCCTGAGGGATCTCCCCTTGGTACGACATCTCCCGGAGGAGCGCTATGAGGTGATCCATCAGTCGGTGGCTTCCATGTTTGTTGATCTTATCCGGTTGCGTGTCGGGCTCACCACTGATGACACTGGAATCTGACTCGAGAGTTCTCAACTGTCCACAATACAAAGGTTTACAAGTCATAAGTCAGAGAGGACGGATTGGTTTGGACGACTTTCCTGACGTACAGGAGTGTACAAGAGGCTGTGCAAGCAGTTGTCACTAGCTGTCACTCCAGGCAATTTCTTAGTCTGTGTCCGCTGTTGAGGTTCTTAGCCCACAGTGCGTGTGTGCGCCTGCACTCTGTCGCAATTAGAGTCAACTAGACAGTCAAATAAGGAGCAGCGTTGATTGGCATCAAGCTCTCGCGGGATAGTGACAGGCCTCGCGCGGTCCCGGCAGCGGATATACAGAAAGAGAGGCAGACAAAAGGGCAGCTATGCAAAGCGGCGAGGGCAAGGGAGCGCGGAGTGTCAAAATTCCATGAGGACCCAGCATTCCCTCCAGGCAGCGTGGTCCATCCCGACATGGGCGTTCTTTGCCTCGTCAGTGCCGGTCACAGGGGGGCGTAGGCGCTGATTATGATGATAATGATGACTACTGCGACGACGACGACGAAGACGACGACGAATTTGGGTCCTTGAAGAAGCAGGTGGAGGCTCATCAGGCTATCGTTGATGTCCTGTGGCGGACAGGGCAGTCGTCCCACGATGTCGCTCCGGATGGCAAACACGACGCCTGCATCGCGGCGTTCAGCGTTTGAGCGACCGCTCCATAAAAAGGTGTAGCCGGCACCCACTTCCTCTAATTGGCCTAGTTCGGAGGGACGGGTCTCACTGAGAGCAGCGATGTCCACCTTGTAGCGCGCCAGTTCTTGAACGACTACCACTGTGTTCCATCTGAAAGTCGACGAACACTCCGGGTTGCCGGAGTAAGTGGACTCACTCTAGCAGCCTGTGGGGTGGGGTGAGGGGTAGGGGAGAATTGGTGTACTTTGTTCGTAGTAGTGATTCGACCGCGAGTTTTACATCAACTATCCACGGTATACTAGCAGAGAGCGTGATTTCCCAGCATATGTTTAGGTCACCCTTTCTGGCCCCTTCCCCAGCAGGGGGTAAACAGTGCTATACCTAAATAGGGCTGTTTAAAATCCCAGACTGTTGTCGAACTTCATTAGGGGTCACGGATTTGTTTAGTGAAGAAAGACTCCAGGTAGCCTCGGCCGCCTACGGGACTGCATGTCGCCCTCTCCGTAGGACTTTTTGAAGTGAGTGGGAGGGAGCTGAGATGGGAAAGGAGGCAAAGTTACCGACTACCGTGGCTTGGTCAAGCCCTCACGAGGAGGCAGGTACCGAGGTGTGGCCGCTAGGCAGAGCCTATCTTCGAGGGGCCGCGGGTGAGAGTTGAAAGCCTGTTAATGGGCGTTAGAGGTAGTCACCACCAGCTAGAGCTAAATGATGCGAATTTCTACGACCTTCACGTGGATCCAAACCTGGGCACCCCTATATCCTCCCCCCCACACACACACGCACACACGCGACAGTTCTATAGTCGTGACTGACGGTGTCCGCCGTGTGCCCCATAGCAAGCGGTGGGAGCAGGGACGGTGACTTGTGCAGGGGTTTATAGTGCCGGCAGACTTGCACCGTATTTACCACACTCTCTCCTCCTCCTCCTCCTCCTCCTCCTCCTCCCCCACCTGAGCCATCGCGCTCTGAATGTTGGCGTTTGTTATGGACTGCCATTTCCGATAACGCCTGCCGACACGATCTAGCCCCCCATATACCGCATCGCCTGTTCAAGGGGCGAGGCACACACACATCTTTACGTATAGAAGATCTCTTTTAAAAATTCTGTGGACTTCAGCATTTGCTGTCCAAATTAGGGGTTTTAGTAACTAAATCGTAACTGTTATAATATCCTAAGGGACTTCAACCAGAATCGAAAACACTTTGGTTTACGAGGCTCCTTAAGAGAATATGCAGTCCCACAATCTCAAAATTCTGCAGGTAGAGTTTTATTAGTTCGTTCTTTGGACTTATTTTTGTACTGTAAATGTCTTTTAACGTGAGTCTAGGCAATGGAATTTACGTCATTACCAAGAAATTCGAAACCTTAGTATGAGAAAAAGTCACAATTAGTGGAATTTCTCATAACAACAAGTAGAGCGCTTCTTATGCCAAACAACGAGAAAGAAGAAAAATCACACAACCAAAAACGTGTCTTCAGGCGTGACCCAACGGTCGACCTCTCGATTTCGCATCGGGTGCACTGCCAGCTGAGCTACCCAGGACATGCTACGCGTGCAAATAGTCGATAGGCTTCTACCTCCGGAGCGGAAGACGAATCCGTTGTGGTTCAAACGATGTTTATGACAGGATTTTTAGAGCACATCTTCGATCTTCAAAACAAAACTCACTAACACAGACACCAACGAAGCAGAAAGATTAATTGTTCATCCGAGCAGTGCTCTACTAGGCTTCATTCTTTTGACCTAATTTGTCTAGCACTTCGTTTCAAGGTTCGAATGGATGTAAACAAACTGCCAACGCTTATCTTACTTCATTTCAGCTACAAGAAAAAGTGTATAAGGTGAGTCTTAAAACATAGCTAGCACATTTCTATAATGTATACTTGTGTGTTTTAAATTAAGTTTAGGTTTGCCTTAAAAACTCCAGGAATTACAACCGGTGCGTTACGTATGAGTTAATCCTACCTATGAATATGCATCGGATTTTCCACAGGTCTTAAAGAAGAATCGAGAAAACTCAGTCCAGAACATAGTTTAGCATTTTTAAATGATAAATAACTGTCTACGCTCAAAAAACTATTTGCTTTTTTGTTCATATTTGCACAGACACTGCGTGAGTATTTTAGTCAACTGCAATACAAACCTACCACACTGGTTCAAAAAGGTACTTTAAGAAAACGGAGGCCAAGTTTCCAAGAACATTGTCGCGTTTATGAACCGGAAACTAATTGAAGTAAAACTTGTCCACTTTTTCAGGTAACAGTTAGGCGCTCAGCACGGACCTTTGCTTTGAAACTTCACTTCAGTATTCAACAGTTGTGAGTTTCTTTCTTAACAGGTCATGGCCACTACGTACTTTGTGGGTTGTCACGAATGAGTATGTGCTTTTCAGCCTGAAATTGTCTGCAACCTACTGACAGAATGAGATTAGTCTTCCACCTTTGACCATCCGGCAAGGGTATGTTTTATGGCCGGGGTTGCTTACTTCGGGGAGCAAATGTGCTAAAAGAAAATAAATAATGCTTTTGCTTTCTTCAGAAATTAACTGTGAACTTGGAGTAGATCAGTATATTCTAGGTCTATAGGCTAAGACCTAGATTTTTATGCATGAATATTTGGGCCGGAGTCCATCAGCCATAACGTTTAACCGCCTACTACTCATTAACTTCCGACGGGCAGCTAGTAGTATATTTTGGGGTAAGGAGATATCATAGTACGAGCACAAGTATTAGCCAAAAGCCCATACGCGTTTGTTTCGTTGATATTCTGCTGCTGCATAACACAGCTGCGAGGGGTTCGTTTCATCAGTGGGTTCCCCAGAATCCCCCGTCTGCTTTCCGGCAGATACTCCAATTTAGAATTAGTTACTTTTTAATTTCCCCAGTAATTAACTGCTCAAATATTCATTCATTAAAATCCCCGAGTGAGCCTATTGACCTAGAATATACTGATCTACTCCAAGCTCACAATTAATTTCTGAGGAAATTAAAAGCAACAAATTCTAAATTGGAGTATTTACCAGAAAGCAGACGGGGTGTTCTGGGGAACCCACTGATGAACCGAACCCCTCGCAGCTGTGTCATGCAGCAGCAGAATATCGGCGAAACACGCGTGTATGAGCTTCTGGATAATACCTCTGCTGTTACTACGGTATCCGCTTACCCGAAAATAACTGACGATGTTTATTTGTACGTGCCAGAGGAAGTCATAAGAAGAACTCGCGTTGTCTGTTGCGTGAGAGTGTTCAGTGTGTTTTAAGGTAGTCATCGGAGTAAAAATACGACAATGCAATACCTTTTTGACAATGCCTGCTAAGGGACATTAAGTTCATTTGCTACTATCATTACATTGCAAAAATAGTGTCCCCTTTTAATCGGTGACAATATGGCGTATCCGAGTTTGTGATACCACAAAGTTCTTAGGTGTTCGGCTCTTTGCTCAACACAAATGATCCCCGGAGTAAGTAACCCTGGTCATAAACCATACCCTTGCCGGTCATTCTCCTAAGGAAACTTTCAAACGCATTTGTACAAGAAAGAAATGATTCGTTCCCCATGAAAAAAGTTTGCTCGTTTAAATGTTCAAAAGTCATATGCCTGCATTTATCAACGGAAAGCAAAAAGACATGCAAACACGCTGATTAGCCCCAGTCTGTCGGGTCGGCCATGTAGTTGCAAACAAGTAAGACAGCGGCGTAGTGCTTGGGACACAGATAGATCTAGCCGCGGAATAGTTGAGTTGACATTTGAAAGCCTGCAGCCCTGGAGTTCACGGACGGCTCCACCAGTGTGCCGATTGTGTCAAGGTTCCTGTAGATGGTGCTTGAATGACAGACGATCTACAACATTGCAATCCGTAGTTGCTGCATCCATATTGCTAAACTCCTGCCTGTTCCGCGTAATTTCAGGAGTAATTGCCACAATCGGCACTATATGTGGCAGCTGGCTGCATATACCCACTTACCGGAACCTTTATCCGATGAGCAGCTTTGAGCCTTGAGGCTTAGTCGACGGATGTTACCCCATTAAAGTTAGAACCCGGACACTTTTTTGTTTCTAATACCCTCTCGATCTCAGTTACTGTAAGCTAAAATTTTGTGAGAGGCTCCGTGCCCGCCGTTTTTTGAGTTGCTCCAAATTTCTGTTTATGTACTCAACAAAATGCAAACTACATAAGTGGAATTTAGTACAGTCCACGAATTTATTAGGTAGCAACTACTTTTTGATGCCACGGACTACTGGAAATATGGAAGTCAAGTCGCGTTATTTGTGTCATATTTTTCCAGTGCCTCTGGTTACGTCAGCCTGAGCAAGGTAGAAAAGATTTTCACTTATGCATTAGTCCTTTTGTATGCTTTTTCATATGCCCATTTAGTACTGACAGACAACCGAGTGAGAAGACTTCGTTAGACTGCTCATCATAATATTAATATAAAAAATTCTCATCGGTTAATTTCGGACTGTCCTCAATGCCACGCTTGCCAAATGTGCTGGGTAACTGATGGGATATTCAGCAATCCAATTTTAAAACAATCCTATGCTTTTAGCGCGAATTGTAATTCTTGGCCATTTCATGATGATTAAATACACTGGACAGCCAGCCGTTTCACTCAGAACTGGCAAAGGCAAAACACGGTTTATTTGACTGTTGGGTGCTTGTTAACTTCGTTAGGACTGAATGAATACTGTGTTTCTATCCTGTATTATATCTGTTGAAAACAATCAGGGAGCAGATTTAATGCTACCCCCAAATTCACCTTGCACGCCAAACCCTAAGTCAAGTGGCCCGGATTTCACTGAGCGGCATAAAGACGTCACATGCGTTGAGCGATATGAAGAGAAGGAAATGAACAGAAGCAGGGGTTAATTGTACACAAAGTATATTAAGAGTGGAATTGTCATTTTTGGTTGGTTTGCCGTCGCTAGCCAATCCTAGTCCGATCACAAGCTTGAGGGGGTTGGTCGTGGAACGCGTGTCCGGTTGGTCACCGAGTCGGGCAGTCTAAATGTTAAGCCCCGTCCATCGCTTTCAAGAACGTTCAAAACACGTTTGTCCTGATTGGAGGACGTCGCAGAGTCTTACACTCTGTTTTGACACTCCGGTTTACGGCTCTCGAAAATGGTCGTATGGCATGGAGGAGACAGACGACTTTCAAGCCAGACTTCTGGGTGTTTGTGACATGTGACGGCCAACGGACCAATAAAGGTCAATTCATCTTCCCTTGGGTAGGACTGACTTATGTGGTTCCTTAAACAGGACATGGGAATGGGTACGCGGCAACGATCGGGTGAAGGACCCCAAACACACACACACACACACACAACCAGCCAAAGGTGCCTGTCTTAAGGGAAAGGTGGTAATAGGGGTTTTACGGGCGGGGCCTATGTATGCATAAAAGGAATGGCAAAATAAGTTTAAATAATTAGGAAAATCGTTTTCTGGGCGGAGATGTTTCAATGTGTTGACATATAGCAACCGAAATTAAGCAGGACAATTAACAAATAAACATTAAGTGTCTTCAACGATCGCTTCTCAATTCTCTGAGTTGAGGTCATTGTAGATAATGCATCAGACCGTCTACAACAGAAGACCCAACCTTGTACGATGAAACACCAAACCGAAATAATCGTTTCGGACTAAAACCTACTTGCATAAGTATAGTAGGTATTCTCTGTATGCCACAGATGTTTGGGAGCTTTCATCCGATCCTCGCCGGGTACGCTTCCCCAAATAATGAAGGTGGACCTCATAAACTCAACAATGACCTTAGTATAAAACTGAACCCTTACCATAATCTTGATTCTAAGCCTTAACTCTGCGGTCAACACTAGCCCCTTCCTTAACCCTAACCCTGACCTTAACTTGCCTTAAACCTAATCCTTCGCCTAACCCTAAACCTAATCTTAAACCTAACCGTGATTTCACCGTCAGTAGGCTCAAAGCCACCCGTAGTAGAAGTGGTTCCTGTTCTCGTGTCCTGTTTGGGAGGCCATATAAGCCAGTCCTACCGACAAAAGTTCCAAAGCGAACTGAAACACCCTACCCTATTCTTCAGTCACTATATGTAGATCTGTAAAAGTCGTTTCCGCATGATACAAAACCATCCGTTCTATAAGGTCCTCGAACCTTTTCAACGGGATGACGACTGTGTTGGGAAATAGGTGCGCGTAAGCTGAAGTCAAATTCATGTCTTCCGTTGGAAATACACCGAAATATATCGTCCTGTTGCGCAAATTAGTCTACGAAAAGATGATCATAAACAGCTACCACGGTGTGGCAGGCTTTGGTCGCTTAAATACAAAACTACCCTGGGGACAAGCATTTTTCGCCCTACATACGGGAAAAATGACAAACATAAATTCTAAATATCACACATAAGGGAGTTCCTGATGAGGAAGGAGCCGTTAATAAGAGTGGAAAGACGTTCTCTGTATATAACTCGTGAAAAGCAACCGGCTCTGTAAAAACCGGGTAAGTTACCATCGCAGCCACATGTCAGTGAAGGCATTATTCACTACCAATCGTTTGCCTAGATTCCAGAAGATATGGCCAGCAAAATGGGTAAGATGTGGTTTGGTAGCCCCACCTGGTGGACACAATATTGTTTGGGGTTTGGGTTAAAGGTTAGGGTTACGGATCATGGTTAGGGGTTAGGGTTAGGAGTTAGGGGATTAGAAGTTAGGGGTAGGTTTAGGGGTTAGTGCAACCATTTCTCAATCATTCAATGTACAGCCAAGCATTCCCAATAGCTTTTCTTTTCCATACAACTACTTGACCTCGTCGCCTCTGCGTTCCCTGGCCCCGCCTGTAAAAACCCCTATTACCATCGGCCCCGTATTGGAGGTGATTGGGGTTTGTTTACTTTAGGTGGGGCTAAATAACCACATCCGACCGTTTACTTTATACGGCAGGTGAATATGTGAGCAAGCATCATCCCTCTGCCAGTTAACAGACGCTGGACGCAGCCAACACGTGCAAACAAATGAGCAACCTACTACGGCCTTCACGAGGACCCAAAAATGGACATCCCTACGCCCAAATCTGCGATATAGTCGGCCGTTAACAGTGGACAAATTTCTACCAGGAGGACAGCATATTATGGCCCCTGCTCCTGGCTCTCTTTCAGTTGCCCACCCTACTCAGACATCCGAACGGTTTATGGAGGTCAACGGTTTCTCCAAGCCGTCAATTTTCGCATTCTCAACCTCGATTTTTTTCTGTGTCTCTCCTCTCTCACTTGAAGAATGCGATTGCGAAGTTTGCTCATTCTATAACTCCTCTTCAAAGAAGATCAGCCGCTCTTTTATCCCAGAACCCGCCGAGGTTATCTCACCAGCATGTCCAGCCTGCTTCTTCATCTCGCTCTAACACAGGCGTCACACATTGGTATCATACTATATTTCGTGCCAAAACCCGTCCCTGCATTCCTCCTCGCTTACGCATCTCCCAACAGACCAAATGGGTGAAATGGATCAGCCCGAAGGTCAATGTGGCAAATCTTTGTGGTTGCTCTATCCCTGGTCTAACCTGCGTCTGCGACAGCCGGAGACACTGGAGCACAGCATGGTGTCATTCATCCCACAGCAGCCGACCTTCGGTGTTCCAACCCGGCCTCTTCCTTCAGCCGTTAACACCCCACCAACCGCTACCCTCGGTAGCTTCCGACCCTCCCTGGATACAGGCCTCTGGCGTCTCTTTCCTTGAGTCTTTGTCGTTGCTGACGTTCCCTGTGCCACTCTCAGTTCAGACTTCCTTGCCGCCTTCGTACCCCTGATCGACTGCCGGCAGTCCTGTCTACACGACCAGACCATCAGTTTCTCTGTCTGGGATATCCCTTCCTCTAAAGCGTCCGCTAACTTGCCGTCCTGGACTCTGACACAGATAGTCCATTTAACCAGCTCCCCACCAAGCACGTCTATCTCACTTGTCCAAACTTTAGCTACTCTACCCCATAGCGCGACGTTTTTCCTCATATCCGTATAACTGGCTCCTCCCTCGTTTTCTCGGCCTTATCTTCTGGCGATCACACGTCTGACTGCCGTCACTGTCGAGTTCGGGTACATGTTTCAGATGGGCATCATTAGCCAATTTGAAAGCCGTTGGGTCTCGCACCTCAACATGGTCCCCAAGGCTGCCTCTGGTGGCTGACGCCCCTGAGGTGACCACAGGACCGCTCACTTGTCACCGCATTCCCAGGACTTTGCGGGTGCTTTATTTTGCAAGTTTGTCTTTTCGAAGGTCGGCCTGCTCCGTGCCTTCCGGCAGATTTCCGTTATCCCGAGGATGTTTCGAGGGCGGCCGCCACCATTCTTAACAAGGGAGTAGCAGTGCTATCCCTAAATAGGACTGCTTAGACATCCCAGATAAATGCCGAACTTCACTACGGAGCAGGACCTGGCTTAGTAGGGAACTACCCGAGTTAACCTGGACTGCCTACGGGATCGCACGTCGCCCTCCCCGTATGACTTTTTGAAAATGGGTATGGGTGGGGGGGGGGGCTGTAAGCAGGATTACCAGGTGTAAGACACACAGAACACCGGATGCTTTCATCTTCTTCGGCCGGCCGGTAAAGGCGGTTACAGGGATATGGTCACCAGGCACAATCTAGCTTCTGCAGCCCACAGATGAGGGTTGGGTGCTAGTTAAGGGTCCTGGGGAACAGTCGCCGCTTCTATGATGCAACCTACAAGACCTACACGATTTGCCCCCTAAGAAAACACCCCTGCATCTCAAACTCACACGAAATCTCGAACATCGTGACCGATACTGTCCACCGTGTGCTCCACAGCAGAGCGAGAGCGTGATTTCGTTAAAAGTGGTAGGAGACATCAACCACACCCTCTCTTCTTCCTCCACCTGGGCCTAGTGCCAAGATTGAGTTAATAAGACCGGGAGCGGGAGAGGGCAAGTGTAGCTGGCTCAGCGTAAATTCGTACCTAAGCGTACCACCACACTCCCTCGTTCACAACATACACTGGCCAGTGTTTTACACAACAAGAGAAGAGGGGGCGTCATAGATCCGTCATGTCACGGCTTGGGCCCACACCTAGGCGTGTCACCACGACCCCAATGCTGGCATTTATTATGGGTGTGCACTTCCGACAACGTCCACCAGATTCCGATCTGGCACCCCGTGGCCCGTTTGAGGGGCATACACACACCGAACTCCCTTTTCTGGCTTAAGCCGGCGGTCGAGGTGGTTATGGGCGTGTAGCAGCCATGTTGAGCATGGTTTCGGAAAGCGACCGAGAAGTTAAATTCCTCGAGAGCGACCACCGCCTGCATCGTTCTTATGAATGTTATTTTAGGCATACTGCATGTATCCCACCCACCTTAAACCCCCAACATCCTAAGAAGATTGGTGAGGTATGGTTGGCGAGCTTCTAAACAGTTCCAAATAGCTTAACTTTAGTCACCGGATCATGGAAGAGCGAACAAACATTCCAAGCTAACAAATTGATCAGTGCCACTCTGGGTAAGATGTGGTTATGTAGTCCCGCCTGACTGACACCATACTGTTGGAGTTGGGACCAGAGTTAGGGGCTAGGGCATTCCCAATAGCTTTTCTTTTGCATACAACTACTTGACCTCGTCGCCTCTGCGTTCCCTGGCCCCGTCTGTAAAAGCCCCTATTACCACCGGTCCGTATTTGAGGTGACTGGGGTTTGTTTACTCCACGTGGGGCTACATAATCATATCCCACCGAAAAATGTTTCGCAAGTCTCTTACAGGTAAATTGTAGAGGTTGGTCTAGCGGTATGGAACATTGCGGTGTCGCTTCAGTTTACAACTGAACATTTTTAAAGCTTCAGATTTCATTCTGTTTGCTCTATGTTCCTCGAAACTCAGGGAACGTGGTTATCATCCTGCCGACTGTGGACAGAGACATCTCCCTGGAGTTGTTGCATAAACACGTGATGTCACTGACCAAGCTCTGTGTTCACATTAACTATCACCTCGACAAACACTCTGAAGAGGCGGCTTTTAATTTTCACAGATGCAAATTCGAACCATTTCATGCTGGGCGCTTTTATGGGAATGAAAGGTATCACAATATTTTTCCCAGTCCATAATCCACGCAACAATCACGCGAGGCGTCAAAAACTGCATACCTATAAATGTAAAAATCACACCGGGGGCATGCTTTGCCCGTTGTCACGCGGGAGTGTGTGAATACTTAGATGTGCAACCTATGTGCATGCCTCTGGCTGCCTTTTCGCAGCTTATGAATAGTACGCGGTCTGAGTCTTTAAGTCCTAAATAGACTGATTTACCCCAATTTATTGATTAATTTCTGAAGAAATTTAAAAAACTGCAATTTCAAAGCTGCAGTATCTACCGGAAAGCACGCGGGGAACGCTGGAAGACTGACTAATGAGCCGAACCCCTCGCAGTTGTGTCATGCAGGGGCAGAATATTGACAAAACACGTGTCTGGGCTCCTAGCTAGTACCTGCGTCGTCAAGTGTGGTATATCGGCGGCTGCAGCGACAATGGCATCCCTCTCCTGCGAACATGCGTAGAATATCGACTCCTGTTGACCAACACCCTCTTCTGCCTGCCGATGCGGAAGAAGCCCACCTGGATGCACCCACTATCGTGGCGATGGCAGATGCTGGACTACTTTCTCGTAGAGCAGCGCGACTGACTGGACGTGATGGGTACCAAGGCTCAACGACAACCCCACCGACGTCAACAACCTGCTCATCGGAAAGAACAGGCCGCACAGAGACTACATCAACCACCCATCCAATGCATACAAAGCGTCCATCTGCCAATATCGATGCCTTGCGCAGCAGCGATTGCGAGAAATGCCAGACGCCTGGGTGGCTCGCAAGTCCGAGGAGATTCAGGAATATACCGCATTCAACGTGACCAAGAGATTCTTCGTATCACTCCAAGCGATCTATCGCCCCCACTGAAAAGAAGGATGCCGCTTCTCGATTCTGATGAAGCAACATTTTTGATGGAGAAGTTGCAGATTCTGCAGCGCTGGACCGAGCATTCCAGAAGCGTTCTCAACAGTACCTCCACAATTTCCGACGCCAAACTCGACCTGGATGTCCGATCTCCCTTCCAAAAACCCTCAACATGGTGCGACCACTATCCAGCGCGAAAGCGCCACTTCACGCACATGGTACGTCATCTCCACGATGGGATGTTGGGGTGCGTCACGGATAATGGCGCAGTCTCCGAAGTATTTGCCTTCTCATGTCGCGCCCATTGGGATCTGTGCCTCCCACCTACGTTTGCGTTGGCATCAAATCCTGATCGTTGTTTGTTGTGGAACATGGAGCGTGTTGGTACGTCTAGGTGCGGGTTTACGTCGTGGCAGCCATCTGCGACCTCTCGCGCCTCCGGTTTTCTTGACTTGGTCATGACACCGGGACCTGGTGGGGGAGGAGGGGAGAGTGCGGGGGATGCTCTGCAGGTCTACAATCACTACAGACCAAATCACACGCAAGCCACCGTTCCTGGTCTCGCCCTGCAGTGGATATCGTCAGTCACGACTACCGAACTGTCATGTGTGTTTGCGCGTGTGTGTTTGTGTGTCTGAGGTTATTTTCTACTTCTTTACCCCTGTGCACATTTTTGCATTTTTACCCTACATGGGTTCTTTAGCATACGCAGAAGGCGTATAAGTACATGCATTTAACCGCGGTTCAAGATTCCGGATTACGTACTGGGACCTACCTATACCAATATTTTCGCCCCCCGAAACGTGTCTCATCCGGCTTGATGCCTCTACTGGTGTGAACTGACCAAATGGACTGGATTTTGATAGAGTCGTGTGTACATTATGTATGTATGCGTTACTTTAACATCTGAAGCTTGATGGCACACAGCACCATAACCAGAACATGCGAATTCTCGATGTCTACTAGTCATCATCAACACTACTGCGAACTTATTCACATGAAGGTCGTCGGTACTGGCAAAATTTGGGTCACGCCGAACAAATAAAAGTAAGGACTACATTTGATTACCCGGTATGAGTGCCGCTGAGCCAGTCAGGTGTCGCCTGATGTCAGCGTCAACGATTAGCATAATCATCGTCATTCAGTTAAGTCCCCAGCCTTCTAAGGACGTTGTACAGTCCCCAAGCCTAGCTGATAACCACAAAGTACTTACTTGTACAAAATAGCTTTGTCTTCGCTGCGCATCCTTCTCGACTTCGTGTCTTACCCTTCACAGACCGTTATCTTTTGGCGAATAAGTTTGCAGATTATCCACGTCTATCTTCTCTGAGCTTCTATGTAACCTGCGTGCATGTTGTTCCCCACTATGTTCTTCCCCTTATTCACCGGAACTGGACTTCTTTGTTTAGTCAGCTCTTGAGTTTGACCTTAAGAACGTGGTTCACCCTTGTTTAGAATCCTTCCTGTACACGCATGTGACCCACGCTAGCGAATGCGCAAGCTTTTGCCGTCTACGATCAGGCGTTAAATTCGGCCAGCTCCTTTGTTCTGAGTACGGTTATCCACTGATGAGGTTTGTACCTTGTTTGTTCCTGAATACTTGTTAATAGCGCCGCACAAGACCCAGCTACGGCTTTCTTTTTTGATTTGACGCACGTGTTACCCCAGGATACGGAAATGTCGGTTACACAGGCCGCTCAGACTCAAACAGCCGGTCGACTTTCCTCTTTCCCCCCCCCCCCGCCTACCCGCTCTCATTTGCATGCACATTAAACAAGTAAATTCTCAAGGCAATAAATTATCAGAGAAAAGCTTTTCTGAAATCGATGTGATCCGCACCTAAAGAAGATTGGAGGTAGCTTTTTAACTGCGTGCGCGTGCTTGCGTGCGACAGTGGGACGCAGAGAGAAAAAAGACTGTACAAAAGGAGTTCTGGACTCCCTGGGATAAGAAGACCGTTATAGCACAAGGAACAGGGGTAGTACCACGCATCCAATTATTTGGGTAAGCAGGAGTCCATGATCATAGTACGCTAACTCTACACCCTTTCACAAGCGCTGTCTGGAGAGCGAGAGTGGAAGCCGCAGCCGCAGTAACTCCAGCTTCAGTGACGTATATTAAAGTGGGCGCAGTTTAAATGTTTGTAGTTGGATTTAGGGTGGCTTTACTGCCTGGCAGTCCTCTGTTGATTGTATCTGCTGGTTCCGGCTGAACCGTCTCACGCGGCGTCCCCCACTCAGCCAAGGTTGTGAGTGAGTAGGTATGGTGGGGATGGGCTTAAAAACCAAATTGTTTAGGAAAGCGACAAATACGACGCAAATATTAAACTTCAATAGCAACCACCCGATCGGTCACAAACGCAGTTGCGTAAGGGCGCTATACAGACGCGTTGAGACGCAATAAAGTGAAATGGAAGACAAGGTTACTGAATTAAAATATCTTCGACGGGTAATGAGAGCCAGTGGTTACCCGCGCAACTTTGTCAACCAGTGTATACTTAAACGATACCGGAAATCAAATCCAACCGGCCCCAAATTTTGGCGGGCTCTTCCGTACGTGAAGAACGTCTCGGAAACCGTCAGTCGTCTTCTCACTCCACTTGAAGTTGGGGTTGCACACAGGCTGGAAGCAACTATTAAGCCCCAAGTCATGAGGTCAAAAGACCCACTGCCACGGCAGGAAACGTCTGGAGTCGTTTACCGGTTCTGGTGCAGTTGCGGACAAGGCAACTATGCCGGCGAAACTGAGAGATTACTCCGTACGAGAATTGTCGAGCACGCAGCGGCAGAGGCGGGGAGACGCTAACTCTCAGGTGGCGGCTCATTCGACGGGACCCGGCCATATTTTAAAGTTTCAAGAGGCCGAAATCCTCGCAAGGGATGACAACCGCGTGAGCCGCGAGCTGCTCGAGTCATGGTTTTCAGGCCCGCAATCCATTAACAAGCGCAATGGCCTCCCGGTACCATATTCCGTGCTGAGATTTTCCCTGGGCAGGGGAATCAGTCACGTGGGGAGGGCGCGGGCGAGCCATTATCGCAGTGACAGTGAGCCAAGTTGCCGAGCCATCGTCACACCAGCATCCAGCACGGATGACGAAATCACGGCCATTAACGACTTGGACGCGGAATGACAAGCCACCATCGCATCATTAATTACAGTGCGCATATAACCTCAGGGCGGCCACGTGCAATAAATACTGCACTCCTTGTGCCACCATTACACTTATCTGCGACTGTCTCTAATGACGTATTCTAGTGAGAATCCGAAACGACAGGCCAATAAATTTCTTGTTCCAGTGATCGCATCTTCCTATTCCAAAAATCAGGGGCTCAGAGACAAGTATGCTTGATTATAGTTTATGTCAGTGAACTATTCGTGGGGTTAGTATTTAAACATTCTCACAGGCGGTCACAAGAAACCTTCAAGCCCTTGAGTTTCGATGGAGTATGGTCTTAATCCCTGTTCTTGAGCTCGTTACCCAGCTCCCTGAATGGGTTAGTCACCATGGCGTAGACAAGGGTCTAAATCCAACGGGATAAAGAATAAAATGACGTATTTCTTTCGTTATGAGATAGCAAAGTCTCCTGCTATTCCTTCTTCACGACGACTGTAACCCTGAACTCCGAAGTCGGCAGTTCAGCGCCGAGGCGTGGCGGTGACGAAACGAACCAGTAAAGGGAACCAAACCAATTAGACGACGGGCCGGTTGTCACGGAATACAGGAAACAGAAAAATAACGTAGATACAAGGCTTCAACAGTAATCCCCGGTGCTAAACTAACGCGTGCCATATGGCGACTGGAGAATATTTGTAGTATGCCACTTGCGAAGTCGAACGAAGTCACACGCCTTTGTGGGACATGAGTCAACGGGTATCCGCAAGTGCCCGCTGAGACGCTGCATGCCACAAATGGGCCGCCATAAGGAGTCCAAACAGTTAGATTGTGACAAGGCATCCCGTATGTGGAAGGCGTCTCCGTGATCGAGGTCAGATCCCTCGTGCGATTAGAGGCACATCCAACCACCTCATCCGTAAAATCCAAATCAAGCAGTAACCACGGCCCCAGTCTCAAATCCAACTCTAATCCCAAACGATTTTCGCGGTAATCATAACTATTTCTTAAATCTCACGCCTTCTGAGGTCGGAGTTAGCACTCCGTCGATGGGTGATGTGGTCGTATAACCCCACTTCGAATCTAGAGAATCTATCCGTCGTTTATCGACTTTTGTGTCATTGAGGATAGGGAGTCTACATCAGAGAAACCAGTCAAAAGTCTGTAGAGGCGGAAATGCATAAAGATCAGTTGACCGTTTAGAGGTTAGATCCAAAGTAGGAGGTGGTGACCAAGATTGCGCAGATGAGACATCACTTCAAGGTAACGATTGAGCGCCAAGGCCGGTGTAGGAGATTTTAATGTCCACTGACCATTCGGTCAACCAGCACATGAACGCGCCTGTTTCCTACAGGTTGAGCGATTCTACCTAACAAGAGGCAGTCAAGGCGGGAGACAGTCGGAGCCATCAATTATCGCCACGGTCGACAAGAAGCAAACAGGTGTTTTTTTCCTCACCTACAGTTGGCACTGACGATCCACAGGCCATGCACAATGCGCATGTAACCCAGGCATCATAAAATGAGAGCTGCGCAAAGGCATTTGGTCTCTGAAGACAAGTGACCAAAATAGCCAATCGAAATGGTATTTTAGTTCCTACTGAACAGAATTTACTTCACTGGGATATGTTTAATGATTGTAGTTGCAGTGAGAATTGGCAAGCAGGCCTCCTTTCTACAAAGTGTGTCCTGTGGAACACTAAGCAACTTGCTTAATAAGGATGTTTCCCGATTGGCAAAAATGGAATGAGCCATTTATTGTATGGAACGTTATAAATGCAAGCTATCTTGCTTTCAATATTTTCTGGCGATAGGACAGTTCGGGCCCTACTAGTAATGCCTGACTGCTATCATATGCTACCTTACGTAAAAATGTCGTTTTTTCAGATATGCTCCATCAAAGATAACTTGGTAACTTGCAGCTGTCAAGGAGAAGTTTTCAGTAGCAGTTGTTGGATAGTGTGCCGAATATCTTGACAGACAGTACAGCTGGACTGAGGATTCCGATGATGCTCACTATGTGCCTCACAGCATGGTGGAAGCAGGGACGTTGCCTTGCACGTGAGGTAGTCTATCGTGACGACGGACTTGCGAAGCATCTACCTCACGTTCTCCTCCTTCCCACCTGGGCGCATTGTCACGGCAGAGCCAAGAAAACCGGAGACGAGCAAGGGCGAAGGCGACCGACACGGTGACGATCCACACCCAGGCGTATCACCACACCCCCCGGTCCACAGCAAATACTGGCCAGGATTTTGGACAACAAAAGTAAAGGGGGGGGACGGCTGTGGTCCCAACTGATGCGGCGTAGGCTCGCAACTGGGCCTGCCGGCACACCCTCCATGTTAGCACATGTTATGGGTGCGTATTCGCAATAACGCCTGCCAAACCCCGATCTAGCCCCTGTGTTGGTTCAGGGCATCTGCGGCCTGACCCATCCTAGGGGCCAGAGCTACACACAATTGGATGACCAACTTTTGTTTACGAGTTAGCCTATAAAATCGGCGTACTTAAACCGAAGTTGGAAAAAGGTAGAAGTAAATACCACTGTTCTGAGTCAGTAATATTGCAGTAGGCGTCACTGACTCCTTAAACTCGAAACATCAACTGTGATTTAGCGTATTTGACTGCAATTTAAAATCTTGGGTGGCGTTGCGCTCTGAGGCTCACGGTTTTAAGCAACTGGGTTCTACTTCCACAAAAATGCATTCGCAGCAGAGTTCTTCTGAAATTCATCCAACAGGGCAGATAACAACAATGCCACCCTTAGACTTCCATATCCTCAAGACAGTGATTCTGTATGTCAGGTTAAGTCTTTGTCGTCCCACTCGGACATGATGTTTCATACGTAAAAAGCTACCTTTAAGGCAAATAAGATTGGAATAACCATTTTCCGACCCACCCCCACGGCGCGAACCCCGACATTTTGGTCAATGACCGCCGAAGTCAAGTTCGCCAGTTGTCAGGGATGCCAATCTGCATTTGTGTGTCTCATCTCATTAAGGGCAAATCCTGTTGGTGATGCGGGGAATGCTGTTTTACTTTACGAGGCGTAGGATGCTGAAATCATAACGAACACGAAGACAAACTATACTAGGCCCTTAGTTGTTATAAATGTGATGAGCCTGATTTCGGAACGAGTATAATTCATGGGCGGTACGTTCGAAAGCTCCTGCTAACGGGCATTTGCTAACCGGCGCCAAAGGGAAGTACTTAGCATTCGCAGGGCCTCCTGTGCCGATCGTGATCCTCAAGAACAGTTTTCTAGGAGTTGCCTACAAACCTCTTCGCGTACTCGATACAACGATTTTGGAACCCCGGGACTGAATATTACCTCCACTTCGACCGTCGATTCCGACGATGGCCACCGTGTACTCCACTGAAGGGTGAAGCAGACACGATGAATTGCGCGTGAATTAGTTTATAGTGAGTGAAGACTTGCGCAGCATCTAACACACTCTCTCTTTCCCACTCCCCACCGGGGACGGGTTTCAAGACAGAGCCAAGAAGACCGGAGGCGGAGGAGGGCGCAGGTGGCTGGCACGGCCGGACCCACACCTAGGCGCGCCACCACACCCCGTGCTTCACAATATACACTTGACCAGGATTTTTCACCAACAACAACAGCAACACCCCAACAGGGGTTGGAAGGACGAGGACGATGACTGGGCAGCTATGACCACCACCTGTATACGCAGCGGGAACGTAAGCGCATCTACTTGCAGGGAGCCGGGTGTCAGGAGACTGCCAGCGCATACCAGACTGCGAGGGCCATGGTTTGCTGATACTGGCATGGCACACGCCCTCAGACCTTTTGACACTAAATATTACTACTGAGTATTACTTTGGACTCCACATGTGCTGTATTTAGCATCCCTTCAAGGTAAGTTTTAGTTTTAAGTTCAATAAATGGGGTGATAAAATGGAAAAGAACGTACTTGGTCTTCTGAATGAGGACATTTGCACGAAAAGCCGCTTGCCCTGCAGTATGGCCGAAGTAAGCTAGGCTGAGCCGGCAGAGACGAAAACTTTTGCACGTACTTCTCCCATTTGCGTGTTATGTTGATATAGTTGGATATAACTAAAATGTATTATATGGAGGTCCGCCAATCCCTATCAATGCAATTATTTCAACAAATTATGAGATGGTATTATGAACTTGAATCCTTACTGGGTTGAAACATTGCAAGGCATAAGCACAGAGCAGGCACACGAAGCATCCAGTCAGACTGGCCGGCAACATTGGCTGTGAAGATAGCCGGAAATTTGCCGAAAGTGAATATTGAGCAGAGTTAAAACTTCGGCTAGTATTTTCAGAAATAAAAGTTTAAGGACGGCCAAATGGGCTTAATGGCCACCGTGTTAGGCAGGGAGAATTTGTGCTTACGGGACGCATAGAAAACGGAGTCCATGAATTGAAAATTGGCATATTTCCAGATCTTGTCCGCCAGTGTAACTGATATACTGCCGTCGGCGGAAGCCGTAGGCCAGAATTTATAGGAAGAACGAAGGAACGCCTGAGATATTTTAAAGGTGGGAAGAATAACCCAACGAATAGCGTGCAAACGAACCGAATCATGATGTTTCGGAGGCTGGATGTCATTACTAGCACAGGGCCACAAGCTCCTGACAGGAAAGTTTTGGCTAAAAGAAATATTCGAACAGGAACTTTGGATCCCAGAACTCCCAAAGACCAATCGTCGCCAAATACGAGTCTCAACACTGCCCTCGACATAGACCCAGCAGTGGTTTTTCATGGTGGAACGTACCTGCGCTGAATCCACCTAACTCGCTCCCCCCACAACAACCGGGCCCCGATAACAAGACAAAAGCAGGGTGATCAGAAATGGGCATAGTCGCAGTGACGGACAAGGTTGAGCTGTCTGGCTGCGTCTACCACGCCAGACCTTACCCCTGCCACACGTGTACTAGGCCTCATTCACAGCGGGGACACCGGATCTCACACAAGTGAGTTTCATGACGGCCACACTTGAAGGGAGTCCTGGTGGCGCGACCAAAGTAGATCCACATTAGCTCGTCAACTGACAACTTTCTAAGCTAGGGATATTAACGAATCGCTGTAGTCTAAATAAAAGCATTTGATCACGTCTAGTAGCAAACCAGGCTCTGGGTCCGAGGTGGATCCACCTAGCTCTCTCCTTCCTCGGTTAGATTGCAGTTTGTAGCCAGGAAAGGGGAGGCGGAGGGCCAAGTCCCTATCGTACGGGAATGGTGGGAAAGGGCATTATATGGGTGGGGTAAATTAAAGGACTGGTAGAGGAATGCTAGAGTTTCTGTGTAAAAATAAAGTTACGAGGGAAAGTGCTGGGAAGTTTCCAGTAGGTGGAATAATGGCAGAAATTTAAACCCTACGCTTAACCCTAAAATCCAACCCTGACCGCAACCGTAAAGCCTAACCCTAACCCTCAAAACCGAAACGTAAGCACAATCCTAAAACTCAACGCCACCCCAAAACCTAGTCATAACCCTAACCCTTACCTTGACCCTAACTCCAACCTTAACCCTAACCTTAACCGTAACCCTAACGGGAACCATAACTCTAATCCTAACACTGAAACCTGACTCTGAAACGCAAACCCTAATCCCAAAATTTAACCTACACTTAACCCTAACCCTCACAAAACTAACAGCCTGACCAAATTGGACGAACTGCCTAACTCAGTAAGAACACACCTACTGATAACAAGTTCCCTAGACAAGGTAAGCACACCTACTGATAACAAGTACGTACGTCCGCAGTATCACCGTATAATGTCTGACTGCCAAATGCGATCTTGCCCCTTTCTCTCCCGTCCAAACTTCTGGTCCGACTGGAAATGTGATTGAACGCAGTCTAGCGCGCGCCACACAAGTGGCCGAATTTCACAGCACTGAGAGGGCGCATTAAGACGGTGTCATTGTGATTCAAACCTCGTCTCAGAGAAGCATCATAGCCACGACTTTTGGAGTGTCGTGATGGGTTACAATGCATCTGACGCCTTGTAAAGACAAACGTACTAATCGTCAAGAGAATGGATTTCTCACTTTGGTCTTATTCTCTCTCTCTTCCTTCTTCCATGCCACGGTGAGCTGTTAAAGTATGCTAGCCTACTGGAAGTGAGAGTAAGCGCATTAACTGTCAGGGCGTTGAACTCATCCTATCGCTTGACTCGCGTGTACACACGCAAGCAAGCATGACAGTTCTCTGGCAACTACCAACGTTGGCTAGGGCGGCCGTAACGAGGGCAGAATGAACGTAATATCCGCGCCTATGGTCGGGATGATCTATGCAATGATTGCATGTGTGGGAACAGTGTGAGCTTGTTTGGTATGTGACAGCTTAGCAGTTGTTGTCGTGTATGAACAAAGGTCGAACAGACCCATGTAGTCGCTGAATATGCGGATGCAGTGTGGGCAAGGAGCGTGCGAGCGAACGAGTGCTGACCGGGGGACTACAAGAACCAGTTCTCTTGTGTTACGATGCCTTCGCAAGTAACCTAACAGGCCGGTTGGTGATTGGAATATTAAGTGGTAATGTGGACAAGTATACCGTCTACTTTGATGGTGAGGTGTGTCTATCAAATTCTGGCTGCGCTTGAGTTGCGGCTGGTACACGATGTCACATTGAGGAGACGTCAGGGGGCGGCACCAGTAACGATGCTGACTGTGATGGGAGTTGATTGTGAACGGTGTCGTTTGTAGCATTGGCACGATGGAAAGTCGGAAGGTGTCCAACAAATCGAACAGGGCTCCTTAAACGTTTTTGTAGCACAAATATATGGATGGATTTGGGATTTAGCAGTGATGCATCGTTGCACATCGAGGTTTCAAGTCTGTCCTTTCCTTTGGCCCCCGTTATTCGTTCGGCTCAAATAATGTTTATTCAAGTTTGTTCATAATGATTTCCGGTCTTGTGTCAATGTTTTCTGGTACCCTGGTTACTTTTAAAGTTATTGGGCAATTCCTCAATACATTAATGTAGCTTCATATATTTTCACCGCCTCTGTGTTTGCGTATCAGCCACTGTTTGGCAGAGTCGATTTATGGCCGTCTAACCGGCGTGACGAGAGCAACAGAAACATTCTTGCTGGGTAACTGCTTACGTCGCTTATGACAGCCTTCGAATTGTCAACACGGTGACATTAATCGACAATTTTATCTTCGGCGATTGACCGCAGCCGGGAAAAGCATCGAGGCACGCACATACCTCGCGTCGAGACTAACAACATCAACGACTGCCGTTCGGTCGGTTAAACAATCGCTATTGGATATACAGCTTCAATTTATGAACGTCAGAACGACAGTCAGTCCAGTATCCGGTAAGAGGAGGATGGACATCCTACTTTGGAAGATGAGCGAGTTCACCCCAAAGGGTAGGAGTGTGGGAGTGGGAAGACGCGAGTTTTTGTTTTGTGCAGCATTTCAAGGTTGTGATTAGCTTCCAGCAGCCACTTTGAAGTGCGCAGACGACGCAAACCAGTAATTATTAGCACCGTATCTATTACCTCTTCCTCTATGCGGGATGCGGTAATCAATGTGTCCCTAAACAGGGCTGCTGAGTCACGCATGTGGCTGTCTGACTCAGACATAGGTCTTAGATTGAAGCCTTTCAAGTACAATATGCTCTACAGCGCCAATTTCAGCAAATCGTTCGACAGGTTCGGTGTATATGAACAGAGATCACGATACTAATTTTATTTAACAGCAGGGATATCAGGCGGTAGTAGACGATGTCCGGCTGCCGCGACTACATTTTCGCAATTATCATTTACTTCAGCAAATACTCTCTTACGTTCGTTTTGAACAGACGCAAAGGAATAGTTGATTTACAAAACCGGGACTCCGCTATTCATCGTTGTAAGTGTGTTGGGCTTCTACAAAGTAAAATCACTTATTTGTATGCGTGTTTGTCTGCAGACACTGATTGTGTTGAGCATCGTGGCCGAAATAATTGGCGAAGTTTGGTTCTGTAACCCATCTGAGTTATAGCATATTGTTAGCTTACTAAAACAATATTAGTTACCAAACCCAACTGATCCACTCGTCGGATTAGGAGGAGAAAGAGGACACAAACGGAAATCGAAGCACGCGCAGGGAGGCGCTTGTGAATTAATACCTGAAGTAACCTAGGCTGGCTTAAAAGCACTCATCCCCCGGAAACAGTCATCCGCTGGATTAAAATTGTAGGGAAGATGGAAATACGGGATATTTGTAAAGTCATCATACTCACATCTAATAAAATTTTGGTTAGATCGCAGTTGGTAGCCAGGAATGGGGAGGCAGACAGCCAGGTCCCTGGCGTACGGGAATGGTGGGATAGGGGGTTATATCGGTGAGGTAAATGGAAAGGCTGGTAGAGGAATGATGGAACTTTCGGGTAAAAATAAAGTTACCACGGAAAGTACTGGGAAGTTTTAAGAAGGTGGAATAATGGCAGAAATATAAACCTTACGATGAACCCTAAAATCCAACCCTGACAGCAACCGTAAAGCCTAAAGCAAAGGCTCAAAAGCGAACAATAAACAAAATCGTAAAACCAACGTTAACCTAAAGCCTGTCCATAATACTAACCCTAAAATTAATCCCAAACCTAAACATAACTCAAACTCTAACCTTAAGCCTAAACCTATCCCTGAAATTAAGCCCAACCCTAACCTTAAGTTTAGTCCTAACTCTAACCTAAATCTAAACCTAATCGTAAACGTAAACCCTTCCCTACCCTAGCCTCAAACGTAAACTTAAACCTAACCCTAATCAAGACCCTAACAAAAACAGCTAACCCTAAACTTAACCATAAACCTAAACGTACCCTATGCCTAACCTTAACCCTAACCCTAAAACTTAACCTAAACCTAACCTAGACCCTAAATCTAACCGTAACCCTAAGCCTAACCCTATACATACCCTTAAGCCTAAACTTAAACCTAACAATAAACTAGATCATAACCCGAACCCTAAATTTAACCCTAAACCTAAACTTAGCCCTAGCCCTAACCTTAAACCTAAACCTAACCCTAAACCTACCCTTGAGCCTAAACTTAAACCTAACCCTAAACTAGACCAAAAACCTAACCCTAACCATACACTTAAGCATAAATTTAACGCTAACCCTACCCTAGACCCTAAACCTAACGCTAAACCTAACCCTAACCATACGCTTAAGCCAAACATTAACTCTAAACTTAACCTAGACCTTAGCCCTAACTCTAACACTAACCCCAACCCTAAACTTAGCACAAACCGTAACCTTAACTCTAACCCACACCTTGATAATGAACCTAACACTTAACATATCCATAAACTTAAACTAACCCTAACCGTAATCTAGGCCCTAAAAAAAACCCTAACCCAAAACTTAACCATAAACCTAAATCTACCTTTAAGCATAAACTTAAACCTAACCCTAAGTTAGAAACTAGCATTGTCCGTAAAGTTAACCCAAACCTTAAACTTAACCCTAAACTAGACCCTAACCCTTAAATTCACCATAAACCTAAACATGACCCTAACCCTAATCTTAAACCTAAACCTAACCCTAAACCTACCCTTGAGCCTAAACTTAAACCTAGCCCTAAACTAAACCATAAACCTTACCCTAAACCCAAACCTAACCCTAACAATAAGCCTAACTCTAACCCCAGACCTAACCCTAACGATAACCATAACCCTAACCCTCAAATAAAGCCCAACCCTAACCTTAAGCTTGGCACTAACCCTAACCTAAATCTAAACCTAACCACCAACCTAATCCTACCCTTAAACGTAGATTTAACCCTAACCATAATCTAGGCCCTAAAAAACCCCAACCCTACACTTAACCATAAAACTAAACCTGCCCTTAAGCCTTACCTTAACCCTAACACCAACCCTAAACTTAGCCCTAACCTAGACCCTAACCATAACCTTAACCCTAAACCTAACCTTAAGCCTAACCTTAACCTTGACTCTAATCCTAACCTTAACCCGAAACCTAACCTTAACCGTAACCTTAACGGGAACCTAAACCCTAACCCTGACACTGAAACCTGACTCTGAAACGCAAACCCTAAGCTTAAAACTTAACCTACACCTAACTCCCGAAACCTAACAGCCTGACCGAAACGGACGAGCCGCCTAAATCAGTAAGAGCACACCTACTGATAACAAGTCCCCTAGACAAGGTAAGCACACCGACTGATAACATGTACATACGCCGACAGTATCAACGTATAATGTTTGGCTACCAACTGCGATCTCATCAAGACTTTTTATAAAGCTAACCATGTTGGGCTGCTGGACCAAACCTCGCCAAATAATTTACCAAAATAGTCTACATGGTTTACGTTATCAGAAAGAAGAGATTCCTCTGATAATGACGGTTCTATAGCTGCAATTAAAAAAGGCGACCTCCCTCTCTTGGCAGTCATTTGAAAACGCTTTTAACGTGATGAAATCCCTTTGCTGTTTTACAAATAGATAGTAAAGCAACACGCATTGATTCGGGGAGGGGGAGGAGATGAGATCGCCGCAACAAGAGCCTCATGCGCCTGAAATTTCGCATTAATATTCGGAGCCCATAATCAGAGACTGCGCCTTGTCTAATGCGGTCTTCGATGATGGGGCCAAATGGGCATCCAAAGCATCAGGTTTTAGACGACAGTCATCATTACGATGCTCTGCCTCTTTGTTCAACGCCCGCTGCGTCTAGGTCACCCACACGCCCACCAAGTGTTTCCGCTCGCGCTGACCTTAATACGATCGGACGGACTAGGACATGCGCACACGAGAGTTGGACCGTAGCGAGTGACGACGTCCACAGCGTACCGCACTGATTAGGATATATGGGTGTCCAGTTGTGGGTCCAGGTGATGGTCGTCGTAGGTCGCTCGCTTGCTCGCAGGTGAGACTACGTCTAGCGTTCATTTCCTGGCACCCAACTCTCGAATGTGGCTCCCCAAAGTTAGGCTCTGTCTAACGGCCACACACCAGGTAAGCGCCTCGGACGGCGAGCTAAACAAGGTGAGGGTATCTGTGTGTGCATCTCCGCACACGGCAACTCGGTTCTGCCGGCCGGATGGACCACCGACTTGGCATCTCCGAGACGAGACTCCGTCTGCAACACCGCAAAAGACCACAAGGTAAGTGAGGCCTAGGGTAAGTGGGCCCCGGGTAGGCGAACATTGCTTTGCTGGATTGCAATTTGTCTGCACTTTTGTATTTGTTCTTGCTAAAGCCTAAATGTCGTCATGTTACATTTCCTCTGTTGCCTTTACTGTTTGATTTCTTTGTCTGCTTTTGTCTGCTTGTTTGTGTTTGTCAATATGGTAAGCTAAATGCCGTTCTGTTCACATTGTCTGTGCACGTTTATATTTCAGCAATCAGTTAGCTCAGAGAAAGACAATAAGCTCAGAATCCCGTCTATCTACCCTTCACGCAACACCCTTTCGAGTCCTACGGCCTAGGCTAAATCAGCTCGTTCTCCTATCAAACAAAAGTAGTGGCCCATAGTGGAGTTCGCCTGTGCCTGGGCAGCCCTACTTAGGGGCAGCAGTGCCCACCACCGCGAGGGCGAAGGGACTAAAAAAGGTGCCCTTAATAAATACTGGGAACACGTCCTCTGCTGGGGAACAAAGCCGTCTATAGGCTGACCGTGGCCGCAGACGCAAAACGCATGGCCGAAACAACCAAATAAGAAACAACACTTTCCTTCTTCCCCCTCCTTTTCCCCGCCGTCCCACTCGCCAGACAGGCAGGGTGAGTCCGCTCACTCTGGCAGCCTGGAATGTTCCTTCCCTTTTATACAATCCGAGGAGCAACCGAACGGGACGGAGGACAGCGCTAGTGGCCGGGGAACTGGCGCGCTACAAGGTGGACATCGCCGCACTCAGCGAGACTCGATTTTCCGAACAAGGTCAACTTGAGTAGGTGGGTGCGGGTTACATCTTCTTCTGGAGTGGTCACCCAAGGACAGAACGACGAGACGCGGGTGTCGCCTTCACCATCCGGAACGACATCGTGGGACGACTGCCCTGTTTGCCGCAGGGTATCAACGATCGCCTGATGAGCTCCCGCCTGCCTCTCCTGGGAGACAAATTCGTCACCATCGTCAGCGCCTACGCTCCCCCAATGGCCAGCCCTGACACCGCAAGAAACAAATTCTACGAGGGCCTGCACGCCCTCTTGGCGACTGTGCCGAAGGCAAACAAGTTGATTGTCCTTGATGACTTAAACGCCCGCGTCGGCACAGAACATGCTGCCTGGAGAGGAGTGCTGGGTCCCCATGGTCTCCGCGGCTCCAACGACAACGGACTGCTGCTTCTACGTACCTGCGCAGAACACCGCCTCATCCTGACGAACACCTTCTTCTGTCTGTCGGAGCGAGAGAAGGCCACTTGGAGGCATCCTCGGTCGCGCAAGTGGCACCTGCTGGACTATGTCCTCGTCCGGAGGCGAAACTAGCGGGACGTGCTGGTGACAAAGGCGATCGCGGGTGCTGACGGGTGGACCGATCATCGTCTCGTCATCTCAAAGATGCGTATTCGCCTACAGCCTCGCAGGAGACCACAAGGTAAGCGACCCCCAGGTAGGCTGAATGTTACATTATTTTCCTTGCCCGCTCACCATCTCCATTTCATCAATGAGCTAGCCCAACGGCTTGACAACCTTCCCATCGCTGCCGCCGCCGACACCGCCGCCGCTGCCGAGGACGCCTTCGTAGAGAACCGATGGCGTCAACTGCGGGACACAGTCCAGTCGACGGTGCTGACCGTCCTCGGTCGTGCACGCCGCCGAAAGCAGGACTGGCTCAACGACAACGACGCCGTCATTAGCAATCTGCTCGCCGAGAAGAACCGCCTACACAAAGCCTACGTAGATCACCCCACTGAGGACAACAAAGCTGCCTTCTACCGTTGTCGTCGCCTCCTACAACAGCGACTGCGCGAGATGCAGGACGGCTGAATGGCTCGTAGTGCTGAGAAGATCCAAGGGTACGCGGACCGCAACGAATGGAAGAACTTGTCCGCGATCTATGCTGTCTACGGTCCGCCGACGAAGGGCACTGTTCCTCTCCTCAGCGTCGACGGCAGTACTCTCCTCACTGAGAAGACCCAAATTCTACAGCGATGGGCCGAGCATTTCCGAGGCGTCCTCAACCGCCCCTCCACCATCTCCGGCGCCGCCATCGCCCACTTGCCTCATTTGGATACCAAAATGGACCTCGACCTCCCTCTCTCTCTCTCCAAAAAACAGCAAGGCGGTGCAGCAGCTCTCCAGCGGGGAAGCACCCGGATCGGACGCCATCCCTGCTGAGGTCTACAAGCACGGTGGTCCCCAACTAATGGATCACCTGACTGCGCCTTTCCAGGAGATGTGGCGTCAAGGTGAAGTCCCGCAGGATTTCACAGACGCCACGATCGTCCATCTCCACAAGCAGAAAGGAAACCGCCAGCTCTGCGATAATCACCGAGGTATTTCTCTGTTAAACATTGCCTGGAAGATCTTTGCTCGCATCTGTCTGAACCGCCTGACTAATCATCTAGAAGAGGGCCTTCTATCGGATTGCCAGTGCAGCTTTCGCCGTCATCGAGGGACCAAGTACATGATCTGCATTCACGAAGTGCTGAAACAGATTCAATCGCGCTGGGGAAGCCTCGTATGGAAGAGTTCATCAGCCGATTACTTTTGGTGCCTGGAGGGCAGTATCGTTGCAAGCACATTTATTTTTTGACTCTTGATGTTTCATGCTGTGATGCAGCAAATCAAGGCGTACCGATTTTCAAAATTCAATATGAGAATTCAATTCACTTCCGCATGATAATTTACTTCATCAGAATAGCACATTTTGGTCTGATTTAACAGGCTGTAGACAGAACTCCATTTGTGAGGTACAATATTGTTCTCAAAACTCACGTATTTCTTCAATAACCTTGTGTAAGAAGCGATCTGCTACTTCCTCAAGGTCTAGGAGTGGAAGTTGTCCATTAACATCCGTTTAGAAAGCGAACGAAGGCCTAGAAATGTGGAGTGAACATTTTTCGTATACAGTTGATCCAGAGGATTTTTCCTGATGACGATAGATATTCCATCCACAAAGTACAGTCATAATTTAGAGCTTACTGTGGAAAGAGCCATAGCTTCTGATTTCTGGATTATGGTTTCCGTCAGACTGTCAGGTATAAGCGAAAGTATATGAGAACCTCCATCTGCTGATATTTGCAGTTGACGAAGTAAAAACTCGTTTATAGACAGCGATCTAGGAGTTTGAGTAAAGAAATGGCAAGCACATCAGTGGTGTAGTTGCAAAGGATTCATGTGGCTCAGCAATTGGACAAATTAAACCGAATCGAGATAATGAGCGGGGTTACCTATAATGTAACCATTATCGCGCAAGTTGCAACTCTGCCTCCTTTTCCCTGTCTAGAAACTGTTTTAAATCTTCAGTGGAGTTCTCGGACTTCCTTGCAAGTGGATGCAGTTGGTGAACTGGTCACTTTGAAATCTTGTAGTTCGGTGCATTGATTAAGGATACTATGGGTTGCAGCGGACTACCTGTTTTATAAACTAAAGGAAATTAATTTATTTTGGCCATTGCTGGTTCATCCTGTTTTAAGAATTTGGTCAGAACTCCAGGGGTTAATTCCGATCCTGAAGGACATTTCAGCTTTTTTAAATACACAAGTTCTACAATTTTTTAGAGTCGGCAATCAGACCTTCGTGTGCTATATCGTCTTTGAACACAATCAGCACCGTCTCTGTGTTGTCGGTCCTGCTCAGCATGGTGGTGGAGTCTCCTTTGTACGCACGCAAAATGATGGCATTGTTGCCCTTTCTAAATAGATTTAAAGATTCCTTTCCATCGCATGATCGTATTGAGAACTTGTCTCGATTCTTAAAGGCTTGTGCATTGTTACTGTAAATTGTAAACGGTTCCTGTTCCATAAAATTTATTGAAATCGTGATTGATTCGAACATGGCAAGCAATTTCACGTAGTTCGAGTCGGGCGGATTTTATTTTAGGCCCTTATACAGCATGTTCTCTTCTGGTGCTTCTAGGACGCTTGGACCTAGACCTGCAGCTTTCTTTCTACATAGATAATTACGGGATCATTCTCCAGAAACGGTGATTCGCGCCTTACCTAAAGTCCGCCCTTTTTCAGTTGTTCTAGTTCTGCGGCATGCGTGACGGTTTCGTGCTGTTTCAAATATCTAAGTGGGAAATCGATTGTGGAAAATCGCATATGCTGCGCTTCGTGCTCCTGGAATTAACGGAATTAGTATTGCGCATCAGTTATGAACGTTCTAAGCATCTGCTGACTATAATGATTTGCAATTTGCTATCATTGGTTGACTTTACAGAGCATGAAAACGCGTATTGTTTTAGTGAGCCGAAATACGACCTATAAAAACCGGAACACAACTTTGAAGGACAAGTTATCACCAACCTGCATTCTCATGGTTATGTTGTTTCTTCTGAATCCGCTCGCGTATGCTCCCATTTATTTTTATCATTTAAGTCCAAACGTGAACCGGTTTATTTATTAACAACTTTGCCGCAGATTGCGTCCGAACACACGTGTCATTTTTGATGCCATCTATTGTGGTCAAAGTGGGAAATCGACACCCACTCGTAAAAATGAACATCAAGTAGCGGCAAGGAGACGGGATTATTTATTCCAGCTGGTTATGCACACACTGGACGCTGGGCGCAAATTTGCATGGGATAAAACCCGCATGTTAACACCTGTCGAAGAAAGGAAGGTCTGTGAATTCCTGGTGGCAATGTGCTGAGATGGGACATATCAATGAGCACATTAACGTAAATACCACATACCCATCACACCGTCAGCATGCATGCAACGTAGTCCGTCAGTATCAACATGATGGATGAAGAGTCGTTTGCACGATTATGTACATCAGACTAATTTGTCTGCAACTTGATGAAGACTGATCCAGTGGAGTGGAGTACCAATACGCGTGGGGCACACCATATGCATAGGCCTTCACCCTGCGTCAGCCACTGCGCACATCACTCACTAGGAGGTTGACAAACCTGGTGTTAATAACGCTGTTCGGTCGAAGGAGCAGCCTATATCTTACGAGCCCTATGGAAGAAGGGCGGCAAAAAGAGCGTGTGAATAAAGTTAATATTCAGGACGTCTAATGACCTGGTCATAAAGCAACCAAACGATGTGGGGGTTGACCTGCTGCGGTGCGTGTCCATTGCGACAGAACAAATAGGATAGTCAAGATAAAATTAATGAGGACGTTAGAGGTCAGTTATTTTGACACCTCGCCCCAGTGCCCACGCTCCCTTGAGTCCGGAGGGCGACGTAAAACGACGATAAATATATGCAAAAGTCCAAAAGAAATGAGTAACTAGACGATCAGGGAAGTGAACTTGGGGGGAAGAGGCAGTTGAGTGCGTGCTGAGGTGGAAGGGTTGGAGGAGGAGGAGGAGGAGGAGGAGGAGGAGGTTGAAGTCGGTGATTGCGGACGTGGCAGAACAGGTAGTACACGGGGCGGAGAAATGGAAGGTGGAGAAGGAGAACGAGACTGGGGTAGGGAAGTAAAGTAGGTGGAGGAGCATGGGATAGGGATCCAGCATAGTTTCGTCTTTGGGGCAGATCCGGAAGCTTCTCTGCGACGGCACCTTTGACCTGATCGATGCGCACCACATCCTCCTGATCACCGTGAAGAAACTGGTGGGTCTTGTTAGTGCGTTCGAACACACGGAACGGTCCTTGTAATGGTGATTCCGGCGGCTTGCGCATACGATCAAACCAACTGAATACATGAGTGCAGTTCGCCATGCCTTTTTATACATATGACTCGGTGGATGGAATACGGGACGGGACCGGAGAAAGCGAACGCACTAAATGTCGTGTAGGGAGCATAAAACTGCCGAGATTTTCCTCCGCATCACGAGATATTAAGGGGACCATCTCGCCTGGCAGTCCGGGAGTTAGTGTCGAATATCATTTCGGCTACGCTACAGTCCAAACATGACTTTAGTGTCGTGCAAATGCCAAGAATTGCAATGGGCAGGTTGTCGGATCAGTTCGTCGAGTTTTCTGCGGCACACAGGGCCGTCTTTAGCTGGCAGTGGAAACATTCGACCGTGCCGTTGGCAGCTGGATGGTAGGCCGTCGTCCGAATGCCTGTGCGCCAAGAAAAGTGAGGAGGGCTTGGAAGAAGACAGACTAAAATTGGACACCACGGTCAGTGGTAACCGTGGATGGAGCACCGAAAATGACGACCCAACGACTGACGAAAGCCATCAGAATGGTGTCTGCTTGCATGTTTCATAAAGGGGTGCCTTCAGCACAGCGGGTTTACCGAACGACGCAGATGAAGAGGTGAGTGTAGCAAGTAGGTGGAGGCAAATGTCTATGACATCCAGACACATATGACAGAACCATGCGTCATGGGTGTGGAAGGTGCCTGGTGGAGACTTGTTGTGGCGTTGTTTCCTTTTTCTCTGGGGAGCTCAAACACAACCGTGTCCAAGCTTTGATATCCTTGTTTATGCCAGGCCATATGAAATTTCCGCGAGGAGCTTTCATGGGGTTCGGATAACAGGGCGGAAGAGCCCATGGAGCGATTGACTCAGAGCTCGACGCATCGAGGCGAGCATGAAGGCATGGTGAATGGGAGCCAGGGCGTCACAAACAGATGGTACCAATAGCGATGGTTGGAGAAATTCTGTGACCTGGAGACCTCTAACAGACTCGTCGTCAGGACAACCTGCACGCTGCTGTTCAGTTTCCTAGGTATCAAGGTCGATCACATGTGAAAGTCACAACGCGGAGAGGGAGGGTCTGTACAGCATGTCAGCTACCTCACTTTTCGTGCCATCAATGTGGAGGATGTCAGCGGGGAATTAGGAGATGTGGCCCAAATGGGCAACCTTTCTTGGGTTATATTTGCCAGAGTGGGATCGAAAGCAGCTTGTGTTCTGTGAAAAGGATGAAGTCACGACCTTAAAGGAAGAGTCGGAAATGCTTCACAGCCAGGTACTTGGCAAGCAACTCATGACCAAAAGCATTATATTGCGTCCCAGGGACTAGAGTCTCTTAGGGAAGAAAGCCAGTGGTCGTGTGGAATTTTTAGGGTTTTGTCGGAGGACTGGTCTTACGGCAACAGTCAAAGCGTCAGCCGCCAGGGACAGCTGAGCTTCGAGAGCAGGGTGCGTGAGCGGGGTTGCGTCAGCAAGAGAAGCCTTGATTCTCTCGAAAGCAGTCAGTGGGTCACCAGTAAGTTCAAGGAGAGCCTTGATGTTAGAGAGCATGTTGGTGAGTGGTAGCATGAGGTCAGAACAGTTCGGTAGGGGCCGGCGATAAAATATGACCATGCCAAGGAAACGCTGCTACTGGCGCTTTGGGTTTGGTGGGGGTATCGCGGCTGCTAATGCCATTGGGATACTAGCCACTATGATTATCAGATCTGTTCCAAATGTATGGTGGAGAAGTTAGATGCCAGTGGAGAGGATAATGTATTCTGTACAGAACAACTGGAGAACGAGTTAAAATCGCTGGCAGCCGGACAAGGGTACATCCGACACCGGGAGAACGGCTTCTCTAGTGTGAGGCAGTGAGAGTCGTCCAGTGCTTCGAGTGACGTCATGTCTGAGTCAGCCTCGGAGCTGATTGGCTGGTTTGGGCAGCCGGCATTGGCCGGGAACCAGACTTCAATTGGTGCGCACGTACTAGTTGCGAGAGGCTCAACACTGCAGCATGCGTCGGGAGTTGGCCCGCTACAGAAAGAAAACACAAATGACTTCACCTTTGGAAGGGAGGAGAGGCAAACCTTCCGAATGAACATGCTGGCCACGAAATTCAAGAGAAGGCGCCAAAAAACACAATTGGAGGAGTTGACGATGACGCTAAATTTGCCGGGCGGTCCAACATCAAGGCGAGGTTCTCCTTGTGTTCTGCACTCCGACTAGCCACCAAGAGGTCGTCGATGTAGGCGTACACAAACGGTAGGCCACGTAAGACATGGCCGACAAACCTCTGGAACGTATAGGTGGCATTGCGACGACCGAAGCATTGAGGATGAACCCGAAGAGGTCAGAGGATGCAGTGATGGTGGTTTTTGGGGTGTAGTCAGGACCGACAGAAATCTGCTTAAAGGTGCGCACCAGACAAATCTTAGAGAAAACCGTTTTCCCGAATAGAGGCCCGGTAAAATCCCAAAGATGAGACACGGGGTACCGATGAGGAATGGTAGCGCTGGGTCTTCACTTGTGTCGCCCTGAGCACCATGTACGGGGGAACGCCCAGGGCGTCTCGGACGGTCGAATGATGCCCATTTTCATTATGTGCTCAAATTCTGCCTTCGCAGCCTGCAGGCGGGCTGGCGCCTGCCACCTAGGCCAAGCGAACACAGGAGGGCCTGAGGTGCGAATATTGCGGAAACGTCGTGTTGGCCTCGCCACTGGGAAATTGGGGTTGGTAATTTTAGGATGTTGAAGGAAGAGCTCCCCATAGGAGCAAACAATACCTGTATCCAGAAAGGAGGAGTTGCAGGAGGTAGCAAAGGGAAGTAGGTCAGATCGCAGTTTGTAGCTAGGAATGGGGAAGCTAAACTAATACTAAAACCCTAATTCTGACTGGAAAACCCTAACCAAAACACAAAAACTAAAATTTACCCTACAACCATAACACTAACATTAAACACTAACCCTAACCTTAACCGGAAAATCTAATACTAAAACCCAAACCATATCCCCAAAACCTAACCCTAAAATCCTAAACCCAAAACTAAAACCTAGCCCTAACTTTAACTCTAACCCTGAACTCTATCCTTAGCCTTAATCCCAAGTCCTAATCCCAAAACCTAGCCCTTACCCTAACTATAAAGGTAACTCTGCATTTAATCCTAAAGCCCTAACCCTAACCCTAAACCCTATCCCCAACCTTAACCCTAAAACCCAACCCTAACCTCAATCCTAAAACCTAACCCTAAAATTAACCGTAAAACCTAACCCTAAACCGTAGCCCTAATATTTACCCTTAAACCTAACGCTAACCTTAACCCTAAACCCCAATCCTAACCTTAACCCTAAAACCTAGCCTAATGCTAACCTTAACATTAAAACCTAACCCTAAAACTTGATCCTAAGCCTAACCCTAACCCTCACTAAGCCCAACAACCTGACGGAAACAAGCGAACTGCCTACCTCGGTAGAAACACACCTACTGATAACAAGTTTCCTCAGTAAGGGTCAGATCGTCGACAGTATCAACTCATAATGTCTGGCCACGAACTGCGATCTTGCCATTGGGGTGCAAATGGTAGCTTAGACAGTAGGATATTACCGGAAAAGATAAGGGAGACTGGAGTGGCCATTTCTGGCTTGCTGGCCGTCGTCAGCCAGTAATACCCAACCCCGAAGTGTGAAACACCCGAGGCTCGAACTCGCGACCTGTTAGTTACAAGTCCACGCCTCTAACTACTGGGCCACTAGCCCGTTGCCCTGTCGGTAGCGTGGAGGTGTAGACCAGGGCTGAGTTAGGGGTGGTCGGCTGGAATGAGAGGAATTACACTGATTTGGTCTTCGATGTCCACAGGAAAACGTCTGCGAGTCACACTGTCACAGACATAAAGGTGCGATCAAAGCCGGAGGAGCCAGAGAAAACAGTCACCTCTGTTCCTTGGCCGGCAGGTACCTGAAGAAGCAGGGCGAGGAACACCGACGGGCCTTTGTGGCAAAATTGGCATGATACCAGTGGACGTCAGCGGTTCGAGGTAGCAAACGAGGACGGCGACGGCCGGGTGAGCGACAAGAAGCAAAACGTGCAAACTGCAGTTTCAGGGATGCCATTTCGTCAGCAATGGCCGACGTCTGCTTCATCATCTACCTATTCTCAGTCGACGCGAGGTGGAGAGCTGGGCGACGGGAGACGGCTGTAAACACAGTACCTCTCTAATCCGATTCACTATCTCAGCCAACTGTGAGACCGATAAATCTTGATAACCAGACCCCAGACATGTTTGAACATCTGCTGGCAGACGCTCTAAGGACATCTCCTTGACGAGTTTCTCATCAATTTGCATGTCCCCAAGGAGAGGACCTGTGCGTCGGAAAAGGTCTGAGGGCCCCTAGTCACGCAATGATTACTCCTTAGTCAATCTGCGATAACGCTGCCGGTCAGACACGGCACTAAGTCGCTCTCACGCCGGCCTTCGGTCTAGGCTGGGAGTACTATGACAGCCCTTTGTCATATTTTTGTTCATATACAACTCTTTATAGTCATTCTATTTGTTGAGCGTTTCCTAAACTTGCATTTATGCACTATTGTTTAAGTTGGTTCCTATGTAACGGTTACGCGGACACTCCAACTGATGTGAGTTTCGGTTTCACCCACCGCTTTTGTTCTTCTCTGGGCGGCGTTGACAGTTAAGTCTGTTCTGGCGCGGTCGTTTTGCTTGGCTTTGCTCGACTTGCTTTTAGCGTGGGATCGTATTGTCAATCGTCTAGGTCCGCTAACATGTTAACGTCCGATCGTTTGTATGCATGTACGTATAAACTAACTATTGTGCAGTCTAAGAATACGCACTGACAAATGCGGCCACCCTTCACGAAAAGAGACATGAACTGATCCATTTTAAGCTGGTGACAGCAACATTTGTTAACCGCATGGAATTTTAAAAGGGGAGATCTTCACGTTAGAGCGCTTTGGAGTTTATAGTGTGTAACGCTAGACAGATGTCTGCGAAACGAGATGGGTATGAGCTGTGTCAGGGTCTTTACCGGAGGCGGGTTGAAATGTTTCGTTTAAGACTTGCCGTTTAGGATGTGGAATGGCGGATCAGTGAGATTCCGAGTGTCCGGATATGGATCAGCAGTTTTTGTTTCAGGTTGAGCGCGAAGGGTCGGTAAGTCGTGCACACGGGCCGTTGTAGCGAACATTCAGATCGGAATTGTGGCTGACACTCCTTGTGTTAGTGTCAAACCCCAAGTAAATCTCGCGCCTGCCATAGCGATTACTTCAGTAGCGTGTCAAAAGAGACGGTGGTCACATTCAGCTACGTGCGCAGATACGAGAGATAGCGGGTCACGTATGAAGGTGGACAGTTTCTTCCGGTTTGCTAAAGCGGATCCCACTTCGTCCACCCGTATTGCGGAAATGGACGCAAGTACAATTGGCATGTGAGATGCGGCGAAGGACGTTTCTTTGCCGCTCATTAGTTATGGGGTCCCTTACTCGAAATAATACTGCCTGCGGAGTTGTTGTCGATACGAATGTTAAGGCGATTTTATTTCCGGGCAATCTTTGCAAAATGTCCTTGTGTATAGAGGAGAAGAATTTCCAAGGACTCATTTGTCCGTTAGAATTCGGACTATGTGGTGGGCCCTGGCCACTGTGACTGATTTTCATAAAACTGATCAAGTGAACGTTCGGCCAGAATAATCAGTGTATGGGAGTCAGTTTTTTCTTCAGCAGATCATCGCTGCTGCAGTGGCAAAAGGCCGGTGAACAAGAGCTTGTGTGCAGCTTTTTTGTGCGCAACGAGGAGGTTGCCTTCGCAGTTGGGGGTGATCACTGAGCTAGGGTATTTCTTGTGAAAAGTTGCCAGGTTATCACCACTCACTATTTGGGTGCCTGCATCCCGAAAGAGAAGCTTCCCTCGAGCCGCCTCTTCGCCAGCAAAGGCCATAACTGAGAAGACATCACTCAGTCCGAGGTACACTTGCTCAACCTCAGCATTTAATAGCGATCAAACCGCCTTCTAGGTTATGAAGTCACATTGTCGGCCTGATAGTTCGAATAACCGAAATCTAGTTATTGTGATACTAGTTCAGTTAGTAGTTCTGGCACTGGGAAGTTCTTAAAACGTCGGCTGTACTAACCACCAAATTTACAGCAGTTCTGAAGGCGGAAGCCAAGTATTTCTATGACGCGTTGTGTGGGGATCCCAGCGCTTGTTGTCTTTCAGACACTAAACTTTGCCTTCAATAGCCCGATCACGTGCTGTCGAGGTAAAAGAGGCAGCAACATCAAACAGCCGGAGGCCTTTATCAAGATTTGCTTGATGGTCTTCGATCTTTTGAAGGATTGCATGGGGTTCTTTTATGTTATATTTCGGTCTATTCGGCTAGGTGTTTTAAGTGACAGTACGATCACTTCGTAATGTTTTAAGTAGATGCTCCAATGAGTGTCACCATAATCATCTGTGGTGCGTCTGCCTTGGGCATGTGCGAAAAGGAGAATCACTGGGGGTCATAAACCCCGAGTCATCCGAACTCGTATTTCCATTTGAGCAAGTTCACTCAACCCCTTCTTTACAGCTGCGGCTTGCTTCTTTGCTGGGTCGTCAATAAGTGGGGCGTGGGCCTCTGTGTCAGCTGAGAGTGGTTCAACTTGTTGACCTGATAAAGGTGACAGCTGAGTCACATTTAGCAGCAGATACTGTCATTTGACTTCGAAAATGGCATTCCCTACCCATCCTCGACTGCCGTCGTACCGTCTGACTGATGATGTCGGAATGGGGTGGTCGATAAAACAGAGGTTTCCAAGTCAGAAGCCAAGGAAAACAGATTTGGTTGGACAACTTTTGGTGCCGAAAAAGTGTGCACATAAAGGCTCTGCGAGCAGTCGCTGCGAGTGGTTTCTCTAGGCGAGTTGTTTTGTCTGCGTCCGCCGTTGAGGTGCTTAGACCCAGCGCATGCGTGCCTCTCGCTTTGCCTCAGTGTCGCCAGCCAGTAAGATAGGGGGCAACGTTTGTTGACCTCGAGGGCTCGCGCGGGTAGTGACAAGCCTCGCGCGTCCCAGCAGCGACTCGACAGGGAGTAAGAGGCAGACAGGAGGACAGCGTGACAAAGTGGCGGAGAACAAGGAGGTGTAGACCGCTACAGTACCCCCTAGCTGGACCGAAGGTGGTGTGTAACGGAGTCGAAGGAAGTGTTCATGTCTCAGAAACATGAGTAACCGAGTCCCGAGTCACACGCGTTTCTTGGTTGACATTGGTGCGCAGCTAAGTGTCATTGCGCCTACACCAGCTGATCGTCCGTGCCCCAAAGCCGGCCTTTTCCTTCAGGCCGTCAACACATCGCCCATCACCACCTTCAGAACTTGCTCCCTCTTTTGGGACATCGACCTCCGGCATCTTTTCCTTTGGGTCTTAGTCGTTGCTGACATCCCCTGTGCGTTTCTCAGCGCAGACTTCCTCGCCGCTTTCGATCTTTTGGTCGACTGCCGTCAGTCCCGTTTACACGACAAGACCACCAACCTCACCGTCTGGGGCATCTCTTCTTCTGACGCTTCCCGTCAACTCGCCGTCCTGGACCCTGAACCCGAGAATCCACTTCGGCAACTTCCTGCCAAGCACCCCGGCCTCACTCATCTCAACTTCAGCACTACTATTCCACCACAAGTTCACCACATCCAGACCACTGGCCCTCCCATGTTTCCTCGGCCTCGCCGTCTCGTGCCTGCACGTCTTGCTGCCGCCAAGGCCGAGTTCGAGCACATGCTTCAGATGGGCATCATCCGTCAGTCCGAAAGTCCACGGGCTTCGCTCCTCCACGTGATCCCAAAGGCCGCCACTGGTGACTGCCGCCCCCACGGTGATAACAGGGCCCTGAACAACATTGCTGTCCCGGACAGCTGTCCTGTCCCGCATCTTCAGGATTTCACCGGTGCCCTATTCAGCAAGTCTGTATTCTCAAAGACTGACCTGGTCCGTGCTTTCCACTAAACTTTCATCGCCCCAAGGGACGCTATGATGACGGCCTTCATCACTGCCTTTGGCCTCCGAGTTCCTGCACATGCGGTTTGGACTTCGTTACGCCTCTCAGACCTTTCAGAGGTTTGTAGACAGAATGCTTCGCGACCTATCACCTGCCTACGCCTATATCGATGACCTTTGCTAGTTAGCTCCACCGCCGAAGGGCACATGGAGCATCTTACAACGGTGTTTGACCGCCTGCAACAATTTGGTGTTGTTCTCAACCCGTCAGAGTGCGTTTCGGTGTGCCCTCAGAATTTATCGGATATCTGGTTGAGTCCAAAGATATCCATCCTCTTCAATTGAAGGTTGCGGCCATTCCCTCCTCCCTCCTCCAAACGTCAGCTGCAGCGATGTTTAAGCATGGTGAATCTCTACAGCCGGTCACTCCCGCACTGCGCCGACACCATCCTGAAGCTCACGAGCCTCCTCCCGGGCGCCAAAGGTGTGTTGGAGCTATCTGCAGACGCTCTCGCTGCTTTTGAGAACGTGGAGGTTGCCCTGGCCTATGCCACCCTCCTGACGCATTTTCCTCTCGATGCTCCCACCTCCCTCATGGCTGACGTCTCCACTGTTGTAGAAGGCACGGTTCTCCAACAGCACTTGCAGATCACACCCAACTCTTAGCTTTCTTCTCCTGGAAGTTATAACCTGCCGAGACGCGCTATGGCAAATTTGGTCGGGAGCCGTTTGCTGTCATCCTTGCCGTGAAACACTTCCGGCACTTCCTTGAGGGCGGGAACTTCACTGTGTTCACGGATCACAAGTCCCTTTCCTTCGCTCTCAAGTCCACCTCTGACAAGCTCAGCCCCTGAGAAATTCGCCAACTGGACTACATCTCGTAGTTCACTTCAGACATCCGTCACATCGACGGGTCAAGGAATGAGGTGGCTAACGCTCTGTTCAGGCCCTCCATCACACGTCCCCAACTCTCTCCTGGGATCTACCGAGATGAGATGGCTGCCGAACAAAGCCATGTTGGTTCTCGCGGTGACGAAGACGTTTCCGGACTCCAACTCCAGGACCTGCCACTGATCACTGGCAACGGCACCATTTTATGCGACGTATCCACCACTTCCCGCCGTCTCTTTGTGCCGCCATCCCTCCGTCGAAGGGTCCTCTCTCTGCACAACCTATCGCACCCTGGGAGTCGAGCTACTGACAAGCTGGTTTCCGACCACTTCGCCTGGCTTGGGATACACAAGGACCTAAAGGCATGGACACGGTCGCGTTCCGGCTGTCAACGGAGTAAGGTCTAACGGCACAACAAAGCTTCTATCGGCGCCTTACCCACTCCGGATGCACTGTTCAGTCATACCCACCTGGACATCGTAGGCCCAACGCCTCTGTGGTGAGGTACCGGACTAATTTACCTTTGACAATTTTGTCCCAGTTTCTTTGCTCGGATTGTTTGTTTGAATGTGACGAAAAACAACCCACCTGGCTAGTGTGCTCCTCCTTCGTGGTCTGTCGTCAATTTTCTTAACGTTCGAAATCTCTATATTATTCACTGCTCAGTTTTACTTGCTGCTTTTAAGGCTAGGGCTCGCTGGATATAAGTCGTTTGTTCGTGAGAACTTGACTATCTACGACACCTCTGTCCAATGACTGTTCCCATCTCCTCACCTGCGTGGATCGATCCAACCAGTGGACGGAAGTTATCGCTCTGTCTGATGTCACCGCTCCAACAGCCATCAAGGCTTTCCTCAGTCGTTGGGTTGCCATCTTTGGTGTACCCTCCACTATCACGACTGACCGCAGTGCCCAGTTTGAGTCTAACCTCTTCCAGTCTCCTCTCCTTTTTAGGCTGCACCCGCATCCGGACGACAGCCTATCACCCGTCTGCCAACGGGATGGTAGAGCGATTTCATCGCCAGATGAAGGTCTCCCTACGTGCCGCAGACGATCCGGAGAACTAGACGGGCCACCTCCCCCTTGTCCTGTTGGGAATCCACTCGCCTCTAAAGCCGGACATTGGCTGCTCCGCCGCTGAACTGCTGTTCGGCGCCACCATCCGACTTCCCGGTCAGATGATCTCCCCAACCCCGCGAGATGCGGTCGAGGACCCTACCCGCTTCCAGCACCGTCTCCGGTAATTTATGCGGACGCATTCTCCGGTTCCGCCCAGGCCATCCGTTTTCGAGTCTTACCTCGAGAAAGACTTGGCGACTTGCTCTCACGTCTATTGCCGATGTGATCGAGTCCGCCAGCCACTGGAACCGGTCTACGACGTTGCAGGACCCGCTTTTTTCGTTGTGCTTTGAGAGCTGTGCGGACTGCCAAAATGAGAGCCTATAAGCCAGAAGCGGCTATTCCACCTCCCTTGTGTTTGTCAGTAATCTCCTCCGTATATTACTAGTCGCTCTGTGACTGCCAGAAGGGCTTTAGATCAAGCCTCAAAGCACAACGGAGCAAGTGGTTACCGCAACGCGATCGACTAGCACACTCTACCGTAGTTAATATACCCGGTCGCAAGCGACAGGGCGAGCCCGCGACTCATTGCTTAAGGAATTAGATAGAACACGAGTTAGAGTCCCATGAGCCGAAAACTTGGTGCTGGGTATGACTGGCTAATGGAGGCTAGTAGACTTGAAACGACTACCCCCGCCTTCCTTTGCCCGTAATTTGCACTCCTGATCTATTAGCCGCCATCAACTGACCATGCCTAACCCCAGGTCTAGAAGAATCAGCATCTAAATTATCAAGATGGAGGCGAGTGCCTTAGAAACTAAACAAAGTTTGTTACACAGCTTTTCGACGTAAGTTCTCCAGCTAGTCGTCAGTCCCACGGTCAACGTACAATAACAGCTTACTTCTTAACCGTGCCTAACAAAAGATACTCTGGTTGGCTAAAGTTAGTGTCAGTAGGCGCTGAGTGCATTCCTTACGCGGTCGGAATTGACCGGGTCCGTCCCTACTCGCTCTTGAGAATTTTGCATGCCTACTGGTGTATGCAAAGTTTGATTACATTGTCTCGAGGAATTCTTGGTGATACCGAGGCGAGTTTCCACCATGTAAGTATGCCCACTGTGTGCGCCGCTACATGATAGGCGGCCTTGTCTCCTCACTGCTAGCCCGCATTCATCTAGACGGCTGGAGACAGATTTCCAAGTTTAACCACAACAGACGGTAGCACAATTGGCACATGGGATTCTGAAGACAAGCCCTTCTTTGTCGGGGCAGTCAACCCGTCCTTAGGGTGTACAGGTTGAGGGCGCGAGGCAGTTGCCGGTTAGTGCGCTACTCGAGTCTTATGTTTTTTTCACCTGCCTTTCAGCAAGCTCAGACACATTTCCAACGTATGGTATAGTTCGCCAGGTAGTTGCTTTTGGTGCCTCGGCGGCCGCAAGGTTCGGAATATCTTGACGATTCTTGCTGCTTCATGCACTGACGCAAGAAGTCACGGGGGTACCCATCTTAGGAAAATGATTTGAAGACGTATTTCATTTCCGTTCCATAGCCGTCTTCACCAGATCAGCGCGCTTTAGCTCGATCTAGCAGGCAGTAGACAGTCTGCTCCACAGCAACAGAGCATGGCCTATTCGCGCTATAAGGCCCGCTTGTGCCATCGGATAGCATTGCGGGCTCGGCAGATTGAATGTGACTAGGGGGTGGGACTATCGTCGACTGAGGACGCTTTCCGATGATGCAGGAAAGGGTACAGTTTCCAATAGTTCGGTCACGCGTTCTACCGATACGAAGTGGCACCCGTCCACGAGAGCATCCTTCTAAATCCGCCCGAATCGCCGCCAGCAACATGATGACCAAACAATGTAGTCAGTTTAGACCAAGAAAGTAAGCACGGAGCGACATTCTTCAGAAGGAGGACGTCAAATGGACAATGATCGCCAAGGGTTCGGCTGCTGACCAGATCACACTCAAATGCGAGACCGTTCTGAAATAAATGAACTCAATAAACAGAAGGAGCGAGAAACATTTCGAAGAAAGTGTGGGGATGGAAGCCCTGGACCGTGCGTAACGGCTCACCAGAAAGTAAAAAAAGAGTGGACGGATGGAGATGCTGTTAGTGAATGGGAGAGCAAAAACTTGTCTCTAAAGAGGTCGAGACGCAAAGGTAGGCCGAACAGAACGCAAATAGACATGGTAACGCACACGCAAACATCCAAATAGCAAGCTTTGTACATATTAGTCTCGACTGCAATTCCAAGGGGCTTAGCGGGTCACGTGGGAGAGAGCTGATAAAATTAACTCTACAGGAAGCCGGTGAAAGGGGTGCAAGATGGACATTGGGAAGGGTGGGTGGGCAAAGTAGAGATAGGAATATAAAATCTGTCGAGTTTACAGTCCTGTTTTAAAAACATGAGCACGAGCTTGTCCAAAGTCTCCGGTTAAAAACGGAGACAATTGTGACCAACACGGACACGAAATGGGAAGTCTGTCTCTTCCGCCAGAGAAAGCAACGACTAATAATCCCGCGACCCTCCCTATACCCAAAAAACAAGTGGATTAGGAGGGGACGGGGCAGCATGAGACTGGCCGCAAACAGTTCCTCCAGCGAAGAGACATCGTGTCATGTAGCGTACAGTCGGGATGGCGTGGTCAACAGAGCCTAGAAGTGAGAACGTGGAAAAAAAGAATGATGATGTGTTATATACACGGAAATGGGCACTGTCATTTCCACCAGAGGTTCAGTAAAGTATACACTCGAGGCGAGACTGGAGCGCTAAACAAAGAGGAAGCGAGTGAGAGGAAAGTGGGGACGAGTGCGTGAAAGGGCCAGAAAAGAAATGAGTTTATCTGCCGCTAGGGTCGCCGACAGTCTAGGCGTGAGCAGGCTGTTGGTTGCGCTGTGGTCAGATAAGTTTTCGGGTGCTCTGGGGAGAGCTGACAATGGAAGTTGGGGAGACATCCAAGTTCACATCACAGAACACTTGGCATTATTGCTACCACCGGAGACAGCGTGAGGCGGATTAGAGGGGGCTGCTGAGCCACTGCCCACTCGGTGCAGTTGCTGAGGTTGTTGCGGTTGCAGATGGTGATGATGGGCAGCCGACTTATACTGTCCGGCTGGACTAGTGGCATGGGGGGCTCGTTTGGTGGCCGATTCTACAGACTCCACAGGAGAGACGGAGCGCATGACAGGCTTACTACTGGCCCTTGTCGGTTGCGACTTCAGGCCACTTGGAGAGACGAGAAGGTTGGGGTAGGAGAACGGCTTTGTGTCGGCCAGCGTCTTGCTACCATTGACAGGCGCGTGCGAACGGTGGTCGCGTGGAGCCTCTATCAAAGGCTTGATCTTAGAAGAAGCTGTGGAGGACTCTCCTGCCATCAGGCCCCGCCGACTGGTCTGTTGGCCAATCCGTTGGGCTCCAGGAATGTTGTCCTCGTCTTCCTCTTTCTCATCTGCCTCTCGAAAGGTGTTGAGCATTCGTGACGACAAGGACGGCACCTCAGCACTGTAGACCGTGCAGTTTTCTTCCGTTCCACCTCCGGTCGGTCTGGAGGTGGTAACGATCAGCTGGTTCTTCTCAGGGTTACCTCGATCGGGGGGCGGTGGTTGCGACGCCTGTGGGACAGTCGTAGCTAGGCAGTTGACGACGGGGGCTGATGGATTAGAAGCAAAATCGCTCAAGTCGCAGCCGTGTGAAGGCAGAGGATCGTCTACCTCGTATCCACCGTAACGGTTTGGGATAGAAGGGAGCATAACTGGCACAACAGCCGGATTGGTGGCAATGCCGGCAGTTGGCGCACAATCTGGACGCGTACGATTCTTGTTTTGCTGACCGAAACTGTGAGCACCACCTACCGTCGGGTTCGTCATTAGGGTTGGGGTAATTCCGTTCATGCGACTCAATCGGCCCATGGAAATAGCTCCGCGGACGCTGAAATTTCACAAAAGGGTTTAAGATAACTATTAGGTAAACTGAAAAGTGGAGACAATACAGAAGTAAGACAAGATGGCCCTGAGAGTGGAGAAACCCATTTAGATCGTGAAGCACGACGCCCACCACGTCAAATAGTCAGCAAGAAAAATAAGTAACTTTAAAAAATTGGCCAAAAAACTGCCATTCCCTGGGAAGTCCAGATAAGATGAAGAACTAGGTAGGAGATTATTACGACAGTGGTAAACGATGAGATCCGCTACAGTCTCTCAAGGTGACTGGCACACGAATTTGTTGTGAAACGGACTCTCATTCACTCCCACCACATCCACCGTGCTCCAACAAGACGGCAAGACGAGCAGAAGTGGCAGTGGCTGACAGCACTGCGCAGTTCGTCTCCGCCTGTCATATGCAACCTGAACCCCGTCCCATATGTACTAGGCCTCATTCACAGCGGGCACATTGGATATCATGGTAGAGGGGTGCTTACCGATCGTTTCTACGGAACTCACTCGTCCCGTTGTGCCTTACCGGCTCTCTCTGGAGCCAAACCAGCAGCCGCACATCTGCACATGATAAAGGCAGTATGTTATTACCGACAAAGACAAGGGAGACTGGAATGGCCATTTCACATTAAAGAGAATGCCATAAAGGCCACACTAGGAAGGAGCAACGATGATATGACGTCAGTCGGCAGCTTTCCAAGCTACGGCTAGCAACAAACCGTTCTAATCTAAAAAAGGCATTTGACCACGTCTAGTGAGCAAAGCAAGCGCTGGGTCGGAGATGGATCGACCTACCTTCTCTTCTCCCTCTCCCTTTCAAGCCTTTCGACCGACAGGAAATGCGACTGGACGCATCCCGACATGTGCTAGAAATTCACAGCAGTGTGGGCACACTAGGACAGTATTAGTGTACGCTGAAACTCGTGTCAAAGAAACATAGACTTAGCCCGTCAATTGGCAAACTCCAGAATCACGACTTTCGCCTTATCATGATAGACTCAGGTGCGTAAGATTCAGTATAGCGGTACTTACGGGTTTAACGCAAACCCACGATTAAAGACCATATCGGGGTATCTTTCAGATTCATCACTTTGTATAAACTGGTTGTCTCGAGCCAACTTTGAGTGATGTGGAACGAGTGGGGGCGGCGTTCGTGACGTTTTCCAAGTTCTGGAAAGCTGCCCAAGATTGTAAGTTTGTGCGGCCGGTGTTGATTCTGCCTTCGTGCGTGCAGTAGGCATTTGTTTAAAATACACGTCGAATGTACTGCATCTTTGTCCTCGGTTTACAGCGGCATCACTCAAAGATCAGTCTTACCATCCTAGACTGACTAGTGTTGCGTCTACGTAATAATTTACTATCGAAGCTCCGTACTTCTTATCTTAAACGTCTCGGCTTACGGCGCAACACTGTTCTTGTAGAAACCGAGGATACGAATTAAGGCTTTCGGGGTATTGTCTTATTTCCCCACCTTAGGCTCTGTCGCCTGGAGTGATGTTTGTGTGCACTTAGAATAGTAATCCACACACACGAGTCTAAATTCCAACCTGCTGCTGGAAAAACATTACATTTTACGACACGAGCTTAGAAATTCAAGAATTTATATGCATCCAAGACGATTGTCCTTTGTATCCTAGTTTCGCTCTGGTACTTAAACAGCCTTGATTATCAGGTATGGGGGAAAGAAATGAGCAAGAATATAATATAGGAAAACTTAATGATCTTATCATCTGCCACGGATACCCCGTGGAATGTATTCAAGGAATAAATTACTAGAACGTCATTCCAACAATCAGAAGCGCCCATACGAATAAGTGGTGATTGAGTAGCCAGATAAGATGCTGCCGCGCCGATTACGTGAATCCGCGGAGGATGATCCGCAGTATTCTGCACAGTATACCTGTGACTGTGTAGTGGCCATCATGTATTAAAAAAACGCATCCCTTATGGGGGACCTGAATCTTCCGGCAAAGGCTCGTGTTCCAGCGATGAAGTAGCTTTCGTCTGGATTACTCTGAGAGGTGCATCTGTTAATCTGCTGATACAGTTAGTCTGGCCCCTGAAACGGGCCACGCGACAGATGCACTGGGCCAACACGGAGGTTACATAGGATTGTGGCAGACGTTATCAGGATTGCGCACCCACAACAAATGCAAACATTCGGGGTGCGGTGGCAGGCCCAAGTTGCAGGCTCACGTCAGGCCAATGGGAATGCCTGAAGCCTCACATTTTTGTCGTTTAAAACCCTGGTGAATTGTTTGTTGTGGAACAGGGTGTGTAGTGGTACGCCAATGTGCGGGTTTACGCCGTGTTAGCCACCTGTGTCCTCTTCCATCTCCGGTCTTCTTGACTAGGTCATGACAGCGGATCTAGTTGAGAGAGTGCGGCAGATGCTTTGCAAGCCTACTATCATTATAAATTGATTCACGCACAAGTCACTGCCCCCTGCTCTCACCCTGCTGCAGAGAACACGGTGGAAATAGTCGAAACCAACGGTCGAACTCTCGTGGTACTGTTGGCCGGCAAGATGGTCGCGTGTGACTAATTGCGACAAAATCGAACGCCACCAACCCCACTTGCTTCGTTCTCACGGGACAGATGACGATAAATTTTACCCTCGAAGATTAATGGGGCATGCCAAGCGTAATTCAGATGTTTTGTAATTGTAGAAGGATGTTCAGCAAAGTTACTCGGTCTGAAACGGCCGAAAACACGTAGACAGACAATGTATGAGCAAAGGGACCCACTTACCCTCGCGGAGGGCCACGGTTTCTATTGAGATCAGGTAGGACACCCCGTGGGCTCGGTTCGATGATGCTCGATGCGACGAATGAGAAGCCCTGCAATAGTACAGTACGTCTAGAAGCGCAAATTATGTTATTTTAAAAATACGAGCTACTGGAAATGTTTCAGTGGCGTGAATTTTGATTAATTGGAGAATGAACACGAATGGCTTTAGTAGGTTCTTCCAACCGAATCCGAACTTTCAAGGACAAAATAAGACATATAAAATCTCTAATAAGGAATAGAAGATAGCAGTATCAACCGGAATTTAAGAAAGAACAAGGTCGTTTGTTCTGACAAAGTGTGCAAATGGTGTCTGCCTCAGATGGTTTACCCTGCGAGTAGGATTTGATTGGAAGCTGTCTTACCAAGTGCATGGCATTTGGCGGGTTAAAGAGTTGATATAGACATACACTTCTCCGTCACTTAAGGAGTTATTTGACAGCCGAAAAAGGTCAGGCTTGGGAGTAGTCCGCATGATGTCCCAAGCCAGTTAGTAACGTGTGCAAGACAGTAAAACTACACCTTTTTGGGTGTCTATTCCGAGGGCTGTTTTATCCAAAGTAGCAGTGTTTAAGCTGCACTTTATTCAACAAAGTCCGCCTTACTTTTTTATGGTTAAATAACAAGTAACAGAAAAGATCTTGTCCCAAAAATCGTAATTTCAGGGCAATTACGGACGATTTATTAGGCTGAACATTTGACAGAGTATGAGAAACTCAACGGGTATTAAGACCGAGAGCCATGTAGAAATTCTTCGGGCTAAGGAACAAAAACAAGATGGGAGATTTTGAAATTGACAACTTTTTAAGCAAACTGCCGCCATAGACCATAGAAGCTGGAATGCCTAAAACACGCAAACAACGGCCTGGAAGCGACTCCATTTAAAAAAGCCAGGGATTGCGAAGACACCCCTCATGTATGCTCTGAAGCTCAAGAGACAACAGTCACAAACGCGGATAGATAAAACAAAACAAAGACAAGTGTTGGTTGTTAAGTTTAAGTGGTTTCACAGTTTGCACCAAAGCCCAAAGCTTATAAATGGAGAAGATCACATAAGTGAGACTGCAATATCAACTGGTAAGGAGCATGATTACAAACTAAATCATGCGCGGAAGGAAACTCTTTAGTACCCGAGAGTACCTTCAGCTGCCTTTGCAAAACACACTCGAGAAAAACCGCTACCCTGTCCCATCAATTTTTGATCCTTTTATTAATCAAAAACATGAGTGCTAGGAAGCAGGAACAAATCATGCCCCACAGGCTCATTCCCTCTTACACTCAGTGACCGAACTCATAAAGTGCTAATCAAAGTTCTCAAAGGCATGTCCATAAAAGATGGTCGCCAAACCGCTCATGAGGTTGATGCAGGGCACGTGTGCCATGCGGTGGTGAACAATAAAAACTCGACGAGGCTGTGAAGCTAACATCCTCAAAAGCGCAAAAAAACTCAGCAGCCGAACATCCTTGCTGCCAATACAATAAGTCCGCAGGACGTAAAACTAACCGCACGAAGCAGTGCAAAACAATGGAATAAGTATACATACCAACCAGTGAAGCCAATTTGCTTAAACAGACCAGGGAACAGTCACCGGAATGCCGCCTGGGAAAACAAGCCGGACGTCCAACATATACGAAGGCGTAAGTGATTTGACGGAGACTCTTGCATGAGTGTGACCGAGTGAGTACGTAGGACGCCATATGTGCGCGCCCGTTATGCGCCGGAATTCGTAAAGTGAGATTATCCATTCTAGAAGCATCGTCAATTGCACATGCTACGGCGGATGCGTGCTCAGCCTGTACAGTTGCTGCTGCTTCAACGGTGGCCACAACTATAAACACTACTACTATGCTACAGATCTGTCTTGAGATGGTAGATTCCCGAGGCAACCAAGGTCGCTCGTCCATGTCAACGACGACCAGCTCGTGAGACAGCGGTGACCTGCGTGTGGACTGAAGTATCTAAAGGGAGCTTTGCGCAGCACCAGGCTCGCTGTCTACACCTACATGCACTATGTTCTAATGCAAAGGCGGAATCCTGCTGATTGGGTATTCATTCAGCATCCGCGGATCATATGTCACACACGCCATGATGCCATGAATTAAAATCCCCCAAATGTTTCGGGCGGCCACCCAACAGGAGTATCAAGTAGTTGTCAGACGCCTAAGATGCTGTAAAGGTAACTAACCCAGCAATCTGGGCGCACAAATATGTAAATTTGGCCCTGTACACCATGGAAAGAGATCAAGTAATGTACATCAGTCACTGACTAAAGTTTTGGTCCAGCAATCGTAGACATAAAGCATGCAGTCTTACGAAAAACATTCCAGCCTGTAGATGCCCATGAAGTGTTCGAGGCAAAGAGGATAGAGATATTTAGGCATCAAGATAGACAGTTTATTTGTTCAGCATCTAAACTCATAAAAGGGAAGATCGTCAGAAAATGAAATAGGCAAGCGTCACATAATACTCCCGCCAATCAGTAATTAGCATTTATTGCCTGAGACGGCGTCTGAAGACTCTCCACTCAGTCGTCATTCCGACAAGTCATGCAAAAGGCAGTATGGTAAATTTCAGCATCTCTATCTTTTTGTCAGGTAGACATTGAGCAAAAAATTAGAGGAGAAAGTACATCGGGGTCGTCGCCAACAAGACACGAGGCGTAGACAGTCGCATCAATCATCCGGTGGCACATAAGTACAGTTCTGTTGAATCACAGTGCATCAGCCCGAAAGGGTAAGCTCATAGGCGATTCGCATACACGCCCACGGGACGTCTAAACCAGACGACTACTGTGACAGTGACAGTCGTCGTGCACGAAACACGGTCTTGGAGTAGTGAACAGTAATACCAGAGGAACACGTCCCAATTTTGTAGTGCATAGCTGCTGAAAGTTTATAAACTATCTAGCTACTTTGTGGTCCTCCAATCTGCCTCCTTGATGAATCCGTTGTAGGGAGAATAGTGCACAGGAACCAGTCCGGACTGAGATCCATCGGAGGTCTTTATTAATATGCCACAGGAAGGTAGCGAAGTGCTTATCAATTTCGCTGCACTGAGTTGGTTGGTGGTTGAAAAAAAATACCCCTTTCCGATACCACAACAGACAATAAATTAGTTGTCAGTCAGGCACACCACAAACTAATATGTCAGAATTTGCTGTGGTCGAACACGCCGCAGGGCGGCACGCCGATACAGTGGCCTATTACCTACTATTACATTACAATGGTCAAAGTCCGAATGGGTGACAGGGTGACAGGCCTCTTTGATGTCACTTCCGATTACCTTCAGGGTTGTGTCCATTCGTCGACATTAATCAACTTGAGCTATAATTAGGTCCTTCAGCACGCGTTCGAAGACCGCAGTGGTTAGTAGGTCACGGTCTGTGCAAACCCGGTCTTAATAAGTAGACGGAGTTTCGATGCCGCAGATCGACTGCAATTAGTCAGAATGTGGTTAGCGCACAAAATAGAACCATAAAGGTGCAAGTATAAGTGTTTCACCCGGTAGTCCCGTCTGGTCATTAGGGATGTCAATCTCAAAAGACTGGACTGCCGACAATCCACGGAACGAACCCACAAAGAACCATTGCAGTGTTAAATCAGGCTATTTAAACGATAGCTTGTTCCAGCCGGGCATACAGTCCCGGCACGGAGGGTCGGTGTTTTAAGTATATACTAATTAGTGCAAGTTCGGTTGAAAAGTGCCGTTTTTGCCAACCAGAAGTTTTGATTTTCTTGGCTTGTAAAAACAAAATTCGAAGACGCAGGGGAACAGGACGTTTAAAACAATGCAAAGAGGATTCAGAGCGCGGCGACAAAGGGGGTTAGGTTAAAACTTACAACTTTGTGACTTGGACTTCTGCCATTGAGAAACGTAATTAAGGCAGATTCGTGGACCGCTTGAAAATTATGTAAATCCATACAAAGCTCAAAGCCATCAGTATGAACCCAAAATGTGATTTTCAATTATATGCATGGTCAGACGTGATTTGCAATACAGTGGTTTTGACTGCATTAGTGTGCCTTGTCAAAAGAGTGGGAAGATAATATGCCGCTGAATGGAGTTATTGGGAGGTTCGGAATGAGCAACAACCCCCGTCCATAATATGGCCGGTTAAAATGACACATTATCTGAAACAGCAATGGTGCGTCTTTGACTAAGATAACAAAAATCCAACGAAACAGCCCTGCATGCCAGCTACGATTCTCACTAAATAATGAGCTTTAGGGCGTGCACCCACCCAGAAGGCGGAATAGATTAGGGTTGTGGTTTGAAATGTGAGCTAAAAGCTCTAGAACCGTGGTTGGAAATTAGAAGTCGGTGTGCGTGCGTGTGGATGCATGTGGGATTGTAGAAAATGCGCAGTTTGGATTATAAGCAACGGATAAGACGACAGTGCGGCACCGAATGCATTCATCGTGCGAGAAACTCAAAGGACGTTGAAGGACAAGCGTAAAAGTGCACCGGGCAGGACTGGATGGGCAGGTGACCTGAAGTGAGGCAATGTCATTATTAAAATGCTTCTTTGCTGCAAAACGGAAACAAATGCCTGCTTGGGTGATAATCTCTGTGGTTGGTTTCTCACAGTTGATGCAGAAAGGCGGCCCCAGAGTTCGAACACATCCGGAGGCTTTAAGTTATTTAACAACTTTGGCTTCCTAGTCTTTAATTAGCATTGCGAGAAAGTGTCAACTGCGCTAGATAGCAGTGACAAAAAGGACCTATTTAATGTTTGGTCGTCATTACCAGTTATTGGACGTCGTCAAATTTTATGCCGTTCATCTGGTAGTCAGCGTCTCCGAGCTCATCCCTCTAGTCCCCTTTTAAAGTCAGAATCCTAAATGCTGTGCATCTAGCTCCTGCCAAAGACAGGTCCAATTCCATGAAGAGGTCAAGTAGCCAGCAGTTAGGCTGAAAGTCAGACCTACTAGCTGGCACAAGCGATCCGGTCGCGCAAGAGAATAACATGAGGACGAAATTTTCCTTCAATTTCTATAGACAAGTCTGGCCCCGCTTGACGAGTCGTGAGTTGGGCGTCTGAAAACATAGAAGACGTGGCGCATCAAATAAAAAAGTGTGAACACGAGCCTAGAACTGATTGACTGCAAACGTGGCGATCATCTGAGATGCAGATAGCCTGTAGCAAAGAGCAATCAGAATCTCATGCAATGGACATTGTTCCAAAGTATTAAGTTGCTCGGAAAACATCGGATAATTTTTCGACTCGCCGGTGTACTCTTCAATAACACTCCCATAATTTCTTCCAGAGTCCCTAATAAAGGAGATGAAAGAAGATCAAATGCTTTCATTCCTCTAGCATGAATTCAAACTCGGTCATAATGCTTTCCAAACAGCTGCCAGTATTAAGGGAGCATGGGGAGAAGGGTTCACAAGTGATCGGACAGTACGAAGGGGGTTTTAGAAATTCCGTAGTGGCAATGAGAACCCTGAAGGTGAGGAAAGTAGAGGACGGCCATGCACTCTTGACAATGAACTTGCGAAAGTAATTGTTGAAGAAGACCCACGTCAGGATGTCAGAGAAGTGTCTACGGCACTTAATGTCAATAATTCAACAGTGTCCGACCATCTGATGCAAAATGGTAGGGCAAAAAGACCGATAAATGGGTCTCGCACGAGCTTAATGAAAACTAGACTTTGGCGTTTAGAGCTGTGTTCAATGCGCTCTCTGCAAAACTCTAATGATCCATTTCTTGATCACATGGTGACGCGAGACGCAAAGTGGATCCTTTATGGTAACCGTAAACCCTCTGCACTGAGTGGCTCTATGCGCGACGTGAATGGTGGCTTTATTGCTAACAACTCATCCAAAGTCGAGTGCCGGCGTGAGCACTTCAAGCGCCATCTCAAATTTCGTGCCCAACCCACCACGCCCTCTCTCTCCTCTGCAACGGTTTCTTCGCTCTCCAGCCTATACAGTGTCATGCGACCCCTTTCTGAGGGAGAAGTCTCCGGTGCCATGCAAAGGCTACACAACAACAAGGCACCCGGAGAGGACGGTATGCCTGCTGAAATCTACAAGTTTTAAGTTGACACTCTGGCGCCCTGGCTCCATGAGGTGATTAAACAAGCCTGGAGAGGCGAGGTTGCTTCCGATGACTGGGGATCAGCTATCCTTGTGCCTATCCTCAAGATGCGTGCACCACCGCAGCATAAGCCTCGTCGATGACGACGCGAGGATTTTCGTTTGCGTTCTTCTATGGCGATTCCAGACTGTACGCGACTCTAGGACGAGGCCCAACCAAGCCGGGTTCCGTGCAGGACGTGGATGTGTGAATCAAGTATTCACACAGAGGCGCATTCTCGAAATTCGCCATAGCTATCATCAACTAACTGCCGTCTTTTTTGTCGACTTTGTCGCCGCGTTCGTGTCTGTCCATCGTGAGTCCATATGGCGGATAATGGCACATGATGGTGTACCGCCAAAAATCGTCGCCATGATCAGGACCTATTATCGCTCCACCACCGCTCGAGTTCCGGTCCATAGCAATCTTCCCCAACCGTTCGGTATCCGATCTGATGACTGATAAGCCTGCATCCTGTCGCCCATCTGTTCAGCTACGCCATTGGCAGTATCCTTGAAAGGACTACATGGTTTTAACGGTGTGGAGCTTGCACCCGGACACTGGCTGACTGATCTCAACTTTGCCGATTATATCGCCTTACCAGCTTCCAGTTTTGGTAATCTTCAGTCTATGGTGTCACGGGTGAACGAGGTCGCTAAATCGGTTGGTCTTTACATAAAAAACTGGGAAGACCAAAGTGCTTCCGAGCTGCATCCCTGACCAGGAGAAGGCACCTCTCCAGATTGATGGTTGTCGACTCGAGGAAGCAGGGTTTCTCAATCCCTCGAAAGTACCTTTGGATCCGACGTGACATTTCCATTTCCACAAACATCCGCGTGTATCGTGCATCCCTCCGGTCAGTCCTCCTCTACGGTTCTGAATGTTGGGCCTTGTGTATGTGTGGAAGATGAGAGAAAACTTGACTTATTTGACAAGTGCGACTTGAGGACCATCCTTCGAGTGAAGTACGCCGGCTTCGTCTCCAATGAGGCTGTCCGCACTTGCTGCGCCAATATCACAAGGATAGTCCAGGCCATCCAAGAAGACGATCGAGGTGGTTTGGCCATGTTCATCGTCGTCTACCTAAGGAGCTGAGTGTTACTGTCCTGGATCTGGCGCCGCTGCCAACTTAGAAGAGGTGGTTAACTCAAAACCTGATTCGGCACAGTTCTTCCAGACATGGAGGCGTTTCTTGAGCCTCGGTATTCGGTCTACGTTGCTGGGGGGTACATCGAGCTGTTGTGATCGACTGCGCAGATCATCACGCATGGAGAGATGCAATCTGCGACATCGTCGAGGTCGACTAGGTCAGGTATGACCACCGGTGTACGAAGTAAAAGTAAGCTATCAGGACAGTGGCTTGATCGTGACAAAGCACCCAAACATTTCCCGAAACCGAAGTTGTATCAGCAGGAGATTATGGTGACAGTCTGGTGATTTGCGCCACATTCAAGCTTTCTCGAGACTAATAAGAGCATCACGGCAGAGGTTTACTGCAAGCAACTGGCAGAAATACACGTTCATCTAGGAAAAGTGAGACCTGCATTGGTGATTCGGCGTGACCCAATTTTGTCCTACAACGCGTGGCCAAGTTCCCAGGATGACACTGGAGAAAGTCGATGACTTGGGATACGAGACTTTACGACATCCACCATATTCTTCCGAGCTTTTGCCTAGTGACCATACTTTTTTTAGACATCTAGACACTTCTTAAGCAGCAAAACTTTCGAGAAAAAACTGAGGTTGAAGCTGGATTCAAAATTTCCATAGCATCAAAGTCAGTGGATTTCTAGCAACACGGCATAAATGATCTTGTTCATCAACGGCGGAGATGAACAGATGTCCAGGTGTAATAATTTGACTAATTTTAGTATAGAGCCTTAAGTTTTTTTTCAAGATGAAGCGTTTGCTCCTGAAATCAACCAGAACTTTCCACACAAACCTAGTACAATAAAGCCTGTTACAGAAGCAGAGCTATGCCAGGTTTTGTTTTGACTTAGGGACCCAATTTGGTTTCAGACATCCCGTTGACAATTTGGATCCCCACAAGCCGGTGAAGAACTCGCCTCAGCAGATGAGCATGAGTAGGAAAGCGTTCTATTGCTTTCACGCTGGAATAATCAGACGAGGAAAAAACTACGAGTTCGGATGTCACCCGCTGTCATGACTTTGGGTCGTGGCAAAAACAATTTTTCGGTCAGACAGCACATAACGGGTTGCAATTTTTTCAATCCGTAAGCAGATGGAGCTGGTCAGCTTCATAAATACAGTGACTGTAGTCATGCCGGCCGTTGATATCAGTGAGGACATTTGAGATTGTTATGAAGAGCTTTTCTAACATTCCGTAAACTGAAGCAATATGTCGCAGTGGGACTTGTGAACTTAGTCAATTCAAATCTGCGGGCGGAAAAAGCTCTGCCAGAAAAAGCCTGAATACGCAAGCACTTGTGGATGTTGGCTTTACGGGTAGAACTCCATGTAACTCTGCACTAAATACATAACGCAGTAAAAAGACATACAAAGGCAAAGCTACAGGCATTGCATTGCATTTTGGTTGTCTTACATAAAACCCTGATCAACGCACAATATTTACCTATAGCTGAAACTTTGGTTGTCGTTTCTCAAGACGCAATAAGTTGTACGAACAAACTAGATAAAATATTCCAGAGACATGTCAAGGAGTTATGCTAGATAGACTGCAACAACACCAGACGGACTGCAACGACACCCAAAACAACTAAAGCGAGGCTAATTAACTCACGCAACCATGAAGCAGCTGGAACAAAATAACCTATGATCACCTCCCTTCCGAGTTTTGTGTGTGGACTTCCGACTTGTCGATTATGCCGGCAACTTCCGCAGGTACGAGTTAATATATCCCAAACTGAATTCGAAATCAGGGGAATTGGTCGACAGACCTCTTGAATAATGCTTTCTGGTTGGGTTCGTCTGGTTCCAGGAGTCTGTTAGGGAGGTCACACAGAATGATAGTCTAAAAAGGTCTGATTGGCTTCCGAGGGGATGGGACAATTATTAGCAATAAAGTGGGCTGCTGGCGAGAGTCACGAGACCCGCGGACAGTGCAACGATAGCATGCCAGAGCAATAGACATGAAAAGCAAAAGACCTCCTAAAAATCGAGCTGCATTCTTGAATTTTCAGATAGCTAATAGCAAGCCGTCGTCAAATTTTCGCACTAAGAGACGAGAGACAGTAGAGGGCTGGACATGTGAACAAGTGTTCCCGTACTCCACTTTATTGACCGTCTTGACTGCAGCTCTTGATACGACAATGGTGGCCAATTAGAACCGACTAGTTGGCATCAACACGCACTGCCAGCATCGCCAGACAACAGAAAACCTGACATTCAAACGATGGCTGTACGGCCACTCAGACTGACTGCATTCTGGTCAGTTAAAGGCCATATAACTGAGTTCGCTGTAGCAGACCGATGTGTAGCGTTAGAAGTGACAACGCCCATGGGTTAGATCATGTTTTCGGTGGCAAACACCTGAGAGTTCACTGCTCATCCGCACCAAATTGTCACATGCAAAATACTGTTATGCCGGAAGAGTACGATATCCCAACATGGCACAGGAATCCGGTTTCGTTTTGCAGAACATGTCAAAAAAGGCAACATTAAATGGTCAACGCTGAAACCATCAGTTAGTGAAGCTGTTGAAAGAACCAAAAAGACTGGACCAGATCAAGAACGTAGTATTGGTCTGCCCAGACAGCTCAAGTCGAGCCCCTCAGCTATGCTCCACCAATTCTGAAAGGTGGTGACAAAGCCGGGTAGATATGATCGCAAAAAACACCCTGCACTGAAGTGGCGACCTCTGTGGAGCAAGTCTCAAACGGCAGCAACACTCTAAAGCTCCACCAACCTAGTCGACAAGCTAGTGGGGGGTCTTGGGCATTGAATAGCTCTGATCACAACTTGAATGACGTACTTATTTTTGAAAACGGGGCCCAAGGTCAGGAGATGGCATGATTACTTTGAGCGTCTCCTCAACTTCGACGACAAAACCATCACCTCATCTCTCTCTGCAGCGGGGTTTTATTCTTACCCAGGCTATGCTGTCGAGTGACTTCCCCTCCCAGTAATGAATCATCAGTGTAACAATGAGGTTACGGATAGGATGACATACACAAGCCGGTGGCCGTCTGGTATGTTGTCTTCGCAGTCGTGTGGCGCATATTGAATTTTGACGATATGCCGCCAAAAATCACCGCCGTAATCAAGGTCTGTAATCGTTCCGCCATTTCTCGAGTTCTGACCCACAACACTCGCCCAGTCGCTCGATATTGGGTCTGATGTGCGATAAGGTTGCATTCTGTTGACCACTCTGATCAGTTAGGCCATTGACTGGATTATCGGATGGACTGCGTGATTTTAAAGGTGTTAGATTTGCACCCGGAAGCCATCTGGCTGACCCTGACTACGCTGGCGATATCACCCTTCTAGCGTCAAGCTATGGTGACCTACAGAATGTAGTCTCACGAGTAACTGAGGTCGCTAAATCAGTCGGTTTGGCCACTAAACGCTGAAAACACTGTTTTTGAACTGTATTCCTGGCGAGCAAGCGGCACCCCTCAGGATTAGTGGCTGCCAACTCGGAAAAGTGGACAGTTCCAAATACTTAGGGGCGAAGCTGCTGCCAAACTGGCAGGGGAAGGACGACCATTGTATGAGTCGATATTGCTCGTAGGCTTCTTCAGGTATCAGAAAGTACCTATGAACCCATCACAATATTTCCATTGCCACAAAATCCGCGTGTCGACCATCCATCCGGTCAGGCATCATGCGTGGCTACGAGTCGTGAGCTGTGGTGTGGAATGGTCCATGGGCAGGCGAGAGGTACGCTAACGGGCTCACTGAGTTCGGGACTCTTGGCTGAGGCAGTCCTGCAACTCCTGAAGTCGCTGATCTTCCAACACCAGAGACCGCAAGTCTGGGTTGGGTATACGGATGGTACCTTCGTATATTCGAAGAACATCTCAGCCCCATCTTCCTGGATATCAAATTTAAAAAGAAAACATTCAGCTGGTCTTCCTTAATGTCCTTCTCTGCCAAAAAGATTCTGGTGGCCTAAAAAGCAAAGTGTTCAGGAAAGTGATAAGTGCGACGGAAGTACTGAACTCCAAAAGTAACCATCCAGACAGCCACAAACACAGTTGCGTATGGGGCGCTATGCCGGCGTGTTGAGACGCATTACAGTGAACCGGGAAACTAGGTTGCTGAATTGTAGTATCTTCGAGGGGTGCTTAGAGCGAATGCTTACTAGCGCACGCACAGACGGAACTAGACCCAATCCAACCAACCCCAAATTTTGGCGGAGAACCTCAGTGGCTCTCTCACACTATTCGGGGTTGGCGTTGCACACAGACCAAAAACAACTGGCAGGCGTCACGTCATGAGACCGAAAGACCCACCGCCACGATAAGAAACGTCCGGAGTCGTTTGCCGTATTTGGCATATTTCCAGGCGTAGTAACTACGGCAAAGAAGTTGAAATACACTGGCCGCAGATGACTGAATGTGAAGCAGCAGCCAGGAGGGACGACGCAAGCTTCCAAGTCGCGGTTCATTCGATGGGAATTGGTCACACCCTCAATATCGACGAAATCCAAATTCTCGCAAGAGTTGACCACTGCACGGGCCGTGAGCCCTCAGTCCAGTAACAAGCACAATGGCCTTTCCCCTCCATATTCGGTATTGAGACTGGCTGGGCAGAGTAATTAGACGCGCGGGGACGCGCACGGTTGAACAGTTTTAAGTGCCAGTGTCAGTGTGCCAAATGCCCAGGTAATTATCAAGCCAAGTGTCAGGGGAGGGGGCACTAATTGGGATGGATATGCAGTGACATGCTAACTGCATCCTTTGGATTATAAATCAAGAGTCTCCGCCCCCATTATCTGGTGCTGGTTCCAGTGATGGATTCGAGCGCGGATCCAAAACATGAGACAAAGAAGATTCTTGTTCCAGCGATTGCGTCCCTGTCCTCTGAGTGTTTCCCGAAACTCGTATTTTCGCCCGTGTCGACAGATATTCATTTTGTAACATTACGCGATTGGTTTGCAGAAATAACCAGTCCCATTGCGTACATAAACATCGAGGGTGAGGTCAGGAAGTCGTGCCCCGACGATTATTCAATGTTCGTTCGATAGCAACTAATGGTGTCCGGAAGAAGAATATTGATGATAACGCAGGGAGGTATGTGTCCGCTTGAGCAAAAATTGTCTGCATAACTTGTGCTAGCCTCTGTTGGCCTTGATCATGATACAACTGATTTGCCGTTAGGAACAAGTGTGTAACGCCTGTATCTGATGAACACAAACCTATGCACTGAGAGCCCAAAATATGTAGCCAGAAAGGTTACCTTTTGCAAATTCATTAACCTAAGCGGTACTTTTATTCTAGGTGCCGCCCCGTTTCATACAGTGAGTACTAGTAACTAAATGGGTGTCAGAGAGGATGAGCGTGTAGTGTACAGGATTCAACTGAGCCAGTCAAAACTCCTACACGAGTGCGCACTCGGTACAACGGAGGTGGTCGCCATTCTTTCAAACGATCCCCGTACGCTGCTTTCAAGAGGCTCATGCAGAATCATCAAAACTCCTTTGTAGTTGCAAAAATTCCCATAACAGTAATCAGAAGAAGAGGTGGCGAGCTTACGTAGCTTTCGATAAATCCTCGTCGAGCCAGTACAAGTATATGGGAAGGGGGTCGAAGATCGACTAACGCTACAACTCTCCCGCGCCCTTCCGCTCTCACCCCCCCCCCCTGCCCCACATTCCCACACCCAGCCTGTGTTTTAAGGCGAACGTTAATCGATTTATCTTATCACTGACGTATTTTAACTTATACCCACTTCCCATATAATTGTACTGGCCCGACGAGAATTTATCGAAAGCTACGTAAGCTCACCACCTCTTCTTCTGAAAACTCTTTCGGCCGAAACTAGACACAACAATCAACCAGACGGGGCGTCGCATGCATTTGAAATCCAAGTCAGTGTCAGACTGGTACCTAAGTTGCAGTTGAAGGGATCTTTGGTCTACGAACTATACTACTGGTTGTCCGGCAGCTTGGCAGGTGAGCATTGCCCAGTTATTTTGCAGTGTTGGCAGTGTTCAACTGGAATACTAAAATTAAGGAGTTGGAAAGCCTACCACTACAAAATTGCTGGAGAATTTTGATGAAATTATAAAGTTACATCCGATAACTTGAGCATGGAGGACGTAGGCAGACTGACTGATGAGTCGCCTTAGGCAGCCGCGAAAAAATCGGCGAAAATTATTCGACTTATTTGCTTGTATCTATTATTCGAGTAAGATGACTGCAACCTAACAGTGGTGGTTGTTGATTATATTTACTGCAACTGAGGGTGACGCCAGTCCGGACACAAAACGCAGGCGGATGGACTAGACCGAATGAGATTGTCATTCACGTCTCGAAGGGTTTGGCGACATTAACGGTCGACCTAGCCATGTGTATGGATCGGAGACGCGAAGGCGCCACAACATTCGGTACGGTTGATGGCTTTATGCACACGTACTAGGAAGTGGGGGAGGAAAGAGGAATAGGACGACGTCGCGCCAAAGCATCTTATCCAGCCACCCGTACAAAATGTGTTTACATATGGATATTCTCAACAACGTGGTCCATTTAAGTATGAGTGGTGGGGTACTTGCGCGCGCGCGCTTGCAAAAAAACTGCTTCACGGACACATGCGCATAGAGAAGGGCTCGGCTCACCAAGGTACAACAGGCTGGCTCCACAAAACGGTGTCGGATGAAATGCCTCTTGTTTGCGTCATAGAAATAAGCGTGCTTAAATTGCAATCCTTACCAGACAATTTCACAGACCCTGGCAAACAGTGCAGGCGTGTTGAGACAGACTGCAACTGTCATGCCAACAGCAGGGCATTATTACCATACTCGGCGTGCGTGTGCGGATTCTGTGTGCATTGAAGGCGCAAGAGGGGCGTGGAAAGTTCACGTTTAGTACAGGTGATGGGGGCGACTCAAAATATTCACTGATTTCGAATGCGCGAGTGAACACGGCGACCCGAAAAATGTACAAAACCCTGATATGAAACCCATTACAGGCATTAAGTGTGCAGCAAAAAGTAATCGTGCTGTACCAAACTCCTATCATCGACCGAAAATAAATTCTGCGCTCTTTCTGGGGAAGGCTTCGAAAACCCCCGAGATTAGAGTCATATGACTGCACTGACAGCATTACCAGTCAGCTGAGAGATTGAAGTCTTGTGAGTTATGATGTATCCACAAAATTTGCCTTTTGTGCCCAAGGTCTATAAGTGACAGGGAAGAGGATAAAAATGAACGAAACACCATGGGTAAATGGGTTTTGCAGTTAATTTTCCACTTAAATCCTGCGTAGGCGTGAGGAAAGCGAGGTAGTCGTCACAGTCCTTTATTGTCTGGCACAACGGTCGGCATAAAACAAAGCCAAATCTACGAAATTCTAGTCTTGCTTAGTCTTGAGCAGGTGATTACCCAGTAGAAAATTTCAACGTATCACAACATCAGTATCAGCGGTGTCCATCATGAGCGGGGACAAGAGGAGGGTCGGGGTGTGGTGAATTAAAGACGTAAGTTAGAACTGGGCAAGGAACACATTACGACCAAAAGATCTGGACAGGAGCTTTTGAGGCTTGTTAAAAATGCATTCAATGTAACGAATGGTACAATTACTCAACCCGTAGGCACCATGCAATTACTGTAGCTATGGAGTTAACCAATTTCTCTGACCATCAATTTGAGTCATACTGTGCCTCCAATTGACAGTTCGATCGTCGATTCCGACGATGTCCACCGCGTGCCCCACAACAAGGTGAGAGCAGGGACGGTGACTTGCACGTGAATTAGTTTATATGGATAGAAGACTTGCGCAACATCCATAGAATCCTCTCCTCCTCCTCCTACTCCGCCTGGACCCGGTGTCAAGAAGACCGGAGGCGGAGGAGGGCGCAGGTGGGTGACACGGTCGAGCTTCTAATTTATACCTCTTTGTAGCGATTTATAGCACCGAAATTGTCACCAAGAGAAGAATTGACGTGAAAGCCCGAAATGGCTCTAGTCAGTTGCAGTACTTGAGAGGGCGTAAAGAAACAATAGGCGCAATTTCACTGTGTGCAAGTATGGTAAATAAGGCTTATTCTTAACGTCTAAAAACAGTCTTTTGCCCCTTTTTGCAAACCGTATGTGCAAATAGCTTAGGATAGGCAATAGGTTGCTTGTGTTAAAGAAGCTCCCTTTTGTCATAAGAGTAGCACTTCAACTTGTAAGTGTGAAATAAAAACTGCAACGAAGAGTTCTACAAAAAGTAAGGAATTACGGAGGAGCCCTATCTACAAAGTGGCTTATTTTCTGTCGCTAATTAACAAAACTCAAGCTCCAGGTAGCCGGAATGCGACCGTTTCCGTTGACAACTGCTGTTGCGACGTCCCAAAAACCTGGCTTCACGTGACTTTCACCTGTCTGCCAAGTTAAAGGACCATTGCGGTAAGAAGCACGGAGAATGAGGTCATATCATCTACAAAACTGGTTGGACGAGGAAGACTAAACCTCCTACTTGAATGGCAAAAAATGTTACGCCGTATCATACCAAAGGTCCATAATCAATGCTTCCAGGGTCTCAGCGCACATATGAGGTCTTTCTTGATGAATGTGCCCAGTAAATGGTAGTCATCATTTTCCCTCAATCCTGCTAGGGGGTGCCGATAGTTTTAATGCCTTCTCCTATGCCAGTAGCAGAAACAGACCAATCAGGCATTTAGCAAATTCTCACAATCAGAAGGGCTGCAGTAAGTCAAAATCAACAAACACACTTTCGCCACGCGAAGCTCGATTCCTGGTCTGAAAATCTACAGGAGTTCTGTAGTCTATTAGTAATTCAAAGTCGACTTCTGCAAGTAAGCCAAGTACCTCTGCATGTCTAAACGGCCAGGAAAAGTGACTGTAAGGGAATTCACCTAAGCACAAATTTTAAAGTACTTGAATCGCTCAAGTCAAAATCGTTGAATGAGCCGCGAAAGAGAAAAGGCGTCACGCCAACGAACAATGGATAAGAGCTTTGAAAGTCGGTTTCTGCAGTCATTTAAGTCCAGCATGCAAACTGCCCTTACTTACTCACCACAAAAGACAATAGTCAGTCTGGCTAGGGGCCTAGATTGCTGGGTGTGGTATACAACATGACTCGCAACCAGGTAGACATGCCCCCAGGAGAGATCGAAAGCCAAACCGCCTGTGTCAGACTGGGTCACTCAAAGTCTCTAAAAGAATCTAACGCGCGAAAACTGCCAGCAGAAAAGTGACGAGAATGGACTTATAGTGGAGATGCGGGAGTAGAACGAAGATCTCAGTCAACACGGCGGGACTGCTTTTTGAAGGAAGCAACCCAAATCACAGCCTTTAGAGTGAGGGAAATAGTTAGACAGGCACTGTATCACGTTCTACCCCAGGATATCCAAAAAACAAGGAAAGTGTCATCGCGTCCGAATTTGTCAGATTGCGGCCATAATTGGTGAAGTTAATCTGGAAACAAGAAGTCTACTTGCTCACGCGTATAAAGTTGACTATGGGACGCATGCGTGGGCAGAGTGGATGATCAAAAAAAACAGTGATGAGCGGGTGGCTGATGTGAACTGGCAGAGGGGTAAAAGACAACTGTCGACAATGTTGATCACGTCGACTTAAATTACCTCTCCGTCACAAAGAAAAGGTGGGGCTGACAGCCGAAAGAGGAAAGTGGCGGAAGGTTAGGATGGGGCCTACGGAAAAAGTGCACACATGCCAAGCAATCAATATGCAACTGAGAGAACCGGCCAGTGTCTTAAAAACCGTGTTCCATATTGTGGCGTGTGGTAAATGAGGGAAGTCGGAAATATTACTAGGGGGATGACAGACAGAGCAACTTGGCCGACGAAGTTCCAGCATCTAGGTCTAATGGCATAAAGTGCGTAGCAGCTACAAAGCACGCCTTCCTGCCGGACACTTGAGGACATTTTAGTCAGCAATCATAAACTAGTTCCCATAAATACACTGACATGCGAAGTGATATGATGAATTCAGTTGTAAGTAGGAGGCTTCCAAGAGAACGTTTTCTGATATCTAAGGAACAGGCTGATCTTTGAGCTTCATTCAGGAAGGGCCGTTATTTCTGCGATGAGTCACTACCTTTAGGCAAGCCTAGGTGGGCGACACAGATGGTCATATGTGCGATGGACTTCAACAAGACTACAACGAGCAAAACCGAATAACACGAACTAGTCATACTTGGTTCGAGTGGTACTCAAATTAGAGGCAGCCCATATGATGATCAACAGCAGGAGCTTGACGTGGCGAAGTATGGCTTCAGATTTAACGACACCCATTAATGCAGAATGAACGTCGCAATCTTCAGGACAATGTTCCCGTTTATCACTAAAAAGAAGTGCTATGTCAACAACGCTTCGGACCAAAATTTGTTTTCGCAGATGACGCCTAGCTTCTCTGACCACAGTTTCAGAGGAATTCTTATTCCTAAGAAAAACCCTACCTGAATCCTATGGACAAGTTTGTGCTTCTCAAAGGGAACTGGAAATAGGAAAAGAATATATTACATGCGAAAAACTTTGATTTCGTGCCCAATAACAAGACAAATCGCCGGAGACCACTTGTCACCTCAATGATGGACTCGAGTGCGGAGCTTATGAAACTTCGAAACTGTCAGTAATTTTCCTGTATTTACTCTCTTGGATGTACTGCCCTTTCTGGTACGCTGATGTAACCAACTTAGATGCCTGTAAAATAACCGTTTTTTTATTTTTTATTGTCTTTCGATACAATTCTCCACCTTATCAGTTAGTAAACAGTCATTTACAAACTTATCTATGCCCCATATCAAATGATAGTTGCTTATTTACTGTTTTAAAAGGTTTGGGGCGCGAGTTCGATGGCATCTGAAGTACAGTGATTTTCTCTCGAAGTCCGCAAGAATTCATGACATGCCCCGGCTAGCGCATTTCATGCAATGGCCAGACGGCCCACAGTAGGCATAGATAAATGTCGTAAGCTGTTATCCCTCACTCTGGGAAGAAAGCCTTTGTTGCTTTGTGGCGATTTTCAATGCCTCGGCATAGTTGCCACAAGGTCAATTAAGAGCACAAAGGTGTAGACATGAGAGTCATTAGACGCTCGGGTACCACGCGGCGAATGAAGACAGTTGGATAAATGGAAGTCCGTTTAACCCGAATTTGGTATTACAGGGTTAAACTAAGTGGTTGGATTACAATGGACTGTTAGTTGGAATGACCAGACAGTCATAAAATTAAGCGAATTTAAAAAATGTGTCTTCACAAAAGTGAAATTTTGAAACATTTAGGGATGCACATTAGGATGGTATTTGACGTGGGCGCAGAATATGGAACAGACGAAGGTTAAATGCTGTCAAAGTATACCTCAAGGAAGCAAACAAAGCAACGACTAAGTGGAATCGCGCCACGTCAGGCAAACTCCGGAGGGAGCGCAAAAGATGCTTCCAAATTCAGTCAGTAAAATATAACGCACTATTCTCCACTGTGCTCAAGACTAACACGGACTCCACAAGCTCTTTGAACCTAAATCTAATATGCGACTGGAAAAGATATCGGATGGCATAACCAAAAGCATTAAGCTAAATCATAAAATAGTAAAACGCAATTCAGAACGACAGTGGAACAAAATGAAGCATGTGCGCGAGAGAAGAGGTAGGCGGATAAACACCGACATCTCGAAAGCTTCAACCTATCCACGATTACAGTCGGCGCACCACCTTGAGACGTGAAAAGACTAATACAACTGTTGCCTACTTATAAAATATTCGGCCATTGACGATCATTTCAATACTCCGAACAAGAGCTTTATTCTCCTGAAATTTCGAATTCCTGCTTTAACCCATCATCAGAGACAACATCAGACGCGGGTAGTTAATGCACATGGGGCCTCAGCATTCATAGGATGCAGTCGCTATGTTGCCGCATACCTGTGAGAATTCGCGATTCACTGACCCCCAGTCCATTAAAAAAAAGCAACGATCCGCTTCCACATTTGGTGCTGAGACTTCGCCTAAGCATAGTAATTAGCCACGCGGGGAGCGCACAGATGAGTACTGTTCCTAACGCCAGGGTCGGTGAGTTAGATAGTCGAGCAATCATCACATCAACCGCCAAAAAATGTAATGAAATTGCAGCAACTAACGACGCGAATGTCGGCCATCAGTCATCACGCCAAGTGCAACAGTCCCTGATGAAGGGAGGGGCCATGAATTGTCCTGGGTATGCGGTAGCATGGCGACCGCATCCTATGACTACTGCAGTCCCTTATGCATTAACTACCTGCATCCGATAACGCCTCTGATGATAGGTATGAGTGGGGACCCGAAACGTCAGACTAATAAGGCAAATGTTCCAGCGATCGTGTCTCCTTCTTCACAGTTGCTTCCTGGAGCTCGTCTGTTCGCTTTTATTGGCACATTTCGATGCCCTCTTAAAACATTGTCCTCTTGATGTGTCTTCTTAGAGCGAGGACCCGAAAATAGCAGAACTTCTCCAGAAGAAATTAACGGTCAGAGAATTGCGACAGGAAGTTAGGTGAGGGTCTAAAATACAAATTGACTTGTTTTTCTAGCTTTAGTGGGAAGATTACTACCTGGTTAATGGTGACTTGTGCTTGAAAAAGAATAGAAGAGGAAACCCGCGCAGCATCCGTCCACCTTTGTCCTAATCTTCATCTTGTTGAAATAACGGAACTAAGTCAATGGGACTGAGAATTAGATTACGTGCAGTGACTCAGCCCTCGTCTAGGCCTACCATTAGGTATTTCTGACTCCCCACCAAGTCTGTATCAGCTATTAGACTAATACACAAAAGAGGTTACGAAAGTACATTGTACAACTTACACAACATCTTGGACATCCGGCGACGGATGTCCTTCATTATCTACAAGGACTGACGTTTGGAAAAAACGCGTGCCATCTAACGCAGAGACGAAGGCCTAATGAAGTGAGCCGGCCGCACTTCTCTACCTGACTGCATACGTAGGCAGTTTTGATAAGAAAACCAACGACCTATGCGGATTCCGGGTAGGTGTATCCTGCGACACACTATTTACTTGTAATCGGCACGATAGTACCCCCTCCGCCAGACGAAGAAGGTACTTACACACTACTCAGAATCGTATTGAGGAAAAAGTGGTAGGATTGAAGTGAGTGCCTGAAAGTCTGCTTTCCAAAACTGAATATTCCACACAAACAAAATTAAAATATTTTTCTAGGTATTCGGTAGGTGTTAGAAAGAAAAAGCTAGGAAAATTTTCACCTGAAATAGGTCGCCCGGAACAGACTCGTCAGCGTTGCCTGGGCTGACGATTGGTTGCAAACCAGTGAAGGTAGGGTCAAACATAGAAACGTCTGAATCGGATAACAGTTCAGGGCGGAAAGGTGGCTCCATTTTCCGATCATAAACATCCGTCCAATTAATGTCCTTCAGAACGGGTGGAAATGGAACGATAGGGTCGTCAAAAATCACTTCAGAGCGAAAATTTTCCGCGCAAGCAGAAGAGAAAAACCACTTAAACGAACTTGAGGAATTCCTATTCTGAGGCATTCTAGTATATAATCTAAAATTGTACGAATATAAAAGGCAGATTATTGAAACGTGCAACCAAAACTCGAAAAGAACCACTTATAACATATGTAAACTCCCTACAAACTCATAAATTTATACTTGGTAAGACTTTGACCGCACATGATATACCAGACCTCAACTTTTTGGGGATTTCTGGTAAAAGAGAAGTTTAAACAACCTCCCATTTTGACAAGGTTGCCCTCATGCGTTTCGTGGATTTTATAGCTAAAGGGAACCGGAGAAATTCGTTAGTGGTGTAATTAGGTGTCTATATACGTTCTATAGGACAGACCCTAACACCCGCCTGGCAGAGCAAGCTCTATATAAATCCACCATCGAAAAAATAAGATTAAGTCCAATTTCGTCCGTTAGAGAGAAAGGCGATATTTGATAGAGGTAAGCAATCAGTTTGGGAAAGCCACCAAGCTTTCGTAAATTCATAAGAGGATTTCAAAAACCAGATGCTTGTTTTTAATCACACGAAGATATAAAGGAGAAGTTTGGCCAGAACTTTCTACCCTGCATCATAAGGACGTGCTTTTTAATGAAATGTTCTTATTATTAACACTTTTGCGTAGCAAACGTCCTTGGATTACTCACGTAACGTTTGAAAAATCGCTGTTGTTTAATTTCTTCGACGTCATTCTTTGCTCCAAGTCTTTCCTTCGGATCCTTCTTCAAAAGCCCCCGAATGAGACTAATCGCCTCGGGAGAAAATGAGGGCGGAAACTTGACCTGGCTTTTAAGAATCTGCAAACGTAGAGTGAAGTGAAAGATCAAAATTTACCTTCTCTGCGGTGGCTTTTTTATTTTCTTCTTGACTAAATGGAGGCTAGAGTCCTCGAGTAAGGCAAAAAATGAGAAAAATTACCCCACCGGAGAGCATGTCGAACAGGAGAGTTCCAAGACTCCACCAATCGACGGCCCTCCCATGACCAGCACACCGAATGATCTCCGGAGCCCTATCAATGATAAAGATTATTTCGGAAAGCTTACATGTATTCAATTGTTCCACAGAAAGTGTTCGTAGTGCAAGCACCTTCTTTTGACAAACCGAAGTCTGTCAGTTTGACATGGCCTGCTTTGTCAAGCAGTATGTTCTCCGGCTTCAAGTCACGATAGATGATTCCAAGGGAATGCAAATGGCCGATTGCTAGCGCTATCTCGGAAATATAAAAACACGCTGCATCTTCCATTAAAAAGCCTTCGCGTTCCAGGTAACGGAAGAGTTCGCCACCAGGGCAGTATTCTAGCACAATGTACAAATTTGACCGGTTCTGGAAAGCGTAATGCAGACGGACTAAGAATGGGTGCTTTTGAAAGTAAGAAGAGTGCACAAACTCACTTTTAAAACTTCAAGGATGTTCCGTTCGGATACAGTGTGAGCGGTATTTTTCTCATTACAAACGAGCCGGGCCTTCTTCAGTACTTTCATTGCGTAGAACTTTCCTTTGTCACTGCTCTCAGTCGCTCTTTGGACTAAGAACACCTATAAAAACAGTCAAGTAAAAGTGGAGAAGCCAACCGTTCCGTAACCTCCTTTCCCGATGACCTTTAGGACGTTAAAGTCCTCAGCGTTCACCTTGCCGTGAGGATTAACCGTTTCCTCACATATTTCGACAGTTTCAGTGCCCGGTCGTCGTCTTAGCATCAAAATAAGGAAATTCCTTGCTTACTCGGATTGTTCGGCGGAACTTTCAGGGTTGGTTTCGATCTAAGACCAAAGTTGGAAGATAAATGCTACAAACCCCTTCGACATTTGGAACGTCTTCTGGAGCTGTTTGTTCTACATACGGCGATTCCGAGACCTTCTCATCAATGTCCATTTCTACAGTGGACATCTCAATGTCAGGATCCACCGACATGAACGATAGCTCAGCCATCCCCGTCCTAAAATGAAGCAGCGGCCTAGCTACACATATCCGTCTGCGGTGAGGATCTGGGGTATCGATGGCCCTGAAAGGGCTACCTTTCTGCACAGATAGTTAAGGATGAGTTTGCTTGGAGTGTACCTGAGGAATATTTTGGGAATGACATATACTTGGTCGTTTAGAACCCTGGACCGTTTACGTCGCTCGGACTATGTCAAAAGGAACCATCCGATGCCGCATCAGTACCTGCAGACAAACATGACAGGAAAGCGATTTCACATTTATAATAGTTATTCTACCGTCCGGAAATAAGATCGTTTGTCGAAAGCTTCATGAATAGATAGGAAATAAATAATTTTGGACCTGGAAACGTTCTAATTGGATGGGTTTATTCGAACGCATTCGCGAGAGGGCAATCGGCAAGGCTTATTGGAATACGCTAACGCCATAGAGAGAGGTTTTTCTTTAAGCCTGGTTGAAAGGGCCTTATGTGAGCTGAATAGATGTGTTGCTTTATTAAAGTGGGTCGTCAGGAGGGTTCTTGTATGCTAAGTGTCTTTTTTACCGATCGGTGTGAGTGGTGAGATTGCCTACACCAACCAAAAGGCTCTTGATACTGTGGTATGTAATCCAGTACAGTCTTTATGTGTTCTGTGACTGTCTGTCTCAATTTCTGTGACTTCCTATCTTCAAGAGGGCTTCAGCTGTATGTTGGCACAAAGGCTGACAAGACTGAGGCCACTCGTGTGCGTGCAAAGCAATATCCTGGGTCATAGCTCCACACGAGCCAGCCTTCAATCAGGGAATGCGGGATCAGCGACAATTTCGAGACAGACAGACTGGAGATGATACTGGTCGCAAAGATCGACGAGTCGTGGACCGCTTAAGGTTTGCCATACATGGGCGTACATCTAAACACACATTTACACGACAGTTCGACCGTCATTGCCGACGATATCCTTCGTGTGCTACACGACAGTTCGACCGTCGAATTCGACGATGTCCACCGTGTGCCCCACAGTTGCAGCAGCGGTGGGAGCAGGGACGGTGACTTACGCAGGGGTTTATAGTGCCAGTAGACTTGCGTAGCATCTACCTACACTCTCTCCTCCTCCCCCGCCTGGGCCCGGTGTCAAGACAGAGTCAAGAAGACCGGAGACGAGGGAGGCCGCAGGTGGATGGCTCAGACGGATCCTCACTTTGGCGTTCCACCACACCCCTGGTCCACACAACAAATAACCAGGATTTCAACCAACACAACAGAGATTTGGAGGCTGGCGCGGCCGAAGCCGCACGTGGGCGTGCCGCCAACGACTGGCTCGGATCCCACACTGTGGTGAGAGTGCCATAACGGCCACATTAAAAAGGAGCCATTGCAGCCTGACTCTCAGACCGCCTCCCGTTAAGGAGGAGGTCCAAGGTACCCCGTCAGTTGACAACCTTCCAAGCCACGGCTTTTAGCGCACCGTGATAGCTTCAAGCGCGTCAGATTGTTTATAGTGAGGAGAAAGTGCGCTGAGTCATCGACCTCACTCTCCCTTCCCATTCCCACACCCCAGCCACTGTCCGAGCCGGTCAGCAGACTGGAGTGGGGAGTGGGCACGGTGGCTGTCAGGGTCGGCGGACCATGACTGCGCGCGCCACAGCACGACCTGGCCCCCCATACACACACAACACCAGGATTACACACAACGGGGGTTGAACGGCGTGTCTCTCACTTGCGTGGGAGTGCCGTGGAAGGTCCTGTTGCAGCCCGTCCCCAGCCCACCAGTCCGCCACTACACACAACACACACACAACGTGACGAACTGCATGAACCGAGAGCGGGCCTCAGTCAGCAACCTTCCTATCCACGACGCTTGACGTGTCGGGATAGTCTCGGACACAAGTCACCCGTGCAGCCGAGGCCGCATGGGGACCGAGTCGAGATGCACACTTTCCACTTGCGTGGGAGGCGGCAGTTGAATGCATGAGGTGTGTGAGAGTTGATGTCTGGTGGGGTGATGGTGTTAGGAGGTAGGGAGTGGGGGAATGTGTGGTGTGACCGGCGATTGTCTACCGCAGGTCGTCGCGGATGCGCATGTGGCCGAATAGACCCATGCGATGCGTGAAGGTGCGAGGGCAGTGTGGACAGTGGAGGCGAGTGCGGTGAGTGTAGGTTGGTGCTCCAGGCACTGGTTCGCCAGTCTCTGTACGATGGATTCGCAAGTGACCGACCAGGCCGATGCGTGAGGTGAAGGTGCGATCGCAGTGAGGGCAGATGTAGTCCTGGCCCTCACGTCTGATGATGGAGGTTGCAGGGCTTGTGCCTGTTGTTGTGTCAGGTGTGGCTGTGGTGAGGTCGTGGGCGACAGACGCCGAAGCGGCCGTCGTTGTGGCAGTGAAGGAGGAAGACGTGGAGGAAGGGGAGGAATGAGGGGTGGGAAGGTCGGTGGCGTCGATGTCGGCTGGGGAGTGGTTAGTGGGTGCACAAGGTGATTGATTGGGAGTGGGGCTCGGCGGGGTGGGTGTGTCAAGGCTGCGGTCAATTCCGCTCTCGTGGATGCGCATGCGGCCGAATAGGCCCATGCGATGCCGGAAGGTGCGAGGGCAGTTTGGGCAGTGGAGGCGAGTGCGGTGGGTGTAGGTTGGTGCTCCAGGCACTGGTTCGCCAGTCTCTGTACGATGGATTCGCAAGTGACCGACCAGGCCGATGCGTGAGGTGAGGGTGCGGTCGCAGTGAGGGCAGGTGTAGTCCTGATCCTCATCACTGGAATCGGGAGGGGTGGGGTTGGTTGTGGTTGTTGTGTCGTGGTTGGCGATATGTGAGACGGCAGCCTCAACGGCCTCCGCTGGGGCAGTGGAGGAGAAGGAGGAGGATGGAAGTGGTGGTGCAGAAGGAGTGTCAGAGTTAGTTGGCGGAAGAGAGGGCGAGGAAGAGGCGGGCTGGGGGACGATGGCTGGAGCAGTTCGAGAGGTGCAGTTGGTTCGAAGATGTCCAACAAGTCCGATTCGTGCCCGGAATGTCCGTTGACATCGAGGACACGTTGGGAGCGGTTGTGCGGCGGCGTTGCGTATTGGGCGAAGTTGTGATTTGCGGGCTTCGCGTTTCGCTTTGGCGGCGACGATGCGGTTGGTTTCGTAGATAGCAGCGTCCGTCTTCACTGTTCTACTCCAGGTCGGACGATCGCGGGCGAGCTCTTCCCAGTTGGTCGGGTTGATTTGCAGGCGCTTCAGGGTATCCTTGTAACGGCGAATTTGGCCTCCTTGACGACGAGAACCCGTCGCGACGTCTCCGTAGAAGAGTCGTTTGGGTAGTCGCTCGTCGTCCATGCGCACCAGGTGGCCGCTCCAGCGCAGCTGCATTTGTCTCAAAATGGAGTAGATGCTCAGAATTCCCGTCCGTTCCAGCACTTCGGTGTCGGGGATGCGGTCCTGCCAGTTCAGCCTCGGGATGCGGCGGAGACAGCTGAGGTGGAAGTGGTTTAGTCGACGTGCCTGCCTCGTGTACACCGTCCAGGTCTCCGCTCCGTACAGTAGCGTCGGCAGGATGACGGCCTTGTACATCTTCAGCTTTGTGCTCAGCTGAAGACCGTGGCGATTCCAAACGGTGCTTTGGAGGCGACCGAACGCTTGACTGGCTTTCGAGATCCTGTTGGCGACTTCGTCGTCGATCTTGGTGTTGCGGGAGAGCGTGCTGCCCAGCTACGGGAAGTTCTCTACCACTTGCAGTTGAGTCCCATTCACGTTGATTTGCGGCGCGTTGGGGGCTGTGGCTGAGTTGGGTGGCGGTTGATGCATCACCACAGTCTTCTGCGTGTTAATGACCAGCCCAAAGTTCTCGCAGGCGGCGGAGAATAGGTCCATGCTCCGTTGCATCTCCTTTTCAGAGGTGGTGTTCAGGGCGCAGTCGCCGGCGAGTTCGTGCACGGTGGCTGTGGATACACGTGATTGGAAGTTCATGCGCCGGTTATTCAGGAGATGACCGTCCGTTCTATAGGCGATGCGGATCCGGGGGTGTTCGTCGCGGTAGACGTCCATCAGCATGGCAGAGAACATGAGACTGAAGAGTGTAGGCGCCAGCACACAGCCCTGCTTCACTCCGTTGGTCACTGCGAATGCCTCTGAGACAGCTCCGTTGCCCGTGACTCGCGCCATCATACCGTCGTGCAGCTGACGCACCATCTGAGTGAATCGCTCCGGACAGCCGAATTTGTGCATGATCTTCCACAGTCCTTCACGATTCGCCGTTTCGAAGGCTTTCGTCAGGTCCACGAAGGTAGAGTACAGGTGGGTCCGCATCTCCTGGCACTTCTCCTGAAGTTGGCGGGCTGCGAAGATCATATCCGTGGTCCCACGATGACGACGGAAGCCGCATTGACTTTCCGGCAGAAGGCCCTGTTCCAGATGGTTGTTGAGGCGGTTGAGCAGGATGCGAGCGAAGATCTTCCCGGCGATGTTCAGTAGGGAGATGCCGCGGTGGTTGTCGCAGACTTGGCGATTGCCTTTTCGCTTGTATAGGTGCACGATAGTTGCGTCCTTGAAATCTTGCGGGACTTCACCTTGACGCCACATCTCCTGGAAGAGCGCAGTCAGGTGATCCATCAGTATGGGACCTCCGTGCTTGTAGACCTCAGCAGGGATTGCGTCCGATCCGGGTGCTTTCCCGCTGGAGAGCTGCTACACGGCCCTGATGGTCTCCTGGAGAGATGGCGGGAGGTCGAGGTCCGCGTTGGTCTCCACTTGCGGTAAGCGGGCGATGGCGGCGTCAGAGATGACGGAAGGGCGGTTGAGGACGCCTCGAAAATGCTCGGCCCATCGCTGCAGGATTTGCGTCTTCTCAGTCAGGAGAGTGTTGCCGTCGGCGCTGAGGAGAGGAGCAGTGCCCTTCGTCGGCGGACCGTAGACAGCTTTGATCGCGGAGAAGAAGTTCTTCCATTCGTTGCGGTCCGCGTAGCATTGGATCTCCTCAGCTTTGCGAGCAGTCCAGGCGTCCTGCATCTCGCGCAGTCGTTGCTGAAGCTGTTGGCGACTGCGGTAGAAGGCAGTTTTGTTGTCCTCAGTGGGGTGATCTACGTAGGCTTTGTGTAGGCGGTTCTTCTCAGCAAGCAGATTTCTGATGGCGGCATCGTTGTCGTCGAACCAGTCCTGGTATTGGCGGGGAGCGCGACCGAGGACGGCGAGCGCCGTCGACTGGACCGTGTCTCGCAGTTGACACCAGCGGTTCTCCACGGAGGCGTTCTCGGCAGCGGCGGCGGCCTCGTCGGCGGCGGAAGCGATAGGAAGGTTGTCTAGCCGTTGAGCTAGCTCATTGCTGAAATGGAGACGGTGAGCAGGCAAAGACAACAAAGCAACATTTAGCTTACCTGGGGGTCGCTTACCTTGTGGTCTCCTGCGAGGCTGTAGGCGAATACGCATCTTCGAGATGACGAGGCGATGGTCGGTCCACCCGTCAGCACCCGCGATCGCCTTCGTCACATGCACGTCCCGCTGATCTCGCCTCCGGACGAGGACGTAGTCCAGCAGGTGCCATTGGCGCGACCGGGGATGCCTCCAGGTGGCCTTCTCTCGCTCCGGCAGACAGAAGAAGGTATTCACCAGGGTGAGGCGGTGTTCTGCGCAGGTGCGGAGGAGAAGCAGGCCGTTGTCGTTGGAGCCGCGGAGACCGTGAGGACCCAGCCCTCCCCTCCAGGCAGTATGGTCTGTGCCGACGCGGACGTTGAAGTCGCCAAGGACAATCAACTTGTCCGCCTTCGACACAGTCGCCAAGAGGGCGTGCAAGTCCTCGTAGAATTTGTCTCTTGCCGCGGCGTCGGGGTTGGTCATCGAGGGAGCGTAGGCGCTGATGATGGTGGCGAACTTGCCTCCTCGCCGGAGGGGCAGACGGAGGCTCATCAGGCGATCGCTGATTCCCTGCGGCAAACAGGACAGTCGTCCCACGATGTCGGTCCGGATGGCGAAGGCGACGCCCGCGTCTCGTCGCTCTGTCCTGGGTCGACCACTCCAGAAGAAGGTGTAGCCGGCACCCACCTCCTCCAGTTGGCCTTGTTCGGAGAATCGGGTCTCGCTGAGTGCGGCGATGTCCACCTTGTAGCGCGCCAGTTCCCGTGCCACTAGCGCCGTCCTTCGTTCCGGTCGGTTGCTCCTCGGATTGCCTAAAAGGGAACGAACATTCCAGGCAGCCAGAGTGAGCGGGCACACCCTGTCAGCCTGGGGAAAACGAGTGGGGCGACGGGAAGGAGGTGGAGAAGAAGATGACGAAGGAGGAAAATAGGCAGAAGAATAGACGGAGGTAGAGGTAGAAGAGGTAGGATGAGGAGAATGAGTATGGTTGTTGTTGTTGTTTCGAGTTTGATTGTTTCGACCGTGAGTTTTGCGTCTGCGACCACGGTGCGACAGCAGACGACGTGGTTCCCCAGCAATTTTTAGGCCAGCTTTTCCAGGCCCCCTCCGAAGGAAGCAGTGCCCTGACCCCTGAATAGGGCTTGCTTGATGTGCCGGCGCGGCCAAACTCCACTGTGGGCCACGAGTTTTTTTGGCAGTGTAAGAACGACTCGAATTTGCCAATGGCTTACGGCATTGCCGCAAGCCTGCGGTCTCCTACGGGGCACCAGATGGGCGCGTGTCGACGGTGCCAATTCGGAGATCCATCCCACCGGCTGATCAACGGCGTACCAGGCGGAGCCTCGTCTTGACGATGCCGATGCGACATTCCACCACCAACCGGCTGACCAGCGGTGTGTCAGACAGAGCCTCGTCACGACGGCGCCGACGCGGTGTTCCATCCGACCAACCGTCCACGGAGTCCGCAGTCACCTGTGCGCTCGGCACAACGCGCACAGGGAGTAACCGCCCTCACCTGGTTTAGCCCGCCGGTCGAGGCTGTTGCCCGGGGTGTGGCCGCTGAGCAGAGCCCAGCTACGTCGAGCCACAGGTGAGAGTTGACTGCCAGCAAGTGGACGCTAGGCGTAGTCTCACCTGCAAGCAAGTGAGCGACCACTACGACCTTCACGTGAACCCACCGCTGACACCCCTACACCCCGTGTGTGCTACACACAAACGGGCAACAAGCACGGTGACTTGCACGTGAGTTCGTTTATAGTAACAGTAGACTTACGCAGCACCTACCCACTCCCCACCTAGACCCGATGCCAAGACAGAGTAAAGAAGACCGGAGACGGGTGAGGGGCAGGTGAAAGGCGCGGTCGAGCCGGGGTCTTAGCGTTCAAATCCACACCCCCTTATCCAGACGGCAAATGACCAGATATTTTATAAACATTAACAACGATAAAAACACTCCAACGTGGGTCAGAAAGACGAGGATGATGACTGGGCAGCCATGCCAACCACCTCGTCGGCCGTTCCCAAATTGTCTGCGTAGAACAACAGCAATCAAGGCACACATTCATAGAGAGTGGAGTCCCACAAGGCTCATCGTTCGGACAGACTCTCTTTCTCATCAATGATTGCGTAGATGGGGTGGAGTGTGATTGTGCCATGTTCGCACATGACATAAAAATCTGGAAATTTATCCACCATGCAGCCGATGATACCAACATCCACGAAAAGCTTTGTCGATAAGACGAGTGATCCCGAAGATGGATCTTGTCCTTCAAGTTGAACAAATACACCATATTGCGCCTCGGAAATCAGACCTCTAATACGCGGCAATACCATTTGAACTGAATACCACTTCGAGAAGCAGAAACGCAGAACAATATCGGAGTCTGGGTTGTAGACAGCCTAAAGCCCTCTTCACAATGCCTTAAAGAGGTTGAGGCCGAAACTGCAACGCTATACGCCACAAATCAAGCATTCGCAGTTTCTGATGAAGCCTGCTTCTCCAAAGTCTTCGGCACGTTTTTAAAGCCGCATATCGAACATACAATTCAGGCCTGGAGACCTTGAACACAGCAGGATTACAATCTGCCCGCGAGGGTGTAACGGCGAGCAACAAAATTAATAAGAGGCCGAGGTGCACTGCCATACGAGATCGGTATGACTAACGTTAATCTCTACCCTCTGAACTATAGACAGTTGGACGGAGACTTAATACAAACATTTCGTATTGTGCGTGGCTTGAACTGCGCACTCCGGGGACACGACTTTTTACAACACGCCACGACAACTAACCTTCGGTGACATCCCTACAAATTACGTGCACACAAGTGGGATTAAACGTAAGAAAATATTTTTTCTCCAACCGTGTCCTGGAACAGAGGAATAATAACATTAATAATAATTTTTATTCAAGACACCTGGGGATCCTTTCATAGCAAGGCAGAGTAACTTGTACATTAATTTTGGAATTTTCGACGAGGTACACAGAATTACTACAAAATTTAATTAGTAATTGTTGAATAAATAGCATGTTACGAAGAATGTTGAGCTAACTGCGAAAAAAATTCCTAACATAAACAAAATGAGTATGATTGGATCAGAATTATAGGAGAAAAGAAATAAAAACTCTCGCTGCTTAACATATAAAAAGCAGTAAGGACCGGCCTGTGTATGGCATTGTATAACGGATTTCATAAAGGGGTACGTCGGCGAGTCAGGCAGGACTGGCCTGTATGTGGTATGCAGCCTGAATGCCAGTCCAGGTTATCCTGCCAACTGACAACTAACAAGTCGTGAATTTTTGAGCGCCAATGTAAGTTAGGGCGCTCTGGTTGTTCGTAGTAAAGAATTTATGCGCAGAATTGGCTTTACCCCTACTTCCCTCCCACGTGTTTTCCATCACAAGTTCATATCTGAACAGATGGGGGTATCGGGTGCAGCGACCGAAGTGGCGCCAAGCATACGTCTACGCGTGCCACGCGCGTTGGTTAGTGCTCGCGTATGAACATGTCAACTAGTCATGTCTCTTTTATTTAGGTTCGAAACGGACATCATTAAGGCAGAATTAAATTGCTGCATGAGGCCATTCATGTTAAAGTGGCGAATTGAAAACCAGTTTCGAGGCTATAGGAACCCAGATGCGGCCGGTCACATTCATCCGAATCCATCCGAGGATGGGACGAGGGAGATACGACCAAACTACTAGTATATGGCGAATATTGAAGGTTTCGCCAAGAGCGTCGATGGAGCGCATTCTGTGAGGGCACGATGCATGAACTGAAAAATCGAATAATTAATATTTCTGGTGAGGGATCTTAGGAAGCGACACGACTTACAAAGCAAGGAAATATGAGCAGATACGGAAAGTTAATGGCGGCATACTACATTCCCGATGGCCCTTTCTCAGTATGATAGAGAAAGTTGTCCGGAAAGGATGAGGAAAACAAAATTTTAATCGAGTCAGTATTCAGATGAAAGGTGTAGCCTTCTCTTAAACGTGTGTAGATTTCTGAAGATCTTATATTTATTGGAAGGTCATTCCGGAGGAAAGTATATCTGGAAGCGAAAAGTAGGGAACGCTTAGAGGTGGAGGAAGTTGGAGGAGGGATAATCAAGGAAGAGATGCGAAGATTGTATAAGCGACTACTAGGGTATATGCTGAAATCCGAAGAAGATTTGAACTATTATTAATGCGAATAAGGAGGCAGGAGCCTGCATCTAGTCCTCGAACCCATAAAAAGTCTAGGTTAATTAGCTGCCATCTATCTGAGAAATGTTTTTTTAAAAAACGTCTTTGGACATTTTCAATATTTAAACGACTAGCTTCATTCATTAAACCAAAGAATGGGCAACAATACTCGAGAATGGGAAGTGCAAACATACCATAAAGTCTTAATTTAATTTCAGGAAGATAGAAATTGTAAGAAATAAAGCCACATACATGAGCGGCTTTGGCTGTAATTCTGTCAGCGCGTGACGAGAGATCAAGATTATTAGCGTAGCCCAAACCTAAATCCTTGATGGTGGTACATTCAGTCAGAGGTGTACCTTGAAAGACCACTGGTTGAGGTAGTATTTCAGGTCCAAAACACATATGGCGACATTTAGAGGGAGAGAATCCTATTAGCCATTTTGAGCTCCAAGCTGAGAGAGCAAACAAGTCAGCATAGATTTGATCCAGGCAATGAAGGCTCGTAGATTTTTTGAAAGAATATACACATTTGAGATTATCGGCATAAATAAATGATTGAGAATGTTTAACTGCCGCCGATATATCATTTATGTAAAGCAGGAACGAAAGAGGACCTAAAACGGTGCCTTATAGGACACCACTTACAATAGGACTTTCCCTAGAAGGTGGAGATTCCAATAAAACCTTTCGTTTACGATTAGGCTGGCATGACTTGATAGAATCTATAAGGGGACTGTGAATTTCCAGAGCTTCTAATTTAACCAAAAGTCTTTTATGTGGCATTTTATCAAAGGCTTTACTGAGATCAAAATAAATAACGACATCAGATAGGTCGTCATTAGCTGTCCGAGACCGCTGATTTGTCTCAATCTGTAGAGACATTTAAGTGTCGGCTTGACAGAAATTTGCTGTAGCAACAAGCGGATCATGTGATTTTGTAATCACAAAATCGGTGACCTATGTGAATTGATGTATGCATTCATTTAATGTTGTAATTTCTTCATATCTTTGCTTATTATCGCGATTTTTTATGTACAAGTTGGGAGTTTAAGGGGTTAAGCTTCTTTTCCTGACTGATCTGTGTACACAATGGCAGCGCAAAGGAATCTACGAGCAGGGAGCCGGGTGCCAGGAAACTGCCAGCAAATTCCAGGCTGCGAGGGCAATGGTTATCCGATAGTGGCATAGCACAGGCTTTTAGATTTTCTAAACTAAATGGGCGACACTCGGCCCTGCATTTAAGAACAGGAAACCAAACAGTTGTCGGCTGACAGGAACAATCCATAAGGCACGTATACTCTCCTCACATGAATGAAAGTGTCACAGATCGCATGAGAAGGGGGTATGATAGCGTGGCTCACAGACCACAAGTCCGACACAATGCACATCCACGCAAAACTGGGCAGACTGCCCAATTTTGGTGTGATGGACGAGGCCAGTCGTTCAAAAACTGAAAATGCTCAAAGATATTTTACAGGAAGTCTTCTATTCTATTCTATTCTAAGCATGACACAACCAAATACTTCCTACTCACATTAATGTCAACTAACTAATTTCTATAGGTTCGAAGACTAGAGACAGACTTCTGTTTCCACTTTCGCATTAATAACAGTTCATATCTTCCTCGAATTTCAGCCTTTTCTCCTGCTAGTCGCTAAACAATCATTACAAGTTTTCTTTGATTATACCTCTTCGCGCTTCCTCCACCTCTAAGCGCTCTCTTTTTTTGCTGGCATGTGTACATTCCTCTGGAATAACCTTCCAATAGATATAAGATCATCGGATAATCTACACAATTTTGAGAGACGGCTGTGCCTTTATCTAAATACTGACTCGACTAAACTTTTATTTTCCTCATCCTTCCCGGACAACTTTCCCTATGACAATGCGAGAGGGCCATCGGGTATTCAGGATGCGACCACCGAATTACCGTATCCGCTCACGTTTCCTTCATCTGTGTGGGCTCGCTTTCTTGGATTTCGCATAAAAAATCTCGATTTTTCGATTTTCTTCAATTTCTCAGTTCATGCATCGCGTCCTTCACAGAACGCGGTGTCCCATTGACAAATTATCTCAAAGAAGTGGCGGGACCAGGTTGACATGCAATCTCTAAGCCGCCCCCGTCTCGTTAATGGCCGACCATAATCATAATTCCACTCTGATTCCACCAAATTCGAACCCCCACCCCCCAATCGGTGATTATCGTGATTCTTTATGTCAGATCCTCAGTTCGACATCCAGCGGTCTGTTGACGATCACAGGAGAGTCCACTGTTTTCGACATCTGCTAGTAGTTTGATTGGCAAGCAAAGAGGTCTCAGGGTCGCATATTCCCCTCTATGCTTCGATGACCGTCTTGGCGTTTAGTGTCCCATCTTTGGCTGGACTTTGAGCGGACTGTGACTTATCGTATTTACGTTTCCCTATCTTGCCATTTCGAGGCGGATAACCTTATCCGATTTAGGAATTCTGCCTTTGTGATTTGCGTTTCGAATGTCTTTCACACTACCATACGTAGGCTAGCCCTGCTAGACCCGCATATTTTCCCTTTCATAATCGGCGATGCTGTTCCCTTTAAAAGTTAACCAGTTCATGCTCATATTGTCTTTTTCACAAGGAGTTTGTGTTTCAATGCTCGCTGACTGTTTCTTTTTATGATTGTTCATTCTACAACGGTGAACTGATTAATGTGCAGAATCTGTCTACTTGTCCTAAAATTAGCTGAAAAATTCATTTTTACTTGCTAGGATTGGCCCCCATGGGTCTTAAATGAAATTATTTTTTAATTAATTCATATCGTCGAGAAATCGGGACCAGTTCTTTAGACATTTCATCAAGTTTTTCGTACAGGACCTTCCCTTCTGGAACCTGGGCTAACAGTTCGAAAGCGTGTCGTGAACGTCTTAGTATCGTGTCAATTCACTTTTCATGATCATCTCCATAACTTTGCAGAGAGTGCATGTCAGGCGCCTGAGCCTGTACATGCGACTGATAGCCGCAAACAGCAGTTAACTAGATATAACACTAACACGTGTCGCTAAGTAAAGCCCATGAGTTGAGGAAACTTCAGCATTCCTCTTTGGTAATATTGTTAATTTCTCAGATGTTATATTCTCGTTGCGCATTGTACGTTTTAATCTGCTATTATCTTTAACTTTTGGACCTTGGTTATTGGGTGTTATTGGTTGCGTGGGGAACCCGTGGTTCTAGGTGCTGAGTTTACGTTGTGTAAGTAACTCAGGCCGAGGTCTTCCCCGGCAGCTTTTTGGTGGCTTGTCGGCCTGTGTTTTATGTGTCGTGTGCCTGACTTCCGTTTCGTTCCCGCACTTAGGTGCCTACTTTTTCGTTACTCGAAGGTAACTGGTACACAGTGAGCTGGACATTGGCTAAAATTACTCTTAATTAAAGTATGACCGACGTGGAAAAAGGGAAAGAGGCTGCTGCTACGGCTGCTGTTGATGAATGGTTGAAGGTTGGTCATTCATTTTCCTAGCGTGAATTTGTATCAGGATAACCAAGTCGTTGGTATCGGCAGCGGGACGACCGTTGTTTACGCAGTGAAAAGAATATGTACGGAGTATTTTACTAAAGCTCATTGGCAGACGAAATTGTTAACAGGGAAAAATGGAAGATAAAATGTGTTCCATCGTCGTATCAGGTAAGTTATGGAGGCGTAGGAGTGCTTGCAGGCTCTCCAACTGATGATGGCGGCCAAATTACCCCTTACTACTCTGGATGAGAGCCCTGTGGTATGCAGTCAGCTTTTACACATATTAAGCGTAGCTTGACGTAGCTTTCGACGGTGTCGACGAAATTACACCAGATATGAATTCAATCAAGGGCGGTGGTGGATGTCTGTTGCAAGAAAAAATTGTCGATTACAATGCCAAATCCTTCATTGTGATCGCAGACGAAAGGTTTGTCTACTCTTAGGGAATATCCTTCCGCACCCTCTCAAGTTTTCTGTTTTTTACTAAATACTTCACAAAGAGTAACTGTCTGACTGCCATGCTTGTTCAGTTTGGCTTATACTAGGTTACAGAGGACTGAGGTTTGGCGCGCTGAGTATCTTATAAAATGCTGCAAAGTCCCATGAAGGTACCATGAGATGACGAACGTAAACCGCCATCAAGTAAGTTTGCTGGTCACATCCGCCTCGTGGCTGGGTTCTTGAGCCAGAGTGCTAAAGGAGCCCACCTCGTCTGTTCTAAAAATCCCCACGAAATATCATGAAATAGCCGTAGTACAGTTTTACGATCCATACCACGGCGTTCGCGGAAACCGACGCGCCCCGCAACCCTGGTCCAGCGCTGCGGGCGAATAGTACGCGAATTGGACTACTTGATCGGGATGGGACTCTTCGCTTTGGGTGTTGAAATATGCGAATGTTCTTACACACTGGTGCCGGAAGTCTCATGACGCGGAGTCCTCATCAGTACAACGTAGATGTCTGCTGTCTGTATAAATTCCCAATGCCCTGGTCGTACGCTCGGAAAATAAGGACCCCAGAAGTCAACTCCCACTTTGTTCCGTGCCACATTGTCCCACTCGACTTGGCGGACACGCAGTGGCTGTTGCCCTCACGGAATAAACGAACTGTGCAGTACCTGCATGGGAACCAGTAAATAACCGGGTGGCTTGCGTGTGACTGAAGATCGTTTCGTGAACGTCTCCGTCGCCTCCGTATATGCAATAACATCATTTGCCGAACAGTGTAACAAAGAGACCTACTCAGAGTTGCAGGAATTAGTCGATCGGCTTCCTCGCAGTGATCTGCTGACCGTTTCCTGGAGGCTAGAATGGCCGGACTGTTTCTGGCAAACCTTTAAACGGTCATCTTATTGACCGTTTTCGACTGGGATCCAGTTGCTAAGATGATGGTAGAATGATTCTGGTGATCAGAGCTGATTGGCTATCATCAACAGATGTCTCCAGCATCGTCGCAAACATCTGCTGATTTGGTAATCAGACGGTCGTACGGTCAGTCAGATCGACCAAATGCCCGTTGGTTCAAGGTTTAGTAGATGAGTTTGTGATAGCAGATCGATGCATGGCGCCGAAAATGACAACGCCCATGCGTCGTATTATGTTCTCTTATCTGCACCCAAGATTTTTTATGCGAGACGCCTTCGACGATCCAGCCCCACCGAGGCCCTGAACGCGGTAATACGGTCTCCTTTTACGACCTGAACCGACTGAGAACAAAGTAGCCAGCGGTCACCACTGAACTCATCATTGTTTGGGCAGCTGACACATTTCTTGGATTCACCTCACGGCGTCGAAGTGACCGGATTGGGCCAGATCCCACAACCTCCGGAAAATGACGACAAAGTCGACTAGAGACTAGTGACTCGCGCCGCCATGCCATCGATGAGCTGACGTACCACCTGAGTGAATCATTCGTGACAGCCGAATTTCTGCAGGATTTTCCACAGTTCGCCACGATTCACCGTATCGTAGGCTTTTGTCAGATCCACAAAGATAGAGTAGAGGTGGGTCCGCATCTCCTGACACATCTACTGTAGTTGGCGAACGGCGAAGATCATGTCCGTGGTCCCACGATGACGGCAGAGGCTGCACTGGTTTTCCAGCAGGAGACCCTGTTCCAGATAGTTGCTCAGGCTGTTGAGAAGAATACGAGCGAAGACTTTCTCGGCGATTTTCAGCAGCGAGATGCCTCTGTGATTGCCGCAGATTTGGCGGTTTCCTTTCCGCTTGCATAGATGTAAGATTTTAGCGTCCTTCAGATCCTGCGGGACATCTCCTTGACACCACATCTCCGGGAAGAGTGCCATCAGATGATTCACGGGTGGGTGGCCACTGTACTTGTAGATCTCGGTGGGGATCGCGTCTGATCCGGGTGCCTTTCCGCTGGAGAGCTGCTGCACGGTCTAACTGGTTTCGTGGAGAGAGGACGGGAGGCCAAGGTCACCTTTGGTCTCCACATGAGGCAGACGGGCGATAGCGGCGTCGGAGGTGGTGTAGGGGCAGTTAAGGACGCCTCAGAAGTGCTTGGCCCATCGCTGTAGAATTTGTGTCTTCTCGGTGAGTAGGGTGCTTCCGTCGGCTCTGAGAAGAGGAACAGGTCCTTTGGTTGGCGTACCATGGACAGCCTTGATCGACACAACGATGTTCTTCCATTCGGCCCATATCAATCTTCCCCAACCCTTCGTTATCCGACCTGATGATCGATAAGGTTGCATCCTGTCACCCATTCTGTTTAGCTACGCCATTGGTCGTATCCTCGAAAGGACTACATGGTTTTAACGGTGTGGAGCCTGGACCCGGACACTGGCTGACTGATCTCGACTATGCCGATTATATCGCCTTACCAGCTTCCAGTTTTGGTGATCTTCAGTCTATGGTGTCACGGGTGAACGAGGTCGCTGAATCGGTTAATCTGTCCATAAATACTGGGAAGACCAAAGTGTTTCCGAGTCGCATCTCTGACCAGGAGAAGGCACCTCTCCAGATTAATGGTTGTCAACTCGAGGAAGTAGACAGTTTTAAATACCTCGAGGCGAGACAGCTGTCGAATGGGCAGAGTAAGGACGACAATATCTCCCGAATCGATGCTACTCGCAGGGTTTCTCAATCCCTCGAAAGTGCTTCGAGTGAAGTACGCCGGCTTCGTCTCCAATGAGGCTGTCCGCACTTGCTGCGCCAATATCACAAGGATAGTCCAGGCCATCCAAGAAGACGATCGAGGTGGTTTGACCATGTTCATCGTCGTCTACCTAAGGAGCTGATTGTTACTGTCCTCGATCTGGCGCCGCTGCCCACTTAGAAGAGGTGGTTAACTCAAAACCTGATTCGACACAGTTCTTCCAGACATGGAGGCGTTTCTTGACCCTCGGTATTCGGTCTACGTTGCTGGGGGGTACATCGAGCTGCTGGGATCGACCGCGCAGATCATCACGCATGGAGAGTGGCAATCTGAGACATCATCGAGGCCAGCTAGATCAGGCATGACCACTGGTGTACGAAGTACAATTTAATACTCAGGAGTTTAAATAGAGGTTGTATCTTTTTTCTGTCCTTGTCTTTTTTGCTAAAAGGACCATTTGACTTGCTCTTAAGCCCATCGGTACTATTTTTTTTATTGCCAAATATTCACATACAGTACCATGGTTTCTAAACTACCGTAGTATTTCGTTAAGTGTCCGAAAATTTCGTAGGGACTTCACCATAGCTGCCTGGCGTGGGTCTTACTTGGCCCATCAAACTTGTTGATTCTTAATTAAATAACCGAAGTACGGGTATTTGTCTTTTTAGCAAGCGTGCGTCGTATTTGGGTGAAAAATGGACACGTGGTTTACCCATTGAAGTTATCCCCATGGCCTCAACGACGGTCAAGAACGAAATCGAGAGGCGGTTTGGTGGTGTGGCAAAATTGCGCATGGCCGTCTCGAAAATGGTATTTCAAGCCTTTCTGCGTCCAATCTGTTTCATAGGCGTTTATGCCTGTTCCTACAGCCTTTTAAAGTGCTGCCCTGTTTAGTCTTCACGGACAGATTTGTCAACCGATTTCTCCAATTCCGTGTTAAGGGTCCAGTCGTAACGGACAATGGCAATTTTTTACTTGACTGGCAGTTTGGTGCCGACCCGTCAATCGATTGGAAGCAGATTGATGTCGACATACACCTTATTCCAGGTACTGAACATGTACTGTGTTTGTCGTAATGTTGTTTTCAAGCCGTGCGTTTGCTAGACTGTGTCTTATTTACCCGTTTTTGTTTCATGCTTCCTCAAATGCGCCTGTGCTCGATCAAGCTAATGGTATTCTGGCGACAGCACAATCTGCATAATTAGGTTTATACTTAAACCAAGCTTTAATGGTTGCTTTAATGGTTGGGAACCACTCGGTCCTCTTGGTATAATCACTTAAAGCGTTCCTTTATTACGGCTTATGCAACAACAGTTCAACAAACTGTGCGTACAGGCCCGCTGCCTCCCTCCCCCCTACATCCTGCCGTTCCAGTCTTGCTCATAGCCATCTACTATCCTCTATTGCCCGAAGCGGTCTCATCCCCCATGCCTGTCCATAAAGCATACTTGTACTATCACGGTCGGTTTGATCGCTGGCAGTTCGTTTCTTGCATTTTATTAGTCCGGTCTTCATGTAGAGCTGCGTCAGTTTAGTAGGAGCGTCTAATTATTTGTCAGGAGTCAGGATATTTAGTTTAGTAGCACTGCCGTCTGTTCATGTGAGCCACACAAAGGTCCCCATCATGCGCTTTGCTCTGTCTCCGGTCAGGCTGCCAGCCCCAGGAATCTGTATTTTCGCAGCAAAAAACAAAGAAGCTCTTGATGAATGGCAAAAGTACAGATGAAGAAGTCGAGTGATATCCTGCGTGCAATAAATTTGACCTCAGTGCGATTCATTTTGATAAACCTGCGTTTTCATTTCTATATCTCAGTAATGTGCTCCTCTTCTCCGTTTCCACTCAGCTGTTGTGTGCCGGGGGGGGGGAGCACATTTATCGAACCGTAATCTCACGTAAATGAATTCGAAAAATCGGGCGACTGTTCAGTTTGCATGATTACCCTATGTAATCCCCGCAAAGAGTGTCATCCTGGTTGTTTCTCATTTGCATCCACTGGTGGATAATTACTGTGGTCCACCTGACATTACTTCTTGCGACTTGATGTCTTCTGTTGTAATTTTTTAAGACTGTTGCCTAAATTTGCGTTTTGCAAATGTCTTTTTAAGGCGTCGTTGAAACGGGCCTATTTCTAGGCCTCTCAAAGCACGCTTACTTCGGAAAGGCTGACGGCAGCGTTGAAAAGCTGACAAAGTAACACTACGAGTCTGGCTCTTCTCAGCGATGACTTTGCCACCCTCAGACGAATGCAATAGTAGAATCTTTCACAAGTTGCAAAGGCCTATTTCGAGCCGATATTTTGCAGGATTAAAGTGGTTTTCTTTGTAGAATTGTTAATACAAAATTTATTAAATTGCTAGTGCCGTCGTATTAAAGTGCCTCTCCTTCTTCTGTGCTGTTACTTCTAAGATGTCAGACATTTGAAACGCCACTAGTTCGGTCATGTTTAGCTTTGCGGAACGTAACTTTAGTTCGACAATAGGCCTATTTGCTAGCCAACCGTATGGAGATCCCGAAACTTAAAATGAGAGATCTTCGTATCCTTTTTCTGTTTATACGAGTACCCTTACTGCGGCAGCTAAAACCATAGGAAAAATGTGGCCACTACGACTTTCAGGCCCAGTCCCATATAGAAAGAGGAGTGGGGTGTTAGTTGAGAGAGCGGCTAGGAACAAGTTAGTAACCGGTCGAAGGCACACGTCCGGTGCTGTGAGAGCGGCGTTCTGAGTGAGAGTGGAGGAGTCGTCACGGTGCCTTTGTTGCGACCGAAAATGTTGGGGATGGCGCATACGCATTAACGTGAAACACTGGGGACTTCCGACCTAGTACGAGCCGAGCAAGGTTGTTAAACACGTCATCAATCTCATCCAAGCAAGAAAAATGCTTAAACCGGTACATCATATCTACTAGGAACAAGGATTTTAACGTATAAAGGGAAACGATAAACTACAAATGGGAAGATGGGAGTTACACCAGGGAGATGATCCGTCAGAATGGGGAGGTGACGCCAACATGCCTGCTAAACAACCGGTGGGGAATGCAGCGCTGTGGGCAGCTGCAGGGGAGGGCTGTGGAAGATGCCGACGTGGAGAATGCGCAGGGCAGGCGATATGACGTGTTGCGGGAGTGGTAGTCGGCGGTTATGTGGGTAAAGAGCATCGGCTATTCTCACCGACCGTCGGTTGCACCACCTCCATCCTGAATCAGTCCCAAAGTGCCCACTTCCTCCAAACAACCCAATCCAATTCGTGTGGCTCTACACCTTGAGCGAGGCATGTCTGAGTCGGCCTTGACGTTGATTGACCGGTCTGGGCAGTGTGATTGGTCGATGCCCAGACTGAGTGCAAATACCTGTGAGAAGCGCATCATCGCATAGGCGTCAGGAGTGAGGTCATTCCACCCTGCCCGAACTACGAATTTCCGGGTTTCGGGTTGCAAATACACCTGCAGACTGCCACGTGATCGGAGATACCCGACATTGGGAAAACTCGTGGAGTACTGCCCAGTACTCCCTTGTGACGCCAATGCATGCGTAGGTGGTTCTGTGTGAACCACTTCATTTTTTGGCGATCCGGTTTGCTCGGCTTTGAGCATGCGCGGGCTCATGTTAAAGATTGTAATTTTTAAATGCGTGAACACCACAGACGATCAAGAGTTGTTGATGAATGACGCTTGTCGTCAAATATCTTGCTGCCATCTTCTGATTGAGAAAGCCGATGCCTGTCGACGTCTATAAGCACTGACAAATTTGCCTCGCCAGGCCTGCGCACCATCAGCAACAACTCATTTATGTCTGCGTAGTTGTTCCCTTGGTTCGAAGTCCTGACAGGTGCACATGATGGTTTTAGTTGCCGAAGAGCTAGAAAGCTAAGTGTAGTTGAGTTAACATGGTCTATCTGATGATTCACTTTCTGTTGCTTAAGCCCTATGCACTCAATGTTCGGGGGATTGACCGAACCGAAGTAGGATTTCAACATTTAAGTCCAACCTGACATTCCCAGGTCCGTTTGATGGTAAGACGGTTGAGTCTCTCTGTCTCCAAAATTTCCTATTGCGTCATTTGCTCGGATGAACCGTCGGAGGAATAGTTTGTGCAACTGAACTGTGATGATACCCTGCGCCCCCTGTCCTTTCGAATACGTTTTAACGCGACAGAGATTTATATTGATGAGCTTAGGAAAACCAGTGGCGTAGAAGGCACAAGGCGTGGTTAAAAGTTTTTATTCAAATGACTGGAGGACTGGGGAAGGACGACAGATGTTTAATCACTGAGAGCCCCAATAAGGTACGAGGCAGCTATGTGGGGCCGTGTAGACAGCCTCGCTGTAGGAGGGACGACTCCAACTCCTTACCACCTCTATAGTCCCTGGATCACTCCCGAGACGAGGACACAGACATCGACATACGCCGTCCACTGTAGGATAGGTGTTATCAAGCGTGAGTGTGCTGTCAGCTATTGTGTCACGGTCCTTAGGAGTCTAAATAGCTCAGTGCATGCTCAAGGTTAAAGCAGTTTCCCTGGTGTATCCATCCGTATTCCGAAGGCAGCTCATTTTAAATACATCAAGAGAACTCGGACTTCAGTTTTAATACTGGTGGGTGTAAGGCTGGATCTATTTCTTTGTTATTCATATTCTAAAAAATCCATTTATGTTTACGTTGGTTATTTTAGCTGTCAGACAGATGGCGTGACTATGGGGTCACTCTCGGATCATTGCTCGCAGACAGCTTATGTGGAGAAACTTGGAAAAACTGCGCCTAAGCCGGAAATCGAAGACACGAACTGCCATTTTAGATATATTTATGATATCCCTGAGGCTGCGATCAAGAATATGGAATTCGATAGACTTCTGATAGGAACGAATGGCGTATACCCTGCGCACAGGTTTACATCGCGGCGGAGACGAAGAAACGTCTGTCTTGGATACTTCGTTTGCTAAGAAAGCCAGAAGTTCGCGTCCGTATAAAAATGAACACTTAGAGAAAACAAGGTCATTACTATGCACCCTTCAACTAGGGTCGATCATTAGAGAGGCGATTACCGTTGAGAAGAGCTCCTTCATTCCACGGATACCAGATAAGCGAAGTTTTTTATGCCTCGTGTGTATCCAGTGGACAAACGAGGATTCATATTCGTTAGCACACCGCTCCTTTTGCTAAGAAGGTGGAAACGGGCTGCCTCATCCGGTTTCATCTTTGCACACTACCCGTTCTTGCGGCGCAGATTGTGCAGGTGCGACGAGACGATTCTCCGAAGGGACACATGAACTTTGGTCAGGTGGCTTGATAAGGGTATAATTAAATCTACCTGAATGCAAATTGCAGCCTAACTTAGGGACACCTGCCATCAGGCCGAAGTCTAAGTTCATCAAGTGGTAAAGAAGTCACAATAAGGGATCAACCCATACCCCCGAGGGTTGGGAAATTTATCCTATGTCCTGCAAATTCCACCCCGTACATAGAATGAGAGCTCCTTCGAAGGTTGCTTCTCATAATGCTAAACTCAAACACGGAGTCACAACATCTGACGGCCAGCTCTCAATCCCCCTTAACAGCTTAATCGTCGTTTCCAAGGATGTTCACATTGTGCCGTAATGCTGGGTAGGCGCAGGGACAGTGAATTACGCGTGAATTAATCCATGATGGTAGTAGATCCGCGCTTCATCGAACGCTCTGTCTGCTCCTCCCTCTTCAGAGTTCGGTGTCGAGATGGAGTTAAGAAAACTTGAGATTGCTGGCGTAGGTGAACCCGCACCTAAGTGTGTCACCGCACACAATAAACCAGGATTTAACGCAACAATGGGACGACTTGGATCCCAACTTAGCGGGTGTGCCATAAATGCCACATTGCAGCTTGACACTTCGTTCTGGGAGGAGAAGCGAGAAATTGTCAGTTAGCGGCTTTCTGAGAGCACCGTGACAGATCCGAGCACTACATTATAATGAAAAATATGCTCTGGAAGAGTAGTAATTTTCCTAAATTTCCTCCCCAGATTAGTCCACTGTCCGTGCCAGTCAGTCATCTAATGAATGGATTGGGCGCAGCTGCTAACAGAGCTAAAACACTCAGTCTGCGTTCGTCAGGCACGATCTGAGCTCCAAATGACAGTTCGACCGTCGTTACCGACGATGTCCACCGTGTGCTCCACAGCAATGTGAAATAGGCACGACGACTTGCGCGTGAATTAGTTTATAGTGATAGTCGACTTTCGCAGCGTCTACCGCACTCTCACCACCCACACCTGGGCTCAGGGTGAAGACACAGTCAAGAAGACCGGAGGGCGCAGGCGGCTGGCACGGCCGGACTCGCGCCTAGGCGTACCACCACACCTCCTGCTAAGACGGCCCAGAGCATGACGCACCGTTCCTGTCGTTGGGCGGCCATGCCTGATAAAAAACCCAAAACCCGCCGATCAGTCTCGCCAAGCAAGCCCACGCGCAAACCGCCGATTTATGCGCGACCTTCAGGATCAACAACACGCGAGGGTCTGCCCATGCAAGCGCTCAAAACTGGACCAGTAGGAATACGCAAACCAGACGAGGGCAGAAACCTTGTATACGAAGCCACGGGCAGAAGGATTGAGAGTTGATCTACATAGGCTGACTGTCACAGTAAAGCTGTTCTCCGCTATCCTGTCTGTCTTCTATTGCGCACAGAACTGGCGTCATACTATTGGGGGATATAACACCTCCTGGTCCACAATAAACACCTGGCCAAGCTCCTAACCAATGACAAGAGCGACGGCTGGTACGGACGTTAGGCGGAGCCTAGCTTTGGGGAGCCACAAGTGAGAGTTGGGAGCCAGTTAATGGACACTAGGCGTAGTCGACACCTCCCAGCAAATGAAGCGACCGACTACGACCTTCAGATTGACGCAAAACTAGATATTCCTGCACCTCGGCCCCCAGAACGGCACATATGGGTCTCACACGAAGGTGGACTGCTCGGATCTCACAAGTGTTAGAGTAGCAGAGGACCGCGCCGAGGAGCCAAAGAGCACGACCCTAATTGACTAAAGAGGTCCGTGCTTTTGGTGATTGGTGAGGGACGGGTCTATGTGCGGTGTATATGCCGTTAATGAGATATATGGTAATGGGGTTTGACCGGCGGTGTTTCACCGCAGACCCTCGTGTGTGAGCATGCGGCCAAAAAAGCCCATGTGAGAAATGCATGTGTGTGAGAATCGCTGACAGTGA